CTATCAAATTGACGTATTCCCTAATCAAGAACCATAAGAACCCAAAGAAAAAAGAACCAAGAGTACCAAAAATCTACAAATCTCTGACATACGTATCTGGGTTCTCAGAACGCTTCACCCAGTCAGACTGCTATCAAAAAGAGGATATACAAATTGCGCACAGACCGGAGAATACACTTAGGAACATTTTTAATAGGACTAAGGCAAAAATTGCAGAAATGGACCTGAATAACGTAGTCTATAAAATTCCATGTGACGGAGACAGCGACAACCCATGTAGGAGATTTTACATTGGAACCACTAAGTCGAAACTAAAAACACGGATATCACAACACAAGTCAGACTACAAACTAAGGCATCAAACATTGACACAAAAAACTGCTCTAACAACCCACTGCATAGAGACTGGACACACCCCCAACTTTGAAGAAACGAAAGTACTTCAACAAGAACGACACTACAGTAAGCGATTCACTCTCGAAACGCTACACATTATCAACACACCTAACAAATACAGAATTAACTACAAAGCAGACACCGAAAATTGCGCGCATATTTACAGACACCTGTTAGTTAGTAACTCCAAGTCAAACAGAGCAGACTTGCTTAAATAAGTAATTATATAAAAATTTTTGTGTTATAGTTTTAATATGTTAATTATGTTATATGTTTTGTAGTTGCCCTGAAGACGGTTACCGTGGCGTAACCGAAATATATCGGAAAAAGAAAAGAAAATTAAATAAATTGGTTTTTCTTACTCTGACCTCGAGCCGGCCAAACAATAAAAATAACTATGAGGAAGGTCACCAAAATACTCAACCATAATCTGTTTATTTCTGCTGCAATTAAAAAAGTGGTTTAATTTCCTGTGATTGTATTTAAAAATAATAAATGTTAGGAGATCAAGACCTTTGCCTTTCATTTCGTTTCAACGTTTTCTGCCCGAAATCGGTTTCATTCTACAAGCCATTAAATAGCGATTTTCTTTTTCTTACAATCCTCATCCTTTTATTTATGAAATTGGACATACATTCGGGAAATGAGAAATGCTGATTGCAATGGGCGGACCCCTGGCTAAGTAATATCTGCATCAATCGGGCGTACAGAAGGTTCGACACACGGAGCCTTTTCAGGTACGCTAAATAATTTGGTACATGTATTTTCTCACAGTGTAAGCCATGCTCTGTTTCTGGCTGCTTTGAACGTTTTGCATTATTGATAAACTGTTGGGCGTCGTCGACATCGTTGCAGAAATAAAGCAACGAGCCAATGCAAAGAATATTTATGACACTACCAGCAACAACAACAAGAGTACGAACAACAACAGCACCAGCAACTACATACATACTATATAGAGGGGCATGCAACTCGGAACTGGCACGCCAAAAAGCTTGAACGTGTTGAGCATTAAGCGTTCAAACGTGGAGCCCAACGAATACGAAAAAAAGATGGAAGTGTAACCTATAGGTAGTACAGTTTGCTGCACTTTTTCCTATTTCCAAAAAAATGTCGGTGGCAATGAAGCATTTAACGATGGCGGATGGCATATACCAAGCCCCGCTAGTTGCTCTGCCTTTGGCTGCGAAACGTACCAAAATTATAAAAGTCCTAGACCAAAAAGCATTTGCCAAAGCAATTTAGACTCTAAGCGAAGAAAAAAAGTTGTGTGCTCTGTAATTGCATTTGCTTTGTTGTTGCTTACACGATGAACGCACAAAGAACGTCGCCGACTGACAGACAATAAAGGAACATACAACAGAGGAGCAGGCAAATTCTTCATACACCGAACTCTACATGTTCTTTAATATGCAACAAAGTCTTAAAAAAATACTCTGATTATACTATCTGAGATCACCATGAAAAGCAGTCTAAGTAATGGCGAAAACATTACCACACTACACAAATATTACAACTAATTTCTAGCATTTAATTGACTGCCCTGATCGAGATTTCGAACAATCGAAAGCCATTGGAATTCATTTTTCGAATTCAGATGTTGGACCATCCGTCCATGTTGTAATTCGCAAAATAATTAAACATTAAAAATTAAATTTTAAAAATATTAAAATTCAAAATTGCATGTGTTAATGTAATTAAATAATCCAAAAAGTTGCACTATTTCGAATTTTCGGTCCTTTAAAATTCCAAGGCCGGCGAGATTCTTCCCCTTTCCATCCCGCTCTCAATGGCCCAGAAGAGTGTAATTGCACATCGAGAATAGGTACACGCTCCACATGTATAGGGCATAAAGAGTGAGTGTGCAACTGTCTGGCAGTTCGCACATCACGTAGCAAAGTTGCCGCACCTAAAACTTCATCAATCCGCCTTGTATATCCTTCCCAACTTGTTTCATGTGGCGGTGTGTCTGCAACACGGTTAATGTGCAGACATGACGTGCCTGACGCACTGCCATCTGCATATAGAAAATTAAAATGTATTTTTGGAAAACTACACATAGGGCATCACCAGTCTTAACCATCTGTTTATTTTTTATAAGCTAGTCTCTGGCTCGCTCCCGGTCGGCGAGTTGATCAAGCATCATCATTAAATTTTACCTATAGCTTTATGTATTGGAACCTGTTCCACTTGCTGACTGTGCTGCTCAATGCCACCTAAGTAAATAATAAATTCAATTTAATTATGGCAAAGATTCTATTGCAATTTGCTTTCAGCTAAGCTCATGCCAGGCGTAAACAAGAAAGGAATGCTCAAGTCGAGCGGGCTCAACTCTTAAATACCCTGTACCACCCCACAAAACAAAAAAAAAAGTAATTGTTATTAATTTAATTAAATATAAAATCTTTAACACATGCATACAGACATATGTAAGTGTTTATGTACAATTTTCAACAGCATACATTTACATCAGAATCGTGTTTATGCGTGCTTGTATGCAGTAAAAAAATATGTTTTTATGAATATGAATATGTTTAAGGTTATAACTTTCTTCATAACTAACCTATCGTGATGAAAGTTGGCACACAGACACATAATCACTATATGGATGTATATGCGAAGTTTGAGTACAAAATTCCGGGAATTATGGGAAAAACACGAGTTGCGGGGGAGTGGGGGGTGCATCAGAAAAAAACACAAAATCGTCCTTTCTCGGACTGGGGATAATCTGGATACTTGGTTATTCTTGCTCTTGTACTTCCTGAGATCCTTGCGTTCATAAAGACGAACGAACGGACATGGCTATATCGACTCGACTTGTCATCCTGATCAATAATATATATACTTTGTGGGGTCTGCCACGCCTCCTTCTGTATTTAACAAGCAGTTATAGCCATAAATATATCTGCCCGAGCGCTGTCAGCAGCAGTTGTTAATGCTGGTGCTTTGGTGGACTGCAAACATGTTCACACAGACACGAATAGACACACATAGGCATGCATACACTCACATAGACGCAATTGTTTTGTAAATGTGCAATTATACACCCTTTACGTGAGTTCGAATACCGAGAGAGGTAAAATCGATCAACATTTTTTTTTAATTTTCCTAATTTTTTTTTTAATTTCTATAATTATTGTAAACATATGTGCAGAGTATTTCAAAGCCTGGACACTCGACTTTAGTTTCATTTCAACTTAGGTATCGTGCAATATGTATTAGTATAGGTTCAGTAATGTGTGATGTCGTAAACATACGCAAACATAGCTTATCTATGACTGTTCAGTTCCGAGAACAAACTTCAAGAGAAGCACTTCAAATTAAATCCGGCCGACACATCACATCAACCCTATGTCAATGCTGAACGACACATCCCATAGAGTCGATGCCCGATATTATCAGATAGCGCAAAGACGTATGACGATCACGATCACTTAAATTGTGTTGGTAAGAATTAAACAATCGAAAGACATTCGAACTTCTTTAACAATATTATGACTAGTGCGCCAAAACCGAAAATTGGTGTTTGAAGAAGTCAAAAATAAAGACAAAATGTAGGTTTGCGCGAGCTGAAAACTGTAACAGGCATATATTCTTGATGAGCGTGACAAGACAAGTCCATCTAGCCCTGTCTGTCCGTCTGTCCATCCGTCCGTATGAACACCTGGATCTCAGAAACTTTAAGACCTAGAGACACCAAATTTTGCACAAAGATACCTTATGTGTGTACGCTTTGCAAGTCTGTTTTATTTTTTTGATTCTCCCCCCACTTCCCCCCTATGGGGGCTTATCCGATTTTCCATTCGTATAATAGCCTATATCTCGGAGACTATAAGACCAAGGAACACCAAGTCCCAGATGCCTTATGTGAATACGCAGAAAATGTGTACTTTGGAATTTCCCTCCCTCCCCCCTCTCCACGCAATTAGTGATCTGACATAACTCCCGTAATTCTTGGAATAAAGTTTTGCAAATACCTCCAGTTAGTGATTGTGAGTCTGCATGCTAAGTTTCATAATGATAGGCCGATTTAACACAAAGTTATATATGTATGACCAAGCAGTGCCCGCAGCTGTTGTTGTTGTTGTTGTTGTTACTGCTATGCACAAGCTTTTCGTTGCACGCTTCGCATGCGCGTCTCATCGGTAGATACTCTTAATATTTCGACGCATTTTACCTTCAACCATTTCGCTATAAGTAACTCAAAGCCAACGTATGTAACAAAGTATGTAACATGCAGAAGGAAGCATCTCCAACTCCATAAAGTATATATATTCTGAATCAGCATGACGAGAGAAATCGATCTAGACATGTCCGTCCGTCTGTCCGTCCGTCTGGATGAACGCAAGGATCTCAGACACTATAATAGCTAGAATAATCAAAGTTGGCATCCAGATTCTCTTAGGTCCGAGAAAGGACGAATTTTTTTTTTTTTTAATTTTACTCTGATGGGCTTGCTTGACTGTAGCGTTCTCTCTTGTTTTTGTTTTCAACCAATTTTGAGTACAAAATAGTTTTAGAAAATTGAGCAAAAAGTTGAAAAACTTTTACAAATTTTGACCAACTGAGTTACTGCGTGAAATTGTTATTATGCGACTTAAAAATATAACGCTGAGGGTCTCTACACAAATTGAGACACATAAGCGGTGTTTACGAATGTTGTTTTTAATGGTACTACGATGTGTAAACCTTAACATAATCAATTTGCAACGATGCATCCTCCAGCCACTGGTCCAGCTTCGATTTCAGATGTGCCCAAAAATCAATCATGGCAATCGGTTGTTGCTCACCCCACGGCTTATGGGCATCGTAGAGGAACTCATTGAAGCCACCAACACTCAGACCGAAAGTCAAATAGAACTCCTGATCGAAGGGTGCCAAGCCACTGCCCTTCTCCAGTTCTGAAGCGTTGGGCAAACGCTTGCCATTGCTCGTCAATGAACTAAGTGCGCCATTTCGACTATCAAGATGACACAATTCCACACCATCAACAAGCCACTGGAGCTCATGTTTTGTCCAGTTCAGCGTATACGTATGGAAACTATCACTCCAGTCGGCATTAGGACTTCCAACCTCGCCCGTTTTGTGGCACAGCTTCAACGAACGCAGAGGCTCTATGGCATTTAACAAGGCGCCAGCATAGAGATCCAGTTTGCCATCTGATTTCCGTGCATAGGCAATTCGCAATTGTCCACTCTGGTAGTTCTCGGGTCCGTATTCATGAACCTTGGGCTGCAGAAGAAGCTGAGGGAACACCCAATCCGCTCGTGGCATCTTGGCTCGTATCTCCACGCGTCCGTATTTGAAGCTGAAATAGTCTTTGCTTGAGAACTGTGCCGTTATAAAGGGGGCCAGTCCCTCTCGGAGCCTGCTGCCATCACGCACACACTCCATTGTACTCAAGGCGCCCGTGCAGCTGCTGCCCAGGTCCAACTTGAACTGCAGTTCGTTTTTCTTACGGAATTGATGCCTGGTTGGTTGTGGCTGCAATGTCACTTGGCCATTATTTACATTCAAAGTGTTGGCCGCATCGTCCATATAAATGACAAACTCGTAGTCGGGTGCGCCAGAGAATCGACGCTCCAGCTTCCATTTCTCGGCATTCAGTTGTCCATCATTGAAATCGTCGACAAAGACCAGCTGTCCAGCACATTGACGCGGCACGCCATTCACAATGGTATCAGTCGAAGAACAGCCAGTAGTTCCACTACTTCCTGGACGCCTTATGTCTATCTCATATACCTGAACCGGCGGGGATGAAGTTGCTTTTGCTGCCTCGCTAAGATCACTATACTCTCCGACAACAAACTGACCATCGTCCTCGCGATAGCCCAAGCCATTATAAATGACATAGGTCCAATAGTAGAGGGTATCACCCGGTTTCAAGCTGGCTATTCGGTCTCGAAATGTCCAACGTCCATTTTTCGCCTTAACTATATCACGTGCCCAAGTGCCCGCCTCTAGACCTTCCATCTCTTCGTTCAGCTTGCCATGAAAAGCAAACAACGTGATGCCCGGCTCATCTGGTATGGAGACCTCGAACCCCTTCGGATAAAACACTTGGATCCTTGCCTTTGGCACCTCATAGGCCAGCACGCTAGTCAAATACCAGCAAATAGTAGCGATTCCAAGAAATCGCAATGCGTACGCCATGTCTATAAATACAGAGACACAAATGCTTACTGATCTCAAGTCGACTTGAAGAGCGACGCAAAGGCTTATCAAAAAACAGGTTTTCTTTGTTCATTAAGCGTTGTTCTTACTAATCAATTGATGGCACTATGGGTCAAGTAAGCATATTTGCTATCTAAATTCAGCCACGAGAGCTCTGTACATACTCGTACATATGTATACAAGAAAAAAGTTTTCATTTCAACATAGGTATCGTGCAATATGTATTAGTGTAGGTTCAGTAATGTGTGATGTCTTAATCATACGCAGATAAGGTTCATTTCAAATCTCAATGTACCCTTCACTGAAAAGTACGGGTGTATCAGTTTGTAACACCCAGAAAGAATAATGAAAGACCACAAGCCATAGATAACATATAACGTGATATGTCCGGCCATCCGTCTATCTGTTTTATCTGTATGACGCATCATTTGGAAAGGCAAACAAAACCCTATATTTCATAAATAATCCTATATTAGATGTCCCATTACGATCAAGAAAGTAGTAGCAAGGATTACTTGCAAGCATATTTATTTTCAAAAGTAATGATTGATAACATTTAATCGTTTTGTTTTTTTTTTTTCAATTTTAATCATTGACAATAATTAGTTGTTTAATTACTGTACCCTTAGACCACAAACTTTCCATTGTCCTCGCGATAGCCCTGGCCGTTGTATAGAACATATGTCCAGAAGTAAAGCGTATCGCCCGATTTCAACTCGGTCTCCGTATCACGATAAGTCCAACGACCTCCTTCAGCTTTCGTTATGTCTCGCGAAAACTGTCCTGCCTCCAAGCCGTTAAATCCTTCGTTTAGCTTGCCATGAAAGGCGAAAAGGGAAATGCCGTTTTGATCTGGTATGGATACTTCGAACCCTTTAGGTTTAAGAACTTTGATTTGCGCCTTGGGCGCCTCGAAAGCATGACTGATCAAAATAATGGCCAGAAAATAGCCGCAGAACAATGTGAAACTCAAAGAAGCCATCGTAATGTCTAAGTTGCAACTGTAATTTCTGCACGAGTGCCCTACTCTTTTATAATAAATGATGTGTCCCCATAGCTTATCTATAACTGTCCAGTTCCGAGAACAAACAGAACAGACACATTACATCAACCCTATGTCAATGCTGAACGACACATCCCATAGAGTCGATGCCCGATATTATCAGATAGTGCAAAGAGGTATCACGATCACTTAAATTGTCAATATTTATATATTTATAACATGCAAATAAAACTCATCACACCATGGAAGAAAAGAAAATGGAATAAAAGGAACAATCACATATGTATATGTAAATGTACTACACACACATACATATGTGTGTGTCACGATTGTTTTTGTAAGTAGTAACGTATAACTACCTGCCTAGGGAAATTATTTCGCCTATACGAGTATAATATATACATATTTGTAACTAATAACTATTCTCCTATTGATTTATTTACTGACATGGGATCAGAAGAATTGGTTTACTTACTTGACCACCAACTTACAGTTCGGTTCATTGTTTCGTTCGATATTTAGATATACACCTACAATTTGTTTATTAGATCTGTGCAGAGTTAACGTATTATAGATAAATAAACTGAACAGCTCATGCGAGGTTAAGTTATAAAGATCAACGGAAGAACTATCGAACAAAGCGTTTCCGTTGAGAACTAAACCAATTTGTATATCGGTTATTTATTTATTCCATTTCAGTATTTCAACTTTCAACAAAATGTTGAGAAAAACGTAGACTCTAGTTTACAAACATTAAGCTCTTTTCGTGCTCTCTTTAATTCAACTAAGCATATACTATATATTCTGAAATTCAAGATAGTGAACTGCATCTGCTTTCTACATACAATATTTTAAGAAAAACATAGACTCTGTCAAACATGCAAGTAAGGCTGTTTTCGGGCTTTCTTTAATTCAACTATATGCTATATGTACTCTGAAAATCAAGATAGTAAACTGGACAATATAAAGCTTTTGTTATTTATTTGATTCCATTTGCAGAATTCCTTAAGGATGGTATTGTCCATTATCCACATCACTGTGCTCAGACTGAGCAGCCAATGCCAGACGCTGTGCTTCCTGGGCAGCTCCAATGGCCGCATGCTCGGCCGCAATCCGCTCGAATTCGCTCAAATGTTTGTTGGTTGCATGCACAACGGCCGCGCTGGCATGGGGAGCCGCTGCCAGAGACTGCAATGGGAGCGATTTACAAAATAGAGCTTACGAGTAGTTGCCCAATACTAACCGCTTGACCGGGCGTCTGACTGGCATGCTCTTGCGCAATGCGATGATAGAGCGCCAAGTGCTTGCGCTTCGCTGCCTTGACAGCCTCGCTGTCTTCCAACTCATGACTCAGTTTTGGATGAAAGCCATTCTCATCGGCCACATATTGAACCGTGCGCACCTGGTTTTTCGGATCGACATAGGAGAATGCGCCGCGAATTACGCCAGAGCCGTCTGATACTTCAGTGTGCTGACGATCCACGTGGCCAGGTGCTCGTCCTGCCTGGTAACTGAAGACATAGGGATTGGGTGGTCCACGATTCGGTTCGGTGGTGCTCAGATGCGAAACATCGGCGTACGCCCCCAGCACACAGACAACCTTGAAGAGAACAGGAAATTAATGTGGGTTTGCTTTGGCATCGCAATCAGCTTACCAAGATGAGCAAGTGCTTCATGTTGTAGCGTCGATTTTTAACTAAAGCTTGGCACCCAAGTCTCGCAAATTTTCGTAAGTCGAAACTGGTATTGAACAGCGCATTAGCTTTTATAAGCAATGGAAAGCTCTCGCAGCTGAGGCCAAACTTGTTTTGTTTTTTCTTGTTTCGCTGATAATCTTGCGAATTATATTGAAAGTGTCTAATAAATATGCGTAAACAACGTAATTAAAATTAAAATACATATTATTTTACATTTGTGATCATTTTTGGCGAATGACGAGGCGTCACATTTTTTTTACACTTTTTTATTAATAAACAAACAGAATGTTAACGACTTTTAAAAGGTAAAAAGCAAAACTACATAACTACTTACATATTTACAATTACATACTCTTAAAAGTTAAAGTTAGATATACCCCAATTATTGCAATAATTTCATTGTCTGTGCGACCCAATCATTATAGGCTGTAACTCGCGTATAAATGCCTGGATACTGTGCTTGTCCACATCCAATTCCCCAAGATACAATGCCCAGAAGCTTCCAGCGATGACCTATGTTGGTAATCAATGGGCCGCCAGAATCGCCCTGACAGCTGTCGCGTCCGCCAAATGGCACACCCGCGCAGATCATCGTATCGGTTACAACCCCTACGTCCATATAGGTGGCCTGGCATTCTGCGTGATCTACCTAGACGCAATTGTTTTGTAAATGTGCAATTATACACCCTTTACGTGAGTTCGAATACCGAGAGAGGTAAAATCGATCAACATTTTTTTTTAATTTTCCTAATTTTTTTTTTAATTTCTATAATTATTGTAAACATATGTGCAGAGTATTTCAAAGCCTGGACACTCGACTTTAGTTTCATTTCAACTTAGGTATCGTGCAATATGTATTAGTATAGGTTCAGTAATGTGTGATGTCGTAAACATACGCAAACATAGCTTATCTATGACTGTTCAGTTCCGAGAACAAACTTCAAGAGAAGCACTTCAAATTAAATCCGGCCGACACATCACATCAACCCTATGTCAATGCTGAACGACACATCCCATAGAGTCGATGCCCGATATTATCAGATAGCGCAAAGACGTATGACGATCACGATCACTTAAATTGTGTTGGTAAGAATTAAACAATCGAAAGACATTCGAACTTCTTTAACAATATTATGACTAGTGCGCCAAAACCGAAAATTGGTGTTTGAAGAAGTCAAAAATAAAGACAAAATGTAGGTTTGCGCGAGCTGAAAACTGTAACAGGCATATATTCTTGATGAGCGTGACAAGACAAGTCCATCTAGCCCTGTCTGTCCGTCTGTCCATCCGTCCGTATGAACACCTGGATCTCAGAAACTTTAAGACCTAGAGACACCAAATTTTGCACAAAGATACCTTATGTGTGTACGCTTTGCAAGTCTGTTTTATTTTTTTGATTCTCCCCCCACTTCCCCCCTATGGGGGCTTATCCGATTTTCCATTCGTATAATAGCCTATATCTCGGAGACTATAAGACCAAGGAACACCAAGTCCCAGATGCCTTATGTGAATACGCAGAAAATGTGTACTTTGGAATTTCCCTCCCTCCCCCCTCTCCACGCAATTAGTGATCTGACATAACTCCCGTAATTCTTGGAATAAAGTTTTGCAAATACCTCCAGTTAGTGATTGTGAGTCTGCATGCTAAGTTTCATAATGATAGGCCGATTTAACACAAAGTTATATATGTATGACCAAGCAGTGCCCGCAGCTGTTGTTGTTGTTGTTGTTGTTACTGCTATGCACAAGCTTTTCGTTGCACGCTTCGCATGCGCGTCTCATCGGTAGATACTCTTAATATTTCGACGCATTTTACCTTCAACCATTTCGCTATAAGTAACTCAAAGCCAACGTATGTAACAAAGTATGTAACATGCAGAAGGAAGCATCTCCAACTCCATAAAGTATATATATTCTGAATCAGCATGACGAGAGAAATCGATCTAGACATGTCCGTCCGTCTGTCCGTCCGTCTGGATGAACGCAAGGATCTCAGACACTATAATAGCTAGAATAATCAAAGTTGGCATCCAGATTCTCTTAGGTCCGAGAAAGGACGAATTTTTTTTTTTTTTAATTTTACTCTGATGGGCTTGCTTGACTGTAGCGTTCTCTCTTGTTTTTGTTTTCAACCAATTTTGAGTACAAAATAGTTTTAGAAAATTGAGCAAAAAGTTGAAAAACTTTTACAAATTTTGACCAACTGAGTTACTGCGTGAAATTGTTATTATGCGACTTAAAAATATAACGCTGAGGGTCTCTACACAAATTGAGACACATAAGCGGTGTTTACGAATGTTGTTTTTAATGGTACTACGATGTGTAAACCTTAACATAATCAATTTGCAACGATGCATCCTCCAGCCACTGGTCCAGCTTCGATTTCTGATGTGCCCAAAAATCGATCATGGCAATCGGTTGTTGCTCACCCCACGGCTTATGGGCATCGTAGAGGAACTCATTGAAGCCACCAACACTCAGACCGAAAGTCAAATAGAACTCCTGATCGAAGGGTGCCAAGCCACTGCCCTTCTCCAGTTCTGAAGCGTTGGGCAAACGCTTGCCATTGCTCGTCAATGAACTAAGTGCGCCATTTCGACTATCAAGATGACACAATTCCACACCATCAACAAGCCACTGGAGCTCATGTTTTGTCCAGTTCAGCGTGTACGTATGGAAACTATCACTCCAGTCAGCATTAGGACTTCCAACCTCGCCCGTTTTGTGGCACAGCTTCAACGAACGCAGAGGCTCTATGGCATTTAACAAGGCGCCAGCATAGAGATCCAGTTTGCCATCTGATTTCCGTGCATAGGCAATTCGCAATTGTCCACTCTGGTAGTTCTCGGGTCCGTATTCATGAACCTTGGGCTGCAGAAGAAGCTGAGGGAACACCCAATCCGCTCGTGGCATCTTGGCTCGTATCTCCACGCGTCCGTATTTGAAGCTGAAATAGTCTTTGCTTGAGAACTGTGCCGTTATAAAGGGGGCCAGTCCCTCTCGGAGCCTGCTGCCATCACGCACACACTCCATTGTACTCAAGGCGCCCGTGCAGCTGCTGCCCAGGTCCAACTTGAACTGCAGTTCGTTTTTCTTACGGAATTGATGCCTGGTTGGTTGTGGCTGCAATGTCACTTGGCCATTATTTACATTCAAAGTGTTGGCCGCATCGTCCATATAAATGACAAACTCGTAGTCGGGTGCGCCAGAGAATCGACGCTCCAGCTTCCATTTCTCGGCATTCAGTTGTCCATCATTGAAATCGTCGACAAAGACCAGCTGTCCAGCACATTGACGCGGCACGCCATTCACAATGGTATCAGTCGAAGAACAGCCAGTAGTTCCACTACTTCCTGGACGCCTTATGTCTATCTCATATACCTGAACCGGCGGGGATGAAGTTGCTTTTGCTGCCTCGCTAAGATCACTATACTCTCCGACAACAAACTGACCATCGTCCTCGCGATAGCCCAAGCCATTATAAATGACATAGGTCCAATAGTAGAGAGTATCACCCGGTTTCAAGCTGGCTATTCGGTCTCGAAATGTCCAACGTCCATTTTTCGCCTTAACTATATCACGTGCCCAAGTGCCCGCCTCTAGACCTTCCATCTCTTCGTTCAGCTTGCCATGAAAAGCAAACAACGTGATGCCCGGCTCATCTGGTATGGAGACCTCGAACCCCTTCGGATAAAACACTTGGATCCTTGCCTTTGGCACCTCATAGGCCAGCACGCTAGTCAAATACCAGCAAATAGTAGCGATTCCAAGAAATCGCAATGCGTACGCCATGTCTATAAATACAGAGACACAAATGCTTACTGATCTCCAGTCGACTTGAAGAGCGACGCAAAGGCTTATCAAAAAACAGGTTTTCTTTGTTCATTAAGCGTTGTTCTTACTAATCAATGGATGGCACTATGGGTCAAGTAAGCATATTTGCTATGTAAATTCAGCCACAAGAGCTCTGTACATACTCGTACATATGTATGTATATATTACAAGAAAAAAGTTTTCATTTCAACATAGGTATCGTGCAATATGTGTTAGTGTAGGTTCAGTAATGTGTGATGTCTTAATCATACGCAGATAAGGTTCATTTCAAATCTCAATGTACCCTTCACTGAAAAGTACGGGTGTATCAGTTTGTAACACCCAGAAAGAATAATGAAAGACCACAAGCCATAGATAACATATAACGTGATATGTCCGGCCATCCGTCTATCTGTTTTATCTGTATGACGCATCATTTGGAAAGGCAAACAAAACCCTATATTTCATAAATAATCCTATATTAGATGTCCCATTACGATCAAGAAAGTAGTAGCAAGGATTACTTGCAAGAATATTTATTTTCAAAAGTAATGATTGATAACATTTAATCGTTTTTTTTTTTTTTTTTCAATTATAATGATTGACAATAATTAGTTGTTTAATTACTGTACCCTTAGACCACAAACTTTCCATTGTCCTCGCGATAGCCCTGGCCGTTGTATAGAACATATGTCCAGAAGTAAAGCGTATCGCCCGATTTCAACTCGGTCTCCGTATCACGATAAGTCCAACGACCTCCTTCAGCTTTCGTTATGTCTCGCGAAAACTGTCCTGCCTCCAAGCCGTTAAATCCTTTGTTTAGCTTGCCATGAAAGGCGAATAGGGAAATGCCGTTTTGATCTGGTATGGATACTTCGAACCCTTTAGGTTTAAGAACTTTGATTTGCGCCTTGGGCGCCTCGAAAGCATGACTGATCAAAATAATGGCCAGAAAATAGCCGCAGAACAATGCGAAACTCAAAGAAGCCATCGTAATGTCTAAGTTGCAACTGTAATTTCTGCACGAGTGCCCTACTCTTTTATAATAAATGATGTATCCCCATAGCTTATCTATAACTGTCCAGTTCCGAGAACAAACAGAACAGACACATTAAATCAACCCTATGTCAATGCTGAACGACACATCCCATAGAGTCGATGCCCGATATTATCAGATAGTGCAAAGAGGTATCACGATCACTTAAATTGTCAATATTTATATATTTATAACATGCAAATAAAACTCATCACACCATGGAAGAAAAGAAAATGGAATAAAAGGAACAATCACATATGTACAAGTATATGTAAATGTACTACACACACATATGTATGTGTTTGTCACCATTGTTTTTGTAAGTAGTAACGTATAACTACCTGCCTAGGGAAATTATTTCGCCTATACGAGTATAATATATACATATTTGTAACTAATAACTATTCTCCTATTGATTTATTTACTGACATGGGATCAGAAGAATTGGTTTACTTACTTGACCACCGACTTACTTACAGTTCGGTTCATTGTTTCGTTCGATATTTAGATATACACCTACAATTTGTTTATTAGATCTGTGCAGAGTTAACGTATTATAGATAAATAAACTGAACAGCTCATGCGAGGTTAAGTTATAAAGATCAACGGAAGAACTATCGAACAAAGCGTTTCCGTTGAGAACTAAACCAATTTGTATATCGGTTATTTATTTATTCCATTTCAGTATTTCAACTTTCAACAAAATGTTGAGAAAAACGTAGACTCTAGTTTACAAACATTAAGCTCTTTTCGTGCTCTCTTTAATTCAACTAAGCATATACCATATATTCTGAAATTCAAGATAGTGAACTGCATCTGCTTTCTACATACAATATTTTAAGAAAAACATAGAGTCTGTCAAACATAAGGCTGTTTTCGGGCTTTCTTTAATTCAACTATATGCTATATGTACTCTGAAAATCAAGATAGTAAACTGGACAATATAAAGCTTTTGTTATTTATTTGATTCCATTTGCAGAATTCCTTAAGGATGGTATTGTCCATTATCCACATCACTGTGCTCAGACTGAGCAGCCAATGCCAGACGCTGTGCTTCCTGGGCAGCTCCAATGGCCGCATGCTCGGCCGCAATCCGCTCGAATTCGCTCAAATGTTTGTTGGTTGCATGCACAACGGCCGCGCTGGCATGGGGAGCCGCTGCCAGAGACTGCAATGGGAGCGATTTACAAAATAGAGCTTACGAGTAGTTGCCCAATACTAACCGCTTGACCGGGCGTCTGACTGGCATGCTCTTGCGCAATGCGATGATAGAGCGCCAAGTGCTTGCGCTTCGCTGCCTTGACAGCCTCGCTGTCTTCCAACTCATGACTCAGTTTTGGATGAAAGCCATTCTCATCGGCCACATATTGAACCGTGCGCACCTGGTTTTTCGGATCGACATAGGAGAATGCGCCGCGAATTACGCCAGAGCCGTCTGATACTTCAGTGTGCTGACGATCCACGTGGCCAGGTGCTCGTCCTGCCTGGTAACTGAAGACATAGGGATTGGGTGGTCCACGATTCGGTTCGGTGGTGCTCAGATGCGAAACATCGGCGTACGCCCCCAGCACACAGACAACCTTGAAGAGAACAGGAAATTAATGTGGGTTTGCTTTGGCATCGCAATCAGCTTACCAAGATGAGCAAGTGCTTCATGTTGTAGCGTCGATTTTTAACTAAAGCTTGGCACCCAAGTCTCGCAAATTTTCGTAAGTCGAAACTGGTATTGAACAGCGCATTAGCTTTTATAAGCAATGGAAAGCTCTCGCAGCTGAGGCCAAACTTGTTTTGTTTTTTCTTGTTTCGCTGATAATCTTGCGAATTATATTGAAAGTGTCTAATAAATATGCGTAAACAACGTAATTAAAATTAAAATACATATTATTTTACATTTGTGATCATTTTTGGCGAATGACGAGGCGTCACATTTTTTTTACACTTTTTTATTAATAAACAAACAGAATGTTAACGACTTTTAAAAGGTAAAAAGCAAAACTACATAACTACTTACATATTTACAATTACATACTCTTAAAAGTTAAAGTTAGATATACCCCAATTATTGCAATAATTTCATTGTCTGTGCGACCCAATCATTATAGGCTGTAACTCGCGTATAAATGCCTGGATACTGTGCTTGTCCACATCCAATTCCCCAAGATACAATGCCCAGAAGCTTCCAGCGATGACCTATGTTGGTAATCAATGGGCCGCCAGAATCGCCCTGACAGCTGTCGCGTCCGCCAAATGGCACACCCGCGCAGATCATCGTATCGGTTACAACCCCTACGTCCATATAGGTGGCCTGGCATTCTGCGTGATCTACCTGGAAGATGCTGGTGTAACGTAGCCTCGTCTCAGTTATAAGCGAAGTACCCGTAGTTCCCCATCCGGTTATGTAGAGCGGCATTTGAGGATGCACAAAGTCCATGGGCGAGACCAAAGCTATGGGCTGTATGGATGGACTGTAGACAAGCGGCTGTTGCAGCAACAACAAAGCAATGTCATGGTTCAGTCGCGTAGGCTCTTCAAACTGGGCATGGGGAATGATGCGACGGACGCCTACAAAGCTGCCTCCACGGGCCCATTCATCGCTGCCAGCGCGTACGAAGTACAACTGCGGTTTACTATACTCTCGCACGCAATGGGCAGCTGTTAGGATAATGCGGTTGGTGAGTATGGAACCGCCACAAGCATGACGCGTTCCCATCTGGATAGACACTTGGTGTGGAAAATAAGAGATTGAGGCCTCAGAGCCACCCACAATGCGACCATCCTTGTTCCTTATCGCCCCTGCTGTTGTATTTAAAGCAGCGCCACTTGAGAGCTGCTGTTGGATTAGCAGGAGCAAAGCGACGACAAATAATTGTATGCTGTACATGGTAAAAATTGAGATGACTATTGCTGTGACTGCCACCAGCTGCCGGCATATTTATAGGTAAGTTCTTTTATCTTATCACTGCTATCTGGCGAATGACACAAATTTTCACACGCAGTCCATTGGCCTCGCTGGTTGGCATATTATTTAAAGCAGTATTCTCCAACTTGACCGTCAACTGGATTATGGCAGGTCTTAGTAGATTCTTCACCCTACGCTTTAGCAAGGTTGCACTATTTGGTGTTTATAAAAAAAATATACAAGGCGTCAAGAAGCATGTGGAAGCTTGAACTTAGAGAGCGTGCGTGTTCTAATGTCTAGGTTTTTGCTCTTCCAATCATCTTTCCATGGCCGTAACCTGCTCCTTCAGATAATCCAAATGATTTACGCTGTCCTGCATAACATCATACTGATAGCCCACATGCTGGAGTATGAGCGTCATTTTATTCAGATTTGATGAACTATAATCGGACACCACATCGACCTGGGTAAAGTTTTTGAGTGTCTGATGCATTATCTATCAACAACGGAATAAGGAGTTGTGCTTTGGTGTTTGCATTAAATCTACAAGGAAGTATCTTACCTCATTGGTTTTGGAGCCCCTCACAATTTGCCTCGCTACAGAGCCTAAATTATTGACATTTACGCCCACACGAGCGCACAGCCGCTTCTTGGAATCATCAAAAAGATGTCGTGCACTTGAACTAGATGCGGAAGCCATTGCGTCGGAGCTTTTTATGAGTTGCTGTATTTGTCGTTTTTATATTACTACAATGTATTATTGATTTCCAATTTTATTTGATTTTCCGCAAGATCCACGACCAAATTTTCTTTCGTAAACAAAAGCCACAATAAACAGCTGTCAAGGTGAAAGCACCCTAGCGGGTTCTATAGCAGACAGCTTTCTGCTTATATGGCAGAGTGCTGCCAGATTGATGGAAAAACTGAGTTTTGCTATTCAGTTTTCATTTAAAATTACATTTTTCAATTATGTTGAAATTAATGGCCAGTTACTTCCAATACATGCATACGTAATTATTATTTGTAAGCGTTTTAATATAAAATCGATACGAAATGAATAAAAAATACATACAAAGAGAGCATTGTGGTAGAACAGATAGTGAAAGATTCAAGTGAAAAATAGCACAACTCCTACTATTTTTAAAGAGATCGTTGTACTTTTTGCAAATCGCAAGTCGTTTTGTAGTATCAGCCAAAATATCTGTTGCGCCGTTTAAAGCAATGCCCTACACTAGGCTTGGCACCCTGGCAGCGATTATTCCATGCCACCCATGCGGAAAATCCTTGCTGCCGCCTTATGTACTTGGCACAGGCTATGGAGTAGCGTATATCATCGCTGAGCAGGAGTCTGCAAGGCAAACGACAGCCATCCGTTGATGGTCGCCCGTCGGCTGGCTTGCACCAGTATCTGTCGTTGATCTGGAAGAGACCCCAATCCACAGACCCATCCACATTATAGGGATTAATGGCCTTGGTGTTAAACGAACTTTCACCCTCAACCAGGCACATCCAGTCGGGCAGCTCGTTATAAGGCACACCATAGCGATGGAGCTGACGCACAAGACTGCATCTTCCCACCTGCCGCCCGTTGGTAAGTCCGGCCCAACACAGTATTGTAAGCCATGCTAGGAACAAACACGTTCTACTCATCTTTTCGTACTGTGAGCCGATCTAATTTGTCGTTGAGGCTTTTATAGTCGCAATCGTCCGTTATTTAAATTGGTTTACAAGCATTCATTTACTGACAGCTTGGCTCTGAAGTGAGCCACACTTCAGCATAAATTATTTAGCTAAGCTTTCCATTCTAACGCGTGCTGTGTGATCAGTCCAATTTTGGCCAACTGATCCACGCATTAAACTAAACGTCAGTTTCACTTTCAATAGCGAAGCGGGTTCTTTGTTGCCCCATATGGCTATTATTTAACATTAACGTGGCCATTGAGAATCGAAGAGACTGCCTGGCAGCTGCTTCATCAAAATACAAAAGCACTTGAAAGCTGACAGAGCGTGCACAGCCACTTTTAAATAAACTCATAAATGTGCCAACTTTTAGATAAAACAATTGTAAGTGTCGTTCAACTTGTAAGCAAGTTTTATTCTTCTTTTTTTTATAAAAATATAAAACAATAACAAAAAGATTACAAGCCATAGCAACGCCCCACAAATATACGAGTAGAATGTACAATATTCACAGAATATTTTCGTAAATGTTGTGATTCGCATTACAGGTTTTATTAGGTTAAAAAATTTAATTTTGGCTTTGCTCTTTGGCCATATTAGCTTTATTTTTCACATTTCTAGAGGACTATCCTTTTCTACAAAGGCTTTGCGTCCAATTCCTGCAACTCTTGCTCCTTTATCGGCAGATTCTGGGCCTCCTGCTCCGTGGGCGGCTGATAACCACTTCTGGGCAAATATTGTTTCTTCCTCGATGTGGGACGCACCAGAATGTGTGCGATACATGTTAAAATAGCCGCTATAGCGAAATACCTAAAGCTTGCTCGCCCACCCAATCGCTTAATCATAATTCCACCTATTAGAGAGCCTATGGAAAAGCCTAAGCCATCGTCCATGCCTGCCATAAGGCCCTGCACTGTGGCAGACGTTCCTGGCGGAGCCACGGCCGAAGCATAGGCCACAATGCACGTGTAGCACAGGGCATAGGTGATGCCTTGGAAGAATAGTTCGACTCCCACCAAGTACCAAGGATTTGGTATCCAAGAGATCAGAGCTAGGCGCACGGCATAAAAGAAAAAGCACATGCTCATGCAATGCACATAGCCCAGCTTCTTAATTATCTTGCCGCTGTAGAAAAAGAAGGGCACCTCGCCGGCCAGGCATTCGGCAGCCACAACTAGTCCCTCAATCAGCTTAATCTGATCCATATGGCCCGTCTGATCGGCCACCTGCTCTACATGCCAGAACATAAAGTAGATTATGAACGAGTCGATGATGCCGGCAATGGTGGCAAAAATCAGGAACACCACTATTGGAGGCTGTCGCACCAACTGCCACACATCCTTGAGTATGGACTCGGAACTGCCCAACTTTGGTAGCTTTAACTTGGACACGCTAAATAAATCTAGAGCACTAAACAGAAACATAATGATCAGGGCTGGCGTAAAACTCTTTACAGCATCTTCAGTCCAAAGATTGACGACAATCCCTGCCAGCAGTGCCGTAGCTCCGAATCCAATGGTGCCCCACACACGCTGCGCTCCGTATTTACTCTCCTCCGCCTCGCCCAGCATATCAAAACATATAGCATCCGATATGCTATTGGTCACATTAAAGCCAATAGTACCGATAAAGAGCATTACAACGAAGAGCCAAAATGAACTGCTCCCATAGATACAATGATCGTACTGAGAAAGCGTACAGTTGGCCAAATTATTGCTCGAATTCCCGGCCAGTGGCGAACGCAAGGAACACATGTGATAGCTTCTGTTTCCGTGAACCAAATTCTGGCTGAGATTGAGAGAAGTCGATGCGTCCACAGCCACGATAAGCGCTGGAAAACTATAATTTTCCTGTTCGCACTGGGCAGGGCGAGCAGTTTGGCAGGAATTGGGTATGATCTCGGTCTTAAGGAAACAAAAGATTACGAAAGATTTAAAGATTCAGTCAGGCCATGATACATATGTACATATAGTACATACCTCTAATTTGCAGAGCTGCAGCTGCTCTTCTGGCATCTTCAGCTGCCACCGCTCACTTCCATTGTCCAAAGGTATCAAATGAGTATTGGTTGGTAGGAAATAAAAGCCGCCATAGGCCAAAGTCATAATCACAATCAATGTCATAAATATATATTTGCGCATAGACTGGAAAAAATTCAATTCTTTTAAAAACCCCGTGCAAAAAATATCCAAAAACCAATATAGTTAAGAAAAATTCTCAGAAACTTCTTCCAACATAAATCAAAATCGTTCTCAATTTTCTTTATGGTGGCATTAAATCGAAATTGTAAACAAAAACCTTCAAATTACAAATAAATAAACAAGCTCCATAAATAAAATCATACTTTTCCAGTAAAGGAGCTTTCAAGATTAAATCAGTTTTAATGTTTCTGGGGGCTGCATAAATATATATTATTTGGATACACAAAGGATTAAAGGGTATCCAAACTTATAGTATTAGTTTAGATTAGTTTAGCAGCCATAGGAACGAATTCGGTTTTTGTTTTAAAAGTCGGCCCGCCACGAGTTTGAAGTTCTACTAATTTTACTTTATCCCAGTACTCGATCTATTAGCAAATCTTATCATAAATCTTTCTTTATAAAAACGTTTAATTTAAGAATTATTAATGCGTGATAACTTACACTGAAGTAGTCAGCAACAAATCCAATCATCGGCTTAGCTAATACGTATAATATGGGAAGAACAGCGGTTATGTAGCCCATGACATCTGGCGGTATACCAATCTGTTTGCCTAAAACAGATAGTTGAGGCAAAATGGGACCCATAGCTGCACATATACCCACACAATTAAAACATAGAGATCACGAATTGAAATTTATTAAAGCTTACCCGCCATGAAAAATAAAAAATGCGCCTTGATGGGCAACAGGCGTTTGTTAATGCGCGCCATTTCCCAATAATTTACAGTTGCTCTAATATTAATATATAGTTATATGTATTGACTATATCACAGTTTTCACTTGAACGACTCCCTTCGCGATATTGCGGTCTGTTGTTTTTATTTTTATTTTTCTACAAAGGTTTCTTTTGATAAGCCCATGCTATTTATATGCGCTAATATGGGTCATTATAGTGCACTATACTATACGCTCTCCCACGGGGTCATCTGTTTGCAGTCTGTAAATAGAAAAATGCGAGATAATTGTAATCTTAGTAATCTTATATATAGCAGACAGTCCGTAGAAATTGTAATATGGAACACACGTGAAGCATATAAAGGGAACCGTTGCCAAGCAACATAGGTTTATGTCCCGATAATAAAATCTGACAATGGAGGAACTATACTGATGCTCATACTTTCGTAGACGTGCGAATCTTATCTAAGCATATGGCTGCAATACTAGTCAAATTTTGTGAGCCTATATAGATTATAGCTACGTGGAGTAGACCCAGTTCGCTCTATTTGAACTACATATGTATGTACATAGTACGTTATATTGCTATAGGTTATGTCTGTGTGGTTTGCTAGCCAAGCGAGACGTAAATAAAAATCAACATTGAAGCAAATGTGGTGTGCATGTAACTTGATAAGATAGATTATTAAATGAAATTACAAATTAATTACGCTATAAGATCCTCGTTCTCGCTGTCATGTAGCTTACCGGAATGCCGTAGACTGCTATAAATCGAAACAATCCATTCCACCTACACCAAGATACATATGTACAAGTATAAAGTATGAAAGTAATTTATATATTTGTTCACTCGCCTACCATAGCTGCTTAGTATGTGGAGAAGAGAAATAAATTTCTAAATCACTGACTAGCTCAACATAGTCCGCATTTTAAATGAATGAATATGAATACCTTGTAGAGACCTGAATATTATTCTATGCTCTATAGTTTAGACTCTAAACTGTCTAAGACATGAACTTAGATCACTCATGAGACAATGACATTTCTAGTTGAAATCCACACTTTGTTTAGCTAAATACGTGCCTTTCATTGGCATACGCTTAAGCCTGATTATGGCTTAACCGGCTGGTAAGTGATTAACTACAAACTTGACATACAAAGCGTATGCTTTCAGCCCGAATTGATTACCAAAAATAAAAGACCAGCTACCTCTTTAATTGTACTAATGTATAAATAGCTGTTGGCCATAAATGAAAATATTCCGACAGCTCAAAAAAAATGATTGGCCTAAGGTAATGATCATTAATCAAGCCTTGCAGAGGCAACAATATTATAAAGCTAACAAGAAATCCACACACAACACAAAATTCCCAATTTTAACACGACATAGTACATACTTGTAGTTGAAGCGAGTTCGCGAAATTCCCACACATGCGTAAATCACAAGTGAACGTTAAGCAGTTGGATATACAAAACGACAATAAGAAGTACAACCTACTAGTACAAAGGTAAACTACCAATGTATAGAAAGTATAAACAACCTTTCGATTTATTTAACAAACAGATATATACTCGTATATACTATAAATAGCATAAAAAGGCATACAAGCAATACTTTTTCGTTTGCCAAACTAACTGAAACGCAAAATGACTTACAAGGTGGGAGTAGAGCTTGCACTGTAGTAATTAAATTGGCAATTAGTCAGTAATTAAATATTATTTCCCAGAGCGCGCAAACTCACACGAAATCACAACACAATTGAGATCAAGCCGAGGCGTTTCAACGACTCTAAGTGCGAGCGACTACTGATATTGAAAGGTAACGACGCGGTCGACTCTAGAATGCTTTTTACGACACATACATATATTTAACAGAATAGGCCGGCATTTATTGATAAGACTAGGTCTAGCAGATAAGCAGCTGTAAATAGACGATAAACAAATACAATTTAAAAACAAACTTCCCTTGCTGTGGGGGTGTACGATTGCAGCCAATAAAGATCTATGCCACTAATTAATTTCAAACTGAATACACAATAGAAGAGCTACATAGTCGTGCGTTATTAAGCAGGGCTTCCAAAGATCTCGGAGCGGGCGCCAACATATCGATGCTCAAAATAAATATTTGTCTATAGCTTCGACCATGTTATCTTTAGTTGCAACTTTTTTATATACGAGACCTTACACTTCATTCCTCTACAGATATGATAACCTCTAAAGAAAGTTTGTCTTTTTATAAATCTTATAGCATATAGTCGTATGTAGACAAATCTCTCAAAACCTCTATCTCTATCAATGTTTTTAAAACAAATTGAAAAATTAATTAAGAGATGACTATACTACTTTAAATAATTACAATTAAATACATATTGTGGAGTTAAGTTGTGAAATTTCTGATAAATTATGTATATAAATAAGAATATACAGTTAAAGAGGCATCTGGGGTTTTATTTGTCCGTAAGTGTCAGTATGTTTTTCTTGAACCTATGAAGACATTGAATAAAATAGTAGCGCCTGTATAAAAATGTATTATAAAAGTTTATTATACTATACATACTTATGTACAAGTTGTTTGCAGGTTACGCAGGGATTCCCCAAAGCACTCGTGTGCGAAGAAACTACTAAATCGCAGCTATCAATTATCAACCTTAAATTTGAGATTTTCAAAGCTACGCTTGACTCATCGATATCAGCTGGCTTCGTAGCTTTTTTCCTATTATTATTGTTGTTGTCCGCATATTCTTAAAATCTTTTAAAACGGGTTTTGCTGTACGCTTTGCCGCGCTGCGTTGCGTTGAAGCCCACATGTAAGCCCCGAGCAGGGATTGTCGAGCAGTTGCCGCTTATCGTCCGTCGCGTGTGGTTGAGCCGCCGGTCAGCTCTTGACATTTCGTCAGATTGTATATATGTATACGTACGAGTATGTTTATATAGAATATATACATACATATTATATATACACATACTATATATGTGTATGCATACTATTGGTAGGCGTTTTTGTGCATCGTGTTGACAGCTCGGCTAATTAAAAATTCAACTGGTATTAAAGCTCAAAAAAGTGCAAATTAAAGGCCATAAACGAAACACTTTAGCAACTAAATTTATTGTCTACGAGTATTGTGATATTTTACAAAAAATGAAATTGTTTACATTATTTATTATTCCGTGCGCACTTCTCTTATCACTAAGCGTCGCCATCGAACCGCCTGATGATGGAAAATGTAAGTTCAATGATATTCAGAAACAGAACCTCGACTGTGGACTGTTTTTAAGGCTATAACATATTAGCTTACCAGTCCTTTTGAATTTCGAATACAAGATGAAAAATAAATTTAAAATATATGTTAAATCTATATGAGGACCTACAACGTGGCACTAAAATATATCATACATAATAGATTATTTTCCTTTTTGTAACAACATTATTTAATTCAATTGAGAGTTTTTCATAACAGAACAATATTTTCATATAGACGTTCGTCCCGTTTCCATGAAAGCTTTACGATTAAACAATCTGATGTCATCGGTTGAGATAACTAATCTGCGTTAAAATGCAGAACACCCGACTAAATTTTATCCAGTCATAAAAATGCAGAAACATAGACAAATTTGATTTAAGTGGGGTGATAAATTAATACCCTGAATAGTTAAGAGCTGGAATAAACACCATTTTGTATACCTAGTAGCTCAAACGCTGCTCAAAATCAGCCTTTAATTCAAACAATAAACAGTAAGCGCGTCTCCAACAAAGAACAATTTATAACATCTCTGCGGCTTTGAAAATAAATATGCATACAAAATTATTCATTGCAATACAAAATATTTAAAGTGTTACATATATCAATTAACTGTTGCTTGTGCCACACCTAACTCTTTTCCCACATTAAATGCCAAATCTCGTGAAATTAATGCAATTCCCTACTGACCTTAACCGAAATAAATACACCGCTCGATGTTTTTTTTACAACCTGCCAGGTGGCTGCGTATAAAAGGCAAAAACCTGTCCCTCGAAAAAAATAAAATAAAAAGCGCACACACACTTAACTAAATATCAGATAGCCGGCACATTCAAACATATACTATATAAGCCAACCGAAGCAGAGGTAAGATGTGGCGGCGACCCTGAAAGTTAACGATACACCAGAACTACCTTGACTCTGTGCGTCTATTTGGCGGCCGTTGGAGAATTCTTTATAATCGATCTGAAAAAACGAATGAAAAATTTCCCAATGACGTGCGTACTGGGCGAATGCAAAATGCAAATGTTACGTGGAACCGGTCGCGCATGCTTAAAAAGGTTAGGGGAATTTTCGAACCAATAATCAGAATAGCTTCCGAAAACTGTATGAGCTGCTGCAGCTTGAACAAAAGTCCCATGTCTGCGAAATTAAACGAGTTCTTCAAAATGAATTGAGATCTTATTTATGGAGCCAATTTATGGACCATCATTTCTATGACGTTTGCTTTCTTCATCGCATTCTTTCTTTCTTTCTTACTTCTCAGTGCGCGTCTGTATTGTGGAGTCGCGCGGCGTTTATCGAAAGACCGCCAAGTTTTGTCCACAGCTGGAAGCCACCAGTAATATAGAGTGCGTTATTGGAGTCGATAGACTGGATTGTGTAAGACGGATACACAAAGGGACTGCGCACTTTGGAGTTCTCACCTCCGAAGATCTGGTGGCGGCCCGCTGGGCAAGCGTCGAGATTTTAGTAGCCAGCGAGCTGCGTTCGCATGAGGCACACTTCGAGTACGAAGTAGTAGCCGTTGTGGACAACGAGGCCAACATTCATACTGTACATGATTTGCGTGGGGCCAAGCTCTGTCATCCCGGCCATGGTTTAAACAATCATTGGACGGAAGTATTAGCTAATGTAAGTACTAGAATATATTAAAAAAATATACATGCATATATTGTAATTAAGAAACATTCTTTTTTTAGTATTTCGAGTCCGCTTTGGTGCCGAAATCATGCAATCCCGATATTACACTAACCGAAGATCGCATCGCCGCTTCAGCAAAATATTTTGGGCCTAGCTGCAAGGCCGGTCCCTGGTCTCCAGATCCCAAGCAAGATCGCATACTCAAGGATCGATATCCATCTCTTTGTCAAATGTGCTACGATCCATATAGCTGTGATGAGAATGACAAGCATTGGGGCCGGCGCGGTGCTTTGTATTGCCTGACTAGTGGAGGTGGAAGCGTCTCCTGGGCGCGATTAGATGATGTGCGCAGTCATTTTGGGGTAAGCGTTAACTAACCGAATAAGAACCCAAAACTAAACTACTCATATCAAGTAAAAAATGTATCTCAAGAATCAATTCGAACCAACATCAAACAGTGAAGATTATTTGAATTAATTTTCAACTTATACCATTTATAGCCTGTTTATATGTATGTATAGTAACAAAAGGCCGTACTCTATTCTTTACAGCTCTCGGGCATAGCGGCACAGGCAGAGCCCTCTGAATATAGCTACCTTTGCCCGGATGGCCATATGCAACCAATTAACACGACACGGCCGTGCATCTGGGTGTCGAAACCATGGCCTGTAGTTGCCGCTCGTCGTTCGCATGCTGCGCAGGTGCAACGCCTAGTCACGGGTCTCACACATGACGAACCGAACAGCTGGCAAAATGCGCTGCTGAGTCTTCTTGAAACCTATCACATCTTCACGGTACCCCTGGACAATGTTATACCCATCGATGATTATTTGGATCAGGCCATTGGTTTTCAATCCGCCTACAGTTTTCCCGAATGTAATCCACCGCGCTCCATAGTTTTTTGCACCACATCCATCATACAGCACATCAAGTGCTCCTGGCTGCAGGAAGCATCGCAGGTTTATGGAGTACAGCCCAACATCCAATGCATACGAACAACGAGTCTCGACAATTGCATGGACGATACCAGATATAAAACTGCCGATGTGGTTTTGGTCGATCAGGAGCAAAGAGTGCAAGCGCAACGGGATTATAATTTGGTCCCGTTGCTGTACGAATTTGCGCAGGACATGCACGAACGTTACGTCACTATAGCGCTGGTGCATAAAAATTCCGAATATCAAAGTTTCAAGGATTTGAAAGACGCGAGTGCTTGTCTGCCCTCATATGAGGGTGCGGCCCATTTATCCGTGCAGGATACCATTGTGAATACAACGGGCAAAATTCAATCTTTGCATACCTACTTCAGTCGCGATTCGTGCCTTTGGCATCCAAAATATGGACGAAAATGTCCAGACCACTATCGCGGCGACGAGGGAGCTTTACGTTGCCTGTCAGAAGGCGGAGATGTGGCCTTCCTCAGCTCGGATGTGTACAAAAAATATGTCAGTGGAAATTTAACATCGGATTGGATTGCACGCAACAACCCAAAATCCTATCGCGTGCTCTGTCCCTATGGGGGCATTGAACGCCACTCCAAATTCGAATACTGCTATCTACACTGGACCACTCGCGGCCATCTTATGACGCACAACTCGACAGTGTCGCGAAGAAATGAGATCTACAATTCTCTCCGCGATATGGACCAGCTATTTGGCAAACACTATAAGAGCGAAACTCGCCCTTTCACGCTGTACGGAATTTTTGATAAGCGCAACAACATAATGTTCCGCGATAGCACAGATGGATTGCTGGGACTGCAGGAGCTTCATCGGGATGAGGCCAAACGTATTATGGAACATATTTACGACCGTTATGCAACGCAATACTACAAAGCTACGGAAGATACAAGCGGAGCCAAAAATTTGGTTGGCAACATTTACATTGTCTTGCCGCTGCTATTACAGCTCGTTTTATTGCTGCGGCACAGACAATTATGAATTGAATGATTATGAACTATATTTATTGTGATATTACTTTACATGAGCGTATCATTTGAATTCAAGCTATGCCCCAAAAGGAGCACCACCCAGTGTTTTAAAACGTTGTAAGGCAAGTCTTGCCAAATAACTAAAAAACTGATAAGCAGCTTGCAATAAAAATTCTAGCCAGACATTAGTTTTAAACAACTCATAAAATAAATGATATAAAACGCAAATTTAATTGATAACTCACCTTTTGTGTATAAATTGCCAACAGCTGAGTATTTCCAAACACTGAAGCCATCGACCGCATCAGCTGTGAATTTTGCGCTGCCTTGTTATTGTTGCTATGATATTTAATTTATTGGTTGCCTAGGTGAGCAGAAAAATGGTCACAACCAAGACGACTTTACCAAGCAATATGTAAAGCGAACAAATCATTGATTAAATAGACGTGACATCCATTTTTAGCACTTCATTTTATTTAAAGTTAAACGAGTAAAAGTTTGCTGAAATGTCTAAGAATGCAGCGCGCGGTCCAACAGTGAGCAACAAAACAAACGTAAGCTTAGCCAAACAGTTTCAGAAGGAAACTCCGCACTGACACACACAGAAGCATAACTTTTATTGTTTATTAATACGACCTTATCTATGTACGTATGTATGTATGTATTTGCACTGCGCGCAACATACACTTCTACACTAAAGTCATCGAAATCAATTTGAGTACCAATTGCAATTTATTTATTAGAATAGGGAGGCACTCACAATCGCACGGGTATTCACATGCTTATATGTACTAAGCACTTACATACAAATTTATGTGCATACATGCTACGTGCGTATGCACATTTAATTTACTTCAATTGCTATTAATTATAATTTCCGATCTCGATATCACAATTCACTGTTTTGCTGCCAGTATTGAATAATACACAAACACGATTGCACCGTTGCCACTTTTTAAGAGAAACGCAGTTATTTTAAATTTTAGAATTTCCATAGCCCAAATCAAATGAGCTTGCACGGAAAACTACAAAGTCGCCAGCAACAAGTAGTGCTGCAAAAACAACGACAACAAGAAGCGGCACACACCAGTTGAAAAAACAGGATAGCTTGGAAAAAGAGCGTGCGTTAAAAAAAACCACAAAACCAGCGGCAAATGCCGGCAAAAAACCAACACCCCCGCCGCCGGTGCACACAAATAAAAACAAGGAGCGTGAGTCTGTGGCAAGTAAACGCACAACGCCACCACCCACCACCAAGCCCAAGGTCGCAGCAACATTGCGTGCAAGTAAGCAACCGCCAGTGGCAGTAAATGCAACCAAAGCCAAGCCGAATGCCGTGCTAGACACTTATCATAATGTTACGGTTGCATCGCCACCGCAAAAGCGCAAAGTTCCAGTTAAGCAAGCAACAACAGTGCCGGCTAGAGAGCCGGAACAGCAGCAGGAGCATGTAGTTTCTGACAAGGTTGCGGAACATCCACAAAGGGCGCGAACCTTGACGCGCACCCTCCAGCCAGAGGAGGTTGTAGTGCTAAAACGTGAATCAGCAAAGCAACGCATAGAGGCGGAAATACAAAAAGAAACCGCATTAGAATTGAAGGAGCCTATAGCATTTGAAGTTAATTTTGGGGCAGCAAAGAAAACCCCAAAACCCGTTGCTGAAGCTGTATATGACGATTACTCCGATGACTTTGAATCGTATGAGTCGGATTTTGAGTCATGTTCTAGCACATCTAAAGAGGAGGAGGAAGAAGAAGATCACGATGATGACGAGGATGATGAGGAAGAAGAGGACAATGAAAATGACCATAACCACAAAGAGGAAGAGGCACCTGTTAAGCCAGCTAAACAATCAAGCGTGTTCATCGAGACGCCATTACAAGTAGATGACAATGAGGAGGATGATGAATCTGAACCCACCCAAAATCCCATAACTGTCATACCAGGGGATAAGGAGCACGAACGCAAATTGGATTCTGGCCATTACGATATGCAAGCGCGTCGCCATCCACGTCTTTCGGAACTCGCATCTCAGTCCACACAACATCAATGTGATAGTTTCGATACCCTTAGCATTGCCAATTCAGAGCAGCTGGACTCAGGCATTAGCAACTACGGCATATCCGCTTCGGAGCCATCCAAAAGCGGGCAGACAGATATTCATTTTGGTGGCTATGCAAACTTTATACGTCGCCCGGTTATTACGCGTCGCGGTACAGAGCTCATGAAAAAGCTACGCTTTTATCAGCTTCAATACGATCTGTTTGATATGAAGCCGCTTAGCTATGAGGGCTACATGCAGACCTATGGCAAACTAAATACCTGTCAGATGGCTACACAAACACAGGCTCATCACATGCACAGCGAGTGCCAAACCATGGAGGTGGAAGTGCGCAGCAGCTGGACCCAACATCCTCCACATTATATGGGCAATGGCCAACAAATGGTTCTTAACTGCAGCGGAGAAGCGGGCATGGGTGCCGTTCAGGGTGCTTCAGTCCACCAAGACGAATGGGATCAGAGTTTAGTGCAACTGGAGGTATTACGGCAGGCCGAACAGGAACGAGCGCAACAACAACAACGTCAGCGTCTGACCAAGACCACTGATTTCGAGCGTCTCAATGCATTCCTATACAATGCAGCGTTACTGATCGGCAAAGTGATCTCGCGGCGCCGACAACCGACGCCTCTGCTGCAAACTCCTGCAGCCCACGGTTTTTTAAGCAGAGGTCATATTCCCCTGCAGCTGAGCCTCAACGCACTGTGCGTGCGTCGCATTTTTGGAGGAGGTGGTCAACCATTGCTGGTGACAGTGCACGAGTGTGCGCCACAATGCGATGTTTATCGTGCAGAATTCGCAAATTTATTAGTGGTGTGGTGCCTGACCGACACCACTAAACCGCTACGTTTGCTCTCCACCTGGGCCGAGGTTTGTCGTGTCGAGTTCTGTAGCGATGCCCCTGATATTGTTGTGGCCGGTCTACGGGATGGCAGTGTGGCCATGTGGGATTTGCGGGAAACATACACTTATTGCTCGAAACTAGACGGACACTTAACACATTTTGCAGCCACACAGTCTGTGTTGCCGAGTCTAGAGGGGAATTCCTTAGATATGGGAGCCGTCGTCGATATACGAAGTTTTCGAGCCTTGCCTGCGGCGGCTCCTGGCAATAGCTTGATGGTGTCCCACAAAGCCATACAGGTAAGTTAATTTCATGAAACGTACAAAATTGGGCTTTGCTCTTTATTTTATGGGGATTCCTGCTAAATAAGAAAAAGAACTGTCTCTTTCGACCCTTCTTAACCAGAAAAACAGAAAATATGACGGTAACAAGCTAAGAAATGCTAATTACTTCCTCCGGCTTATATCTTTAAGCTTTACTGAATTGCCTGTTAGTACATCAGAAGAGCAGTAGAATATGAAGAAGAGATATATTATTTTTACTTTACACTTTCTTCATCTAAGACTTATCGTACAAAGCTAATCCTTCCCGATCACTGAAACCTTTTCAGCTTTAATATAAACCAGTTCTTTTTTTTCTTCTCCATCGTTATGCATCCTTTTTTTAAACAATTATAATTTCCTTATTAGTTTGTATTTTAAAGGTGAGCCCAATATTGTTTACTCAGTTTGTGTTTAATTTAAATAACTTGTAGGTTATAAGTAATTTATTGTAATTAATTCCTTCCTTTACTTACAGTACGTTTCGCTGAATGACTCGGGCTTGCTGACTGTTTGGACCCTAATTGAAACAAGTGGCAGGCAAAGCAATTTACCGACAACTGCTCATGAGTATAGCTCGCCGTGGGCGCGTGTCAAGCTGCTCCAAAGCGCAATTTGTGATTTGCACGCCTATATTGAGCGTCGTCTGCTGAGGACCCAGAGCAAGTACGACAGGACCAAGTCGCTGTTTCAGGGCAACGTTTACAGCGATGACCTACTCCGTGAGCTGAACGAAACGCAGACAGCACCGGGGGAACTACAGGGTCTCCGCTTCACCAGCATCGACACTGGCTGTGAACGTATCTACGTTTGCACTAACCGCAATTTTGTGCTCTGCTGCACCAAGAGCCTGAAACAGGAGCGGTTTTCCCGGATTATGCTCAACGAAAGTCGCCTTTTATTTCCGACGGCACTTTGCGTTCTATCGAATGAAGACTTTCTTGCCGTAGGACTCTCGAATGGTTCGATTATGATAATTAACTGCAATCAGAGGCAACGAGGGGCGGCCAAGCCAACCACAGCCATGCCACAGACTCCGCAGTCAAGCGTTGGTCCAGATCCAGAAACAGGAAAATCCTGTGCCATACAAAATATAATACTGAATGAACGACGCTCCTTTGAGCAGACTCCTGATGGTTATGATTTACGCCCTAATACCGCCGCCTACGTGGACATGATTAGACATCCGAAGCGCGCCTATGAATTGCGCGTTTATGATCAACAATTGCTACTCGGCGGCAATGCTCTGCGCCAGGATTTGGTGCAAGCTTTGGTTCTGTCGAGCGATGGTTGGCGCCTATTTGCACTGTCAAATGGCATTCTGCGCACTTATGACTTCTATCTGGACAAGGAGCTGACTGGAGGTCTTAACAACGGTGCACGCATCACGGACATTGCCGTCGCGAACGTTTCGGCTAATGAGCAGCATTTAATTACACTTATAGGCGATGGAGAGGGTGAAGTTCAACTACACACCCTCAACTAAACTAGTCTGTTACCTCCTTGTTCTATTTATATGTATGTTTTTGTTAAACTCATTTTCAACCAATAAAATACAGTCCTCTGCAATCTTTTAAAAACATAATGTTAAAAATCAGTAATAATCTACTTTCCGTTTCCCAAATCATTGTAGTGCATATCGAACTGAAGTTGCAGCGATTCAAGAGGCACATATCACCAATATCCAAGTTTAATCAGAATAAAAAACAAACTTGACCTCAGGGGAACCTGGATACCAAGTTTGGTGATTCTAGTTCTTGTACCTTCTAAGATCCTTGCGCTCATACAGACGGACAGACAGACAGGACTAGATCGACTCGTCTTGTCGCGCAGATCAAGAATATATATACTTTGTGGGATCTGCCACGCCAAAAGGGAGTGAAACGGTATGCAGTTAGTGGGCTTTCAAATCCTGACCTGGCCTTAAACCACAGCACTCCTAAAACAAATAGGATGAGTTGCTTATTGCGGTAAATAGAATCACCAATGGGAGAGGACTTTTATAGGCGAAGAAGAATGGGAAATTATAGACACTCGCGAGATGCAATATCTTAATACTTCGTAATATTATTCTAAATGTCGAAGCTTTGGTCACTTCCAGAAGGTGAAAACATTTTATCAATGAGTTAGTTTAACACTTTGTTAAGCATACTGTAAATATTTATTATTAACAAAACCACAAATTGCTGAAATGTATGTACGTATGTATATATGTACATACATCCTCACACCTCAGCCAACTATATATATGTATATGTATATATGTACAAAATCCAAATTGTCCGTCCTAAATTTGTCTTGCCACGCCCAGCAGGCCGCCACCAGTCGCACCAAGCAGCTGTCTTACTGTTTGGAGTTCGTCTCGCAAGGCAAGCACCTGTGCTCTTAATATAGAGTTTTCCTGCTCGAGCAGTGCTGCCCGAAAGGCTATGCGATCCTCACGGATCTTGCGAGCATCCCGTGATTTCTTAGCCGCCTCGTTATTGCGTTTGCGTCTCTCATAATATTTCTCATCCTTTTGAGCATCGGGTATGGGTCGTTTCTCGCCACGCGGACGTCGCTGCATAAAGCCAGGAAACATGGCCACTCGATTTAACTCCATCAGTGGAAATTCTAGGCTCTGGAGCGCGTGATTCGGAGGTGCTATGTACTCGAAGGCGGGCAATTGGGGCGCAGCACCGTTTGTCTTAGTCGGACTGAGCACGCCTAGTCCGTGAAAGGGTATCGGTAGGCGTAGATTATGAACTGGAGGCACAGCCGCAGAGCCCGAGGAAAAGCTGAAATTAGGCTCTAGTTCCATATCCAGATCGCTGTGCATTGAAAGCGTCTCGGTCACATCGAGAATGGGCGATGACTTAGAATGTTCGTTGTGAGGCATTATTGGGAGCAGCGACTTAATTTTGAGAAGTTCCGCGATCCGATTCTTGCACATTGCCGCGACGAAGGCCGCGTTGTCTCTGAGACCAAGGCGTACGCGTAGCGAACTGCCAGTTACTGGCCTGGCTGCCTGGGTAATTATAGGTTGTTGTCACACAAGCACCTCCCGCCTGACAAACTAAATCTAAGCCATACTAGATCTACTAGGGAGGTCGCACCCCCAGCACTGGCTGATTCAACCAATCACGCAATGTTGACGATAATTATTCGTCAAATACATGACACTTTTCCATGTTGAATGACATTTATTTTGCTGCACAGTTACAAGGACCTCATATAACTGGTTATACCTTAGATTACACACACTCTCAGACACAAACCACGCCACCCCACACACACACATTCGAATGGGGTTGCGGGCCATGTATTGGCATGCGCAAGTATCCCACAGTCAGGGACATTGACCACATGTCGTGCTTTGTGGCTGGCGACCGGGTCGAGCTTTGATTTTGGGGTGTTTCCCGTTGGGGTTCCGTTGCCACTCCGATTATATGAGTTTGTCAACTATTATGCAGCTTTTTTAGGGCTGAAAACTTTACAAATAACCAATCAGAAGGCTGTCTGGTTCCCATTCTGTGGGCTGGGTTTGCAGAATGTTTCATTGAATTTTCATTATTTCCGCCTTAAATCATGATTACCAAGTTTTTGTATTTAAAAGAGCAACACTTCTATCTAATTATCTTTCGTTCATAAATGCCGAATATGTATCTAAAAATTGAAAATACTTATATACATATTGCATATGTTTCAGATTCACAAATTTCTATAGCCTGCACCCATAGTGTAAACAGGATTATTAGTTTTATTCGAATTTATTTTATATTGATCGGTATTACTAGATGAGTGTGTCTAGAATAACAAAACTTGCCTTTGGGTAAGCACCGTTCACAAAAAAGTACGTGCAACTAAGAGAAATAAATACAAGTATATATTATAATTAAATTGAAGCCCTTTGGAGGACAAGCTTGCGTTGCTTGATTCGCGAGTTTTCCATAACAACTGTAATTCGTTTCACAGATTACCAAATTTTGAAACATAAACCAGATTTAATGCAATTGATTTTGATAATAACCAGCTAGATAAACATATATACTTGTATAGCAATACAAACAAGTAGAGTGCCCGTTCCTAATGCAATACCCTGGACCTGGTTGGTAAGCGGGGTCCATCGAAAACAATCTGTAAGAATACAATTCCTAGTTCCTTTAGTTTCCATACTAGCGGTGGTCCTTGCGCTCATACACACAGACAGAAAGTCAGATAAACGGACATGTCTAGATCGACTTATTAAGTACATACGTCTTTTGTGGGGACTAAAGCGCCTTCTTTTAGGTGTTAACTAAAACTGAACAAGTTTATTGGAGGCCCCCTTCTGTGTCCTAATCGTGGCCAAACCGGTTGGAAATTATAGGGCTGGCTTATAAAATGTAGGCATACAGCTTGTCTCAACTTTCGGTTTATTCATCAGCATTTACTTTTTTCTTAATATGAACAAACAATCCATATCCATATAAGTATGTTAACCTTGCAATTCAGCAATCCCATTATATATGTACTTGTATGTACCAACATATATGTTTTAGGGCAAATCTACAATATCGTTAAAAAAGAGAGTTGCAAAAAGTTCTCGATTCAATTATAAATACTATATAACTGTCAAGTCAACCAGCCCAAAACGGATGTCCTACTCGTAATTATTGAGCCATCAGATGTCATACCTGCCTGTTAAAAGTTAATCATGACTTGCTAAAAAGAAGAAACGTCCTTTAAATACTTTCCCACATGTCACTAACTAAGCAAAACCAAAACTATTTACGTGTATATTCAACTCTAACCCGTTGAGAAAGTGTCACCTGTTAGTGCAGAACAAATTGGCAGTTGGGCAACCGGAAGTCAGAGACATCCTTACAAAATTTCATAATGTATGCGCTAATTTATTATCTGTTGGCAAAAGTTTTATTTAACCCTTTGACTGTGATGGTTGTCTTTTATGGTGTTCTGCTAACAAAGACGTGAAAATGGGGAAGAAGACGCCGAATAGAGCAGTAAGCCATTGCATGTTTGCTTGACATATAGGCCCGGCAATTGGCTAAAGGGGTACACTATGGGTTTTTTGGTTTCCAACAAAGTTCGTGAACTTGTTATGGGAGTGATTAAGGGCGGCTTACTAAGAATGCCTAACTAGGAAATAATTTATTTTACAAATTTGTTTGTTGTAGGGCTTAAAATGTTGTAATTAAAGTTAACAATGAAAGTTGGAATTTTAAATCATTACGAAAATACATAAAAACAAGATAGAACGCTACAGCCGAGCAAGCCCGATAGTAAAATAGCCTGTACTCTCCACAAAAAAGAAAAATTTAAAAAAAAAACATATTAAAAAATTAAGTTATTTAAAAAAAATTAAATTAATTTATTAAATTATTTAAAAAAAATTATTTAATAAATACATAGAAGACATGTTTATGTACAGCAGCAAGAACAACAGATTCGGGCAGCGCTGCAAGCAGAGCATGAGCAGCGATTTTATTTATGGCTATAACTTTCTTCAGAATTGACCTATCATGATGAAAGCACATAAGCACTAACTGGACGTAACTACTAAAACTGATTTCAAAATTCCAAGAATTACGGAAGTTATACAAAAAACAGGGGTGTATCAGAATAAAAAAATAAACTTGACCTGCCTAAGGATTAGGGGAACCTGGATACCAAGTTTTGTAATTCTAGCTCTTGTACCTTCTGAGATCCTTGCGCTCATACAGACGGACGGACGGACAGACGGACATGGCTAAATCGACTCGGCTTGTCACCCTGATCAAGAAAATTACATTTATACTTAGTAACGCAATATTGTATATTTTTTGCATAAATTTCAAACCACATTCGTGAGTACTGTAATTTCTCAATAACAGATCTCGGGAACATTTGAAATCATCATTAAAAATATATATTGGAACATCAGGTACATTTTCTCTCTTTCATATTGTCCAGTCTTCTTATATTTTGATATAAAAGTTAAAAGTAAATTTAGAAACATTCTGTAAATACTCAACATCTCTTTAAAAAATTTAATTTAACATTTTTGTAGAGGTGAAAATATATTTATCCAAAGTTTCAAAATTTATTAAATTGGATTCACAAAGCCCAGGAAAATGACATTACATAATTCAAGGTTTGATTACGCGCTTTCGAATGATTTGATTCGGAAACTTACTTAGTAATTTGACTAAGAAACAGTAGATGTCCAAATATTTACCCAGTGAAGCCCCACTACTATACACCGTGGAAAAAAAATTAAACCTATGTCCTGTGTCTGCAATTTGATTTCCTGCTTGTAAACAAAATACATAAACTGAAGTTGAAGGATCAAAATTTAGGCTTTTCACCCTTGGTGGTTACGGACTTGTAGGACACTAATGTACTGGGAGGTTATTTTTTTAGGCTATGTATTTATGTATTAGGCAAATTACTAGGTAATAAAAAGAACCCAACATGTAATTGTGGCAATATTTGAACAACTCAAAGCCATAATGGAGGAGCAAACAACGTGGACAACCTGTTAATGACACCTCTAATTGATTGACATTAGCGGTATGCACATGAGGTTAGATGGAGCGTAGAGGTCGAGCGTAGAAAAGTAGTATATGCTTTAGTTGTCCTCATATATTTATATTCTTAGTCATTCCGACCGAGATATACACATTATTAAGAACATATTGGAAAAAATAAACATCTGAAAATAGCAACATGTGTGACGAGCAACCAATATCCGACTGTGAGCCAACGACCTCGTCCCTACACCACAACACCTATCACATGCATTTGCCGCTCTATATTATGGATGTGGTGCGCATGTTTCAGGACCATCCAAAATATGCCTGTGGTATACAACAGCAACACATACTCGAAATGCTGGAAAAAGAGTGAGTAAATAGAGGATCATTCCTTTTGGCAATAAACATATTTCGAAACAACACTTTTTGCAGACCCTTCGCCTGCGGAGATCTGGAGGCCCAGGTCAAGACTGCCTTGATGGACCTGACGGCAAAGGGATTCGTGCGTTACATAAACAATGGCTACCGCACCCTGGGGCCCATCGCCAAGCTGGCCAATGCGCGCTCTGTGCGCCACTTCAATATGACCTGGGATCGAATTGCCGAGCTGCACAGGGTTACCTGTCCAAACATGGACTCCTGCGGGGTCAGCACTTGCTCACAACGTGGCAGCTCAAAGTGTTAGCCAGTTTAAGTGTTCCTTTTGTTCATATATGTTTTCGCTTAGCTTATCTAGTTATGTTTATTGAATTAAGTACTATGTAGCAATGGAGACGCTATTCGAAATTATCCAAAATTTTAATCTAAAGCGCACACACACACACAGCCATATATATATGTATGTACAAATTCTGTGAATCAAAATTAATGTTCATAAAATACTCAGCTCAAAAATACTATATAACAAAGCTTCCACGCAATTGATATTTCGTTTGTGCTTACGATTGAGGGTGGCTCATCATCATTATGTGCCCTCCAGTTGCAACATATGTCATAGGTCCGCCTCCACTCCCATCCTTTTGGCACTTAACCCTGTGTTTAATTTCGTATAATTACCATCAGGGTTGGCCTAATACTCGTACAGGTATTGTTGCATTCGTGCATTGAGGGGCACGAGTAAAAAAGGTTTTGGGTAATAGCCGAGAATAGAAACTCCATATATGCATGTATGTGTCCATGCTACATATATACATACATGTATCTGTAAACGAGCTCGATTATCAGTAGGGTGGGTGACCTATTTGGCATTCATTACTAATGTTCCCAATAACGCCAAACAGTCTTGGGAACTCACTATTAATTTTAGTTTCCAAAATAACTTTCATTACAAAACCTAGTGGAAACCTCGATACTGACGATCTTCTTACATTTACCAGTCTTGTTGTAGAGCTCAAAATCTCAGAAATGTTGTTCCACACATTTACAAATTGTTGCTAAATTTGTTTCCAGCTTACACAACGTTTTCCAGGAATTACCAAATTAAAATCAAAAGATCTAAATACTTTGGGTGTTCTCTCAAATCAAGTTTCTGCCAATGAAAGGAAGCTATATACTTTAGAGGATATCAAAGTATCTATTGTCCTGGAATCGGTCAAAATTAACAAAAAGTGCCTCAAAACGTAAAAAATCAATAGAATCCCATATAATTAACGTTATAAATAATATTTGGCACTTGATTTAATAAAATGCATAACCAGTTTTTTATTTAATAATATTAAAAATAATTAAAAACCATTTTTTGTTATTTGTCCCAGATACTTATTTCGCTCTAGCAAGCGAAAGCGCAAGCTATTTTAAGTCGAAGCGGTAAAAATTAACAGCACTTTTGGGAGAATTCTTGCTATAAGCAAGAGAGAAGATGATTTGAAATATTGATAGAAAAAAAACGCACACCTTATAAGTTTTTTGTTGGTTACTTATAAGCAAATGTGTGTATATTTAAAAATTTATATATATTTTTCTTAGATTCAATCTATTAGACCAAATATCATTTACGTAATTTTTATTTATTTTCGAAATATAAGATAACTATGAGAGTACATTCCTTTCTTTGGGTCTGAAAGTCGGCTTTCGCGGGAAGAAAAATTTCATTTCATTGATGGTATATTAAGTAAAATATTTCTAAAACTTAGGGACCATTTGGCTTTGAAGCACCACTTAGAAGCACCACTTATGATGGTCCAGCTAGTAGACATCAACGTAATTTACAATTTTTGGACATCTTTGCAGGAAAATATTTTTAGTTGCCAAATACTGTCCAAAAAAAACAACAGTCAACAAATCTAAGCGAAATATATACTCTATTTAACCCATAAAAGACCTTCAACGTAAAATATAAGAAAAACTCAACAATAAACTAACAAAAGTATAATGTCTATTAAGGCCTCTGATACATCAAAAGGGATTTCAGCTTAATGTAGACAGGAACGTTAGTCGACCAAACAAACTAAAAAGAGTTACCTAAAAAGAAAAGCTTTATTCCAATTAATAGCGAGGAAGAATACTTGGGGGGGAGAAATAAAAGAAAATGGAAAAGAAAATTTAGAAATCACTTTCAATTGTAAGCTCCCTAAGTTGGGGACATACTTGTATTTATAAACTCTGAAATATACTGATTACTTTGCCACAGCATTAAATTTTGCTGAAAACCCGTCTATAAAAGCACTCTTCTATTCTTTAAGATGAATATCGACTCATCTAAGCCCGTGTGAGGTATTAATGATTAATGAGATGAATTTAAATTCCCTTTAAAAGAGACCCATTTATGCATAGATGTACTTTGGCCATTTACATAATTAAGCGTCGGGAGTTTTAAGTAAAAAATCGATCAGTTGTAACATTTCACAACGCCAATATGTGTTCCTGATGAGCCCATTTAAGTGTCCACTTACCCCTTTCCCACGCGCTCGCATTGGCCTTTGAATTGTCAACACCAGACGGCACAGGCAAAAATTACAAAAAGAACCTGTCGTCGTATGGGAGCACCACGCATGAGATTCTTGCCAGGTGTTATTTATTGCCTTTCTAATCGTTGCGGCATAATCTATTAGCACCAGCGGCGACCTGACCCCAGCACGGAGCCCACCTATGCGATTGGACGACAGACAGGCTTTACTCATATGTGTATTTATTTCTTTTCTGCTTTTGCACATTAGTAGCAATTATTATTATTGTTTTAGTTTTCAAGTTTTATGACAACAGTTTGTGCTAGACAGTGCTTCATTTTGCTTTCTTTGTTATGTTTTAATGGCTAATAATTGTGAGCCCTGTGGGTGGGCAGAAACATTAATCAAAGCGTTGACATGTGTCTAATAACCCTGTCTGTATGAGCAAGCGAGATATGATTTTATTTTATAACTTAAAGAATAAACCTTTAAGAATATTAAATGGCAACTATTGTTACTCGATGTAGTATTCTGCTGTCCCACAGCTTTCGATATGACTTAAATGTTATACAAAATATAGTAAGTATAGTTATTACAAAATGAATTTGTATTCAAAATGTCAATATTGTTTTGAAACTAATTTAGGGCATCGAATTTATGTGTAATTTCTAACGTAATTATTACCAAACATGTAATACTTTTAGAATAGTATAGTTTAGGTTTTAAGAAGACATAGGCGCCCTTTCTTAAAACATCAAAATAATAATGCAAAAATACGTAAACCAATTAATATTTTCTTTTACTTTGAGAAAAAATTATTCATTTTCTTATCCATGGGCTGAAACTTTTTGGTGTCATTACTCTCCGATTCCGAAATCGATGGCGGATCCGAGGTTACTTTACGCATTTGAAAAAAAACAAAGATGCCGATCAACAGCAGCATTAGAATGATTACTGCAAATATGCCAGCCCGAAATAGCTTCATTCGGCGAGCTTCTCCTCTCTCCCTCGTCCTTGAGTACTCTTCCGAACGCATTTTTTTCTTTCCCTTCTCTTGACAAAAAAAGCAAGTAAAACTGAAATTTATGAACTGACTACAGTCTATCATTGCAGGTCATGCCATCAGCACTGACTACTGCACCACCTCATTAAATGACTCATTGCTGCTGTTGCTGCTTTGGTTTTCCATGTCGACACCACTGTGAGGGATCACATATCTGCGTTCTATCATTTGTGATACGAGCCGGCTGGAGTTACCCATAAACTGAATGACATATCCATCTGTTATATGGCCCAAAATCTTAACATTGACTTCCTCATTAAGTATGCGCATTTTCAAGAACTGCAGGCACTCACTTGCCTTTTTTGGTGCTAGCAATAGGTTCCGCGTAATACCGCCAATGATGCAGGACCTGGCACGGGGTGGCTTAAGGGCAACAACATCATCACATGGCTTTAATGATCTGAGCAGTACAAACTCCGTGTTACCATAGTCCACGTAAAATATCTTGAACTCGCTAGTGGCATCCAGCACCTCAACTATCTGTGCCCGATAGTAGTTGCCGTCCTGATAGAGTGCTAACACCAAATCCAAAAGTCCAGGACTGCGCTTAAACTGAGCGTTCACCTCGCGTACCTCCTTCTTGCTCCAGACTAACGGCGGCGATCCGTCAACAAGCTGAGCATAGAAATGTGTTGCTGAATTTACGTATGTTACTAGCATGCGCACTGGCTTGGAATCGTCAATGGGTAAATCAGCCTCTGCGGGCAAGGGTGGTATCAGCTCTACATCTTTGGTGGCACCGTATGGAGCAACAGGTTCATGCACTAGTCGGCATTTAGAACCTAAATAATAAATGTTAAGACGTAGATTTAATAAATTAATCATAGTCGGAGGTGGGGTAAAACGATTAAAATTGAATGTTTTTAAAAACTTCTCTTTGGATATCTTTAGTACTGAAGGACTAGACTAATTTGCTTAGATACAGACATTCAAGCCGACAGACATCGCAATATATAATGAGCTAGTTACGACCATAATTGTGAGTATGTATTATGAGTAGTACAAAGAGATAGTAGTAATCTAATTGTTATATTTTAAAGTGCGAGTGTTTTCACCTTTAAAGCAGCCTTGGATCTTAGGATCGTAGTGTCGACAAAGCCGTTCATCATCTTTAGGGTTAAAACCCATTACAGCTTTTACAGCATCACTTGTACCTTCTGGAATATCATTAAGTATGGCCCACTGTTCGTCTGTTAGTTTCATGCTAGGCTGCTGCTCTATTTCTTGATCCTCTTTGATATCGACAATTTCTTTCGGAATTGTCTCAGCAACTTCCGTATTCTTGGAATCCAGATTTTTGGTTTCCTTTGTTTCATTATTTTGGATTTCTTCAGTGCCCCCTAAAAATTCTGCCACCACATCCAGACCATTGTTAGCCAGTACTCGTATCTGCACCTCCTTATATACGTATGGTCTCAAATCCCCGACATCTTTGTTCTTAACATAACATCTAACTGCCTGCGGTGGCACCATTTGAGTCGATTCGGGCAATGCAAATATAATTTCCTTTCCATCGAATCGAATATGCTCCCCATAATCAACTAAGTATCCATCGTAGCAATTACCGATATAGGCAGTAATCACGGCACGTGGAATAATATTCTCCTGAGAGTCGTACATAGCGAACATCTCACCAAAATCTGGAAACCTTAAAAGTTCCTGCAGTGGCAGGTCCGCACGCATCAAGGATTGCACCGGCAATGTTTCCTTTCCCCATTCAGCCACATAAAGGCATTTTTCGGAAACGTTGATGCGCATGATTACAACATTCATAACTGTCTCCACATTAAATGACTTTAGATTTTTGGTCAATTTGGAATAGATTTCATTGTGAGTTAGTTGCTCGCCGCCGCTGGGAGGCAATAGGAGACGGCTGCGACTTGGGATGGGCAGTTCGATCTTAACTGCATCTTCGACATTTGATGGTTCATTGGAATCCGTTTTAGTAGGTGCGAATGAAGATGATTTGGGGCAGGTTTGTTTTGGTGATGGTAATGGTGGTTCGTCTACTTCAGACTCTTTAAATGATGTTTCTACTGTTTGGTTTAAAGAATTGGTTAAAGGGTCTTCCAATTTAGAAAGCGCAGATAATGTCGGTTCTCCTACTTCAGGCTTTTTAGATGATGTTTGTAATGTTTGGTTTAATGCATTTTGGATTAAAGGGTCTTCCGATTTAGGGAGCGTGGATAATGTCGGTTCTCCTACTTTAAGCTTTTCAGATGTTGTTTCTAAATTTTGGATAAATGCATTTTCGGAGTTTAGCAAGGTCGATACAGGTGATTTTGTTACGCTTCGTTCACATTTCTCAAGTGATACATCACCTTTTAAGATTAGTCTTACTTCGGACGTGGATGGTGACAATACTGGCAAAGCGTTCTCTATTGGTTCACATTGCTCATGTATAGGATCATTCTTTGAAATTGATGACTTTAGAGTGAGAGTTACTTCATTCGGTTCTTGGTCCTTATATAGTGTCTGAGATATAGCCTGATTCATATAGGCGGATTCAACCGCTAACGGTGGAGCTAATAGTTCTCTTGGTATGGATTCTTGTGATGGTTGAACTTGTAATGGGGTTAACATACATTGTCTTTTTTGATAATTTCTCTTGATCGTTTTCCCCAGGGCGGTAGCTCTATCGCAAGACGACGGAGTAATCATCAGCAGTGATGTGCGGTCTATAGGGGGATCGTTATCGCCCACCAATATACCATCTTCATTTGTGTGTCTCTCCAATTCCTGCTGCTCTTGAACGGAGCCGTCATTGTTATAATTCTTAAGAATACCGATCGGCTTGTTCAAACTCATGCGCAAATTAAAACTAATTGCATGTTCATTAATTTCATTAACGCTTTGCAAAAGACGATCATGCACGACCATTAGACGTCGATCTAGAGGTCTTTCGTTGACCCAATTGCTTTTCAAAGCACCAAAAACAGCATCCATATCACGTTGGTATTGAGTCAAATTAGCTTGTAACTTGTGCATATTTAATCTGCAAAGCTCCATCACTCCTGAGAGATCGTCTAAATCCATTTTGCTATCTTTCTATAACCACACTTCCGCGGCGCTATTTCAAAGACGCGATCAGTCCAGCAGCATGCTATGTAACTGCAATAATGTGGCTACGCTAATTGATTCAGCGCGCAAATTAAATATTTCACAACACTTCTAGAACTTATCGATAATAATAATAAACTCGGTGCCGGCAAGCGGTTGTTTTTTTGTGTTACCATTGCATACTAGGAAATGTTGTAACTGATAAATTAGTTAAAATGGACATCGAAACTGTGCCTACTTTTGTAAGTTTATGCAGCTACGAATTCGTCAGAAACAGTCACAAAGATTTTACAGGAACTAGGAGATATACTAGCTACTAGATGCGGCAACACGTTAACCGGGAAGTTTTTGACCAATTCAAAAATCGCACTTATCGCCTATACCCACAAGAATACCAATGCATTCGCTAATTGCGAACAGCCATCCAAAGATGGTGTCGAGGATCCAGTGCTAATTTATATAGCGCAAGAAACAACAATCTATGAAGAGCCACTACTCCGCAGTTTGCTGTCCGAGGCCAACACAACATTTAACACATTGCGAAAATTGGGCAAAAATGCTAGCAAGACTGAATACATTAATGTATCTCAAGCCTATCGCAGCATTGTACGCTCATGCCTTGAAAAACTGGAGCAAATGAAGACAACACCAAAATTGCAAGTCGACGAGGCGGAGCTGCGTTGTTCTTCCGAAGCAATTACCACTTTTTATGCAGTCGAGTGTCTCTGGCATCTGTTCGAGATACTCTATGTGCAGGAGCAACACAACCAAATGATTTTGGCACAACTGCTGAAATGGACGCGCTTTCATTTCCCACAAACCGAAGCGCATGCCACCGATTTACTTTTAATGGCTGAAGATGCCAGTGACCGCGATGACTATTGGGAAATTTTGAAAACATTGATAATGCTCGGCGAGGTTAGTGTCACGGCCGCCATTTTGACGCAGAATCGCAAAGCAGGACGTGATGAGTTTCAAGAAGCAATATCAATTTTAAAGGCTATGCCTGTCTTCGAGGATGGCTATGCACTTCAAAAGTTTCGCTCGCAATGGGAATATTGGCATGTAAACGGAGAGCATAAGCTAGATGCCAATGCTTTCGCCGCCGAACCGGAGTTAGAGCTTCTAATGCAACTAGTAGTTGGCAAAAATGAGCAATGGGATGAGGCTCTTTGCAAATCGAAAGAGTGGTACGAATATCTGCCCGGCTATTTGCTATACACTAATCCGACCTGCAAGCCCTTTGATCTTCGCATAGCTGCCACTGCATGGCTCAATCGCTGGTCACGACTGAGGCCGGAATGGCAAATGAAAACCATGAGCCGCATGATCAAGCATCTAATGGCGCACGATATTAAGTTATTTTTATTTGAAATGCAACAACTTAACGAGAGCAATTGGTTTGCCACGCATCTGATCGATCTTATCTATCAGTCGGGTCAACTGAACTCATATTGCGAGCAGCGAAAAATGTAAGTATGTAATAAGTTAAAATTAAAAGCATGCCATCTTGTATACTTAAATTAACTCATGCCATTTTATATAAATCATGCTTTAATTAAATATTAACCAGATGTATCTTAAAAGTTCTCAAAGCTTAATGCGTGAAGCAAAAGGGGGGAAACAAAATCATATATTCCATAACATATAATGTTCTCTCTTCTAAAGCATTTCATTGCTTACCACTTACATTTTCTTTTATTCAACAGTGATTTGAAATCTTTACGAAATTCCACGGTCTATAATTTTGGTAGTTTTTTGATGACTTCACATAAGCTCTGGCAATTGGGCATTGACTATTTAGACTGTTGTGGGGAGGAAGGAATCGCAGCCATCAATATTCTACTGCCGCGCATACCTTTTAAGACGGAGCGGCTCGCCTTGAAATTGATAGCCATGGCGAGACAGCGAAACTTGTTTGAAGTGGAGCCAGAGATCTGCAAGGTACTGTTCAAGCGTTCCTACGATGAGGAGCGACATGGCAGTGCCTTAGAATGGGTAATACGCTCTAAGGATGCAACCGTTGTTACGGCCATGGCGGACTTTATTTTAAAGGTATGTTTATGTTTAGAAATAAAAATATCCCGGCTTTATATCTAACATTTCATTCCATAGAACTACTCCAAAACCGGGATTTTCGTTTGCCCGGATGTCATCACCAACATAGGTGCACGCATGTTTATCGCCCCGCGTTTGGTTTTTCTTTGCAAGTATTTTGAATTTAATGAACTCTATCGAAAACGCGATTTTTCATCTGCAACAAAGTTGCTGGTCAATTTATTAGACTCAAAAATTACCCCGAGCTAGTAAGTAAGGTATTTTTTAATACTTATTACTTCATTAATTGATTAACTTTAGCTTTTGGCCGACACTCTTCATTGAATCCATTCCCCTGCTCGAGTCAAAAGAACCTATGCTTACCTCTAAGGAAACGGTGACCATACTGCATCATTTGGAAACAAATCTGTTGCCGCTCATCGAACAAAATATGCTGGAGACTGCCATATTTCCAAATGTACGTAAATTTTTCCTGCAGTCCAATAAGGTTCTTAAAAACTTGTAGATTATAACGACGATCTTAAAACAGTTAAACTTTTTTAACCATGTGCTTAGGGTTCGTAAAATATGAGCAGTATTCGGCAAAACATTTCGTTCTTAATTCAATGTCTATAGAAATTTGAATTATTTCTCTTATTTCGTTCTTACAGCTTTCCTCAACAGTCGAGCTGAAAGACTACCGAATAGAGAATGTGGACGAGATGGTGAGCGTGTTGCGATACGCATGCGCACGCAACTATTCACGCACGATATTAAAGGAAAACACCGCATGATAAATGAAATTTTTAATTGTGATTTATTTTGTATTTTCACTTTCCAATACATCGTAATTTTTTATTACATATAAACTTTTATTGCATTGCCTTTTTATATTTAATTTTTCTTCATATGAATAGTTTTTTTTTATATTATTTATTTATTTTTTCTTGTTTTGTGCCTCTTTGTCTGCTATTTATTGTACCAACAACGCTACTTGACTGGCTGCGCTCTTTCTATCTCACCCTTTCCTTTGACTAACAAAATCTAGAATACACGCACAATTTTGAGCCGATGCTGCTTACAGCTACAATTACAATTGAACTCAAACTGTAACGGTTTGAAATTGTAGTTTTGGAATTCTATGACAACGAAACCTAATTAAAGAAAAGTCTATGCACAATCGGGTAACTTAACAAGTGATGTTTGTTACCCCTATACCTGCGAATTGCTTAAGACAAAACTTAAAAGACAAGCCTAAATTAAATTAAGAAATTGAATTTTTTGTGGCATAGTATATACGCACCTAAGGACTAACAAACAACGCACAGAGCACAAGGGGAGCGGGCATAATACATATTTATATAGGTTTATGTATTTATATATAGTTTTATGTTTCGGTATTTTTGTCATGAGAATCACACGGCCTAGTTACAAATATTTTGGGCCGGAAAATATAAAGTTAAAGTCACAAGATAACTACTTCGGGCGTGTTGCATATCAATTTGGCTTTATAAAAAAGCATAATAACGGATGATAAAAAATAATACATATTTAAATTAGAGCTTGTCTGGCCTGACATGCAACATGCTCCGTGTGTTCTGCATGTTTTCTCTATTTGTAACATATAAACTCGTATTAATATGCTTAACAAACTTTTTGTTTCAAGTAGGATGCTTACGGCCAATACATAGGGTAATTATTATAGGGCTACGATCGCTCTTGAGTATTATAGATTATATTGTGTGCATGTGTGCTTTAGAAGGCATTTAACAATTCGCGTATTTTGTAAAAGTATGTCGCTCTGTTTTGTAATTGAAATATAATTATTGGAGGGCATATATAGAGGCACGATGGGTGGGGCTTTACAGGAAGCAACCCAACCAAATCTTATATAAATGTTATGTATACAGCATTCGCTTCCATAGTCATGATTATCACTTTGTTATAAAAATTGTATGTAGAATGAAAGCTTACGACGGACAAATAAGTACAACTAAAATTGTTGAAAAATTAATATTTGATGATAGTTTAGTATTTAAAATTGGGTTCAAGTTTTAATATTTTCTCAAAATGAAAAGGTTTCATTTATCTAAGAACAATAATTAAATGTGCAAATGACAGGAATGAACAAACTAACTGAGGAGCCACTAGATTCGTTTTAATTAATTCAATGAATTTCTTGAAATGTTGGACCGGTCCATATTTAGGATGCACAATTTTTGTTAGTGCGAAAATGCCTCTAGGTACACCTGTAAGTGTTTTCAAACGCTAAATGCATTCTAGAGCACATTTACACACACTCCTACAGAACAATCATACATATGTATGTTTTATTATGCGCATACATTTTGTGGATGTAATGTCTAGGAAAATGTCTAATTATGCTTGGCTACTGCAGTCGCCGCTGCAGCGCTTGTGGAGGATGCAGTGGAGGCCACCGCCGCCGTAGCAGCAGCAGCTGCTGCAATGGCAGTGGCCGCGGCACTGCCGCTGGTAATAGAGCCGAGCCGGGACAACGACGGCTCACGTTTCGGCGGTACAATCGGTTTTGTGGGTATCGGTGGTGGTGCACCACGTGCGCCGGCCGGCGGTACAGTCACGGGTGGCACAGCGATGGGCACAGGATGTGGGTGTGGATGTGGCGTGACTGTCTGATCTAGCGCCGCTGCAGCAGCCAGAGCTGCATACTTGCCACCTGGAGCACGTTGAATAGTTGCTGTCGGTTGCATCTTAGCCGGCGAGGGCGAAGGTGGCGCTACAGCAGACGGAGCAATGCTAGCTCCGCTGGTTGTTGCTGTACTAGCTACTACAGTGGTGTATGGCGCACTGATGCCATCTGTGATGTTGGGACCACTGCTATTGATACTGCTACTGACTGGTGGAGCATTTGGCGCTGCTACTGCTGTGGGTGGCGTGGCCGTGCCGCTAGGCGCTGTGGCTATGCCTGCGCTACTGCGTATATTCTGTCCTGGCGCTATGGAACGCGCTATGCCTGTTTGGGGGCCCGAGACTGGCATGCTTGTCACTGTTGCTGTTGGCTGCACAATTTTGGCGATGTTCACAATGGGAGTGGCACACGTTTCGTCTGCAAAAATGCCGTTGATACATTCGATTAGAAAATAATAAATCTAGTGAATTTTTATTGAGGCATGTAGGCATGTGTGATGGTTTAGTTGGTTTACTAGAAGTCGTTCTGATACTACTAACTACTATATGGCTGTCTTTAAAGGTAGTTTCTGGCTTAGTTTCTAGACAGCGGCCTGAAACACCAACTCGCTCACTTTATATGTATATTCAAAATGCCTTTTTTATTATAAATTTTCAATTGGTAATATGACAAACAGATTTTAAGAAGCGATAATAAAACATTTTAATCGGAGAACTTTCGAATTATTTAGCTAAAACACATTAAATTTTCTATAACTTTTATATTTGGTAATAAGATACAATGATGAGCTCCGGAAATAAGAGAAAAACAAAGCAAAAAAGCAGGATGATTGGAATTGAGAAATACTACCTACTGCTTGCCAATAAAAAACATAAAAAGGTATATGTGTAAGTAAAAACAAGAGTTTCTTTCATATGCATTTTCTGGTATAATTTTCTATAAATATATATAAGTCAAGTCATATTATCGACAAATAATAAGCTTACGTAAAATAATGGGTTTCAGACAGTTTGAGAAATACGTGAGTGGAGTTTTGTGCGTTCATGACTTATAACGTTGTGCACTTGTCTCTAATCCAATGGACTTGAGTGTGTGTGTGTGTGCGGCATGAGAATGCACAGTGAGTCGTGCCGTGCACGACCAGGAAACGGTACAAGTGAAAATAATGAATAACAACAAAAAATAAATCACCTTGCAATTGCGTAACTTTTTTCTAACAAAATATTTCGGCTTCGAGAGATGTATTTATATACAAAAGAAAGTATACAGAGATATTAAATTAAATTATAATCAGGGAAATTAAAATTAAGTAAAACATCGTCATCGGAATGATTTCGACCGGCGTGACTTACCACTAAACTGACGCGCCTTGGCGGCAGCAACAGAACCACTGGCACTGTTAGTCGCATGTTGCTGCTGATGTTGCTGTTTCTTGAGTGCCTCATTCTCGCCACGCAATGCATTGAGCTCCTGTTCTAGTTCCTTGACACTGTAACGAATTGCATTGAAAGCAAATTACCATCATAAATCAAAAACCAATTTCATTTGAACAATTTAAGCTCACCGCAATTCCTCTTTTGCCAAATTTGCCAGCAGCGTCTTGCGCTCCAGCTCCATGGCTTGTGTTTGCTTCTCCAGCTCTTCCTCCATGCGCAATGACTTTTTGCTCTCCTCTTCGAGACCCTCGGCAATTGTGTCCGAACGTTGTTTCTCTTCGGCTAGAATTTGAGCTAAGTCCTCAGAGCGTTTGCCTGCAATTCAAATTAATTATTAAAATATAGTCCTGTTTTATTCAATACGTTTGGCCTTCATCTTACCCTCTTCTATATACTTCATCAAAATCTTTTTACGTTCGGCTATTAACAATAGAACTATTTGTTTCTGTCTGTTACGTTCGTATTCGAACGTCTCCTGCAGTTTCTTGAGGTCTTTCTCCATCTTGGCCACTTGGGCCCGCTCTTCTTCAAGCTCTTGCCGAAGCTTGGTCCGCTCCACCTCCAGGCCATAGGTTATATCATCGCCCTGAGCAGTGTCATGTTCGTGCTTACGTTTCTCCTCCTCCAACTCTTGCAACATACGTTGATTGTTCTCTAACGACTCGGTTAATATATTCACCATGCGTACATGTGTGGCCCGCTGTTTGCTAACCATTTGGTATTGCTGTTCCATTTGCTGTTCAATTATCTGTCGAACCTCCATCTCAGCTTGTGCTGCCTGAGTCGAAGACTCTCGCGAGATTAGATTGCCGTTGAGAGCGATCTTATCACGAAATATGGCTGCGTGCGGATCATTGGGTTGCACACGTTTCGTCCGCAATTGTGTGATAAGCTGTTTTACACGTTCATTGCGCAAGGCAGCAATAACCACGTCTCGCGCCTGCAGCTCCCCCTCCAAATAGTAAAGCATTTTTACAAGCTCACTGTGTGGGAGCTCGGCTCGTCCACTGTTAGCGGCACTAATACCTAGTTGCTTTTGTCCAATGCCTGGTTTCATCGTCTGGAACTCATGTGTAGCGCTAACTGCCTCGCCGCAAGAGGTGGCGAGCACTACCACCCCCGCTGCTGCTGCAGCCGATGTAGAAGTCGCGCAGTTTTCCATTCCATAGCTAGCGGCGACGTCGCCAGTGCCTACAAAGCGTGCGGTGCCGCCGCCGCTGTTATTTTCTTCGGCGAAAGAGTCGCTGCTGCTACTGGAGTTTTGCTCCATAATCCTGTTTCTTTTCCTTTACAGCATAAAATTGGTTATCTCTGACGCTGCGTCGTAGTTTATGTGTGGTCTTTAGCTCTTAATTGATTGTCTGACCACTAATAATATGGTCAGGATGGATACAGGATTTATTGCACTTGTCTGCACTGAGTAGCACTACTTTATAAGCATTTTAATAGCTGTAATTGTAGGTAAATTCCTTTAAAAAAAATCCGTGAAAAAGTGGATACTTTATGGGTAGTGCCAACTTGCTGCAAAATGCGTGCAGAGAGCATTGCCATATCAAAGAGCAGCAGCTGTGAACAGTGTTGAAAAGCGGACCAATTTAAAAGAATCATTTTTAAACTTTTTAACGATTTATGTAGAACTTTGTAAATATTTAAATATTAAGTTATCTTATTTTCTAAAAACAAATGGCTTGGATGTGTTGTAGGCAAGCGAGTTTCTTATATGCTTGCCAACTAATCGGTCCGCCAATGGTATCAACGCCGGCTCCCGCACATATATTCCTCTTGCATGTGGCGTCCACACTCGCACGGTACATTCCGCACTCTCCGGTAGCAACAATCCTAGCCAGCCGGCAGAGCTCAGTGTTATATCACAATTTAGTTTTCTTTCACCTCCTTTAATATTCCCGTGTTCCAGATTGCTCTTCAGGAAAATATCTTCGTTTTTTGGTTTCAGGCCTGGCCAGCGTTCCAGCCGCATCTCATTATTGTCATTTCTCGGTATACCCAACAATGGTGTACCCAGGTAACGATGATACACTGAGTCCGCTTGCTCTGTATCTGCAATAAGTACTGGCAAGTTGGGCGATGCAAACACAAATACTTTCAGCCAATCCAAATCGGCGTTTTTACTTTGACAGGACAACAAATCGATACGCGCTAACCCAGCCAAGAATAGGGTCATGGACGATCTTAATCGATAAGCCCGTGGCCGTATCATTTTAGTGGGATGCAGTAGCAATAGCTCCTCGGTTGTGAGTAGAGGCGTCAGTTGATCGGGCTGCATAACTCCAGGTGTATCGTACACCCAACGCGCCTCTCTGTATTCCCGTTTTTTTTCGTTTAATGTCGTTATAGGTTGCGTACCTGCTGCCATGCTAAATGCATCTGTTACATCATGGCGTTGCTCAAAAGTACGCCCCACTTGGCCAATTAATTGTGCTGCGGTGACTGCGCCCGTTTCGCGCACCTGATCTCGCCGAAGTTTGTCCAGCGCCGCACGCTGAGTACGCTCAGCAAAAAGTCTCTGGTAACGCTGATACACGCGCAAGTCTGAGGGTCGCAAGATGGGAAATTTCAGCAACTGAAGCGTTGTGCCAGGCCAGGGACAGGCGGTGGCTTTACGGATCAGTTCACTGGCCTCCGGACGACAATAGTCAGAATTCAACAGGATGTTGAAGAGGGTACTCTTGCCCACATTAGTGCATCCGAGCAAATAAACATCACCCTTGTATTGCCAAATTTTGTGCAGCTGCGTGATAAGTTCCTCGATTCCGTATCCAGTCTTAGCAGAGATCAGACTGACATTCTTGATGTTTAAGGCGTCAAATCCACAACGCTCTGTAAACTGCTGTAGCAAGCATTTCTTCACGTGCTCCAAATATTTATTGGAATCACGTGGCAACAAGTCCACCTTGTTCCCTATAATAAAAACTGGACGTTTGTTCCCCAAAAGCTCCTGCATGTTTGGCCATATAAACATATCTAGCACATCAACTATCACAATAGCCAAAGCAAACCTATCCTTAATTTGCGATATAGTTTCAACGTACGAGGACGGCTCTATCTCCACATCCAGTGCTATGTTGTAGTGTTTCAAAAAATGACAACGTTGGCAGGTTATAGTCTGCAATTCGGTCTGACTTCTACCTCTGAAGATTTCGCTTGGTATATAACCGGGCAAAGAAGAGTTGGCGCAATGCAAGTGCGCACCACAGCCATTGCAAGGCACCTTTGAAGGTGGTACTGTTCGGTCTGGGGTTCCATGTTTTGAGTCCACATTTCCCAACTCGTCTTTGGCGCCTTCGTAAAACTCGTAATCCTCCATCCAGTTGTCTGGATATGTTGAATCAGAAAGTGTTTCATCATGCTGGACATGACAGAGCTCTTCCAACGAGGGATATGCTATTTTACGCTGTCGAAAGTCGTTTAATGGTCCTACCTGGACCTCAAGGAACGAGCTATGATGCACGTGTTCATAATTCGCATAACGATGCTTTGCGGCCTGAAAGGCTTTTTGGCGCGCGCTTTGTGATTCGCTTGCCATTGCAGTTTGTAGTCGAGCACATACATATATACTTTTTTTAATTGTTTTGGTTAAACGAAACGTTTTAAGCATAATTCTTGATAAAGTGCGGGCGAAAGGGCTAACTAAACAGTGATGAAAAACGTAGCAAAAATAAACACCGACACAATACAGCTGCTACTTTTTGCTGTAATCGTAGTTGTTTGTTATTATCGATTTGGCATTAAGTGTTAGACAACTCCACAGGAAAGCAAAGAAACTAATCGAAAAGAGAAAAAAGAAAGCAGCAAGCATAGCGAAAGCAGAGCGTGTACAGAAGGTGAGTGTGAGTGCGTGCTAAATGTGAATTAAATTCAAACAAATAAGTGCAAGAATCCATATTTCAAGCACAAACCGCTTTTATTTCTATAAAGCATTATACGTGCATGTGACGCATTTGTAAGAATATAAAACGCATGCTAAAATACAAAGCATGCAAAAGTGATTAGGAAAGTGTGGAAAAAAAACGACACAAGTGTAGGTACATATGTATGTACGTGCATCTGTATGCGTGCTGCGTTTTATATGTGTCTGTTTAAATGTATGAAACAAAGTAATGCGAAGCGCGACCTAATTTTAAACCATTACAATAATATTTGCATAAACAAATACAAATATACAGCGCACTCACTAAAATAAAATTACAAATGCGCATTCAGCTGCCAAAGCAATAAAAACATAGTGAATTTGTTTTTGTTGTTGCATGCCACGAAGAGTGGCCAGCCGCCATTGTCTATGTATGTATGTACATACATGTGTATGTGAGTAAGGCTGTGAGTTGCGGCGGCTCGAACATCAGTGTTGTTGCAACTTTCGTTCGAACTCGTTTCAATTTGTTGTTGTCGCTTGCTCGGCTTGCTAGCGGCCCTAGCAACTTTTTTTTGTCGTGTTATCTTCGTTACAGACGTCGTCGTGCGCGTTTGTGACTTTAAAACTGGTATTTCTGTATAAAATAAACATATGTATGCAATTGTGGGTGTTTGTGTTTATTATGGTGAGTGCGCCAGACAGTGCCTTAAAGTCGATGGATAATCAATAGTTACTCATAATATGAATACAAAAACAAAAATGTCTATTTCAACATCTTCACGACTTTTCTTATTGTATACGCTGCCGCCTCGCGCAACTGTGTAATAGCAGTGTTATGTCTTACACCACAAGTGGAAGTGAGATAGTTGCACCGTTACATACAAAAACCCAAGACACACACAAATGCAATTGAAATTTCCAGCAGTCTGCCATTGTTGTAATGTAATTGCAAAATCATAACGGCAGTTGAAAGTTGAGAGCGCCTATACATATGCATGTGTGTGTTTTGGACTGTAAATGTAGGCAATGATGAAAATTGTACGCTCTACTATTGCCTAATACACGTATGTACGTACGCCCACACATGCATATGCACATATAGTGCGGCAAGTGCAGGGCATTCGATGTGATCTTAAACGAAATGCAATACACATGTAATGTTTTTAGAGAGTCACAGGCACAGTGTGGCAAAAAATGTGTAAACTTATTTGCATACATTTTGTGTCGGGAAAATCAAGTTAACTTTCAAGATATATTTCCATTTACGAGTCGCGAAATAATCGGTCTCTTCTAGTACATTCAGTCGTGTATATGGCTCATATTTATGTTTTTTATTTTTAAGTCAAATTAAGGAATATAACTTTGGATATGCCATCTTGTCCGATCGTCAATTCTTTCTAAAAATTTTACTAAGATATCAATTCCGTCGATTTTGTCTTTTTTCGTCCATTTTTAAATGATTAGAATAACTTCGAGAAGAACTAAACCAATAGATCAACTTTAGTAGTTCCATTTGAATATATGTATGTATGGTCATTGAAACTAGTTTCATTACGGGACCCTTTCGTTCACTGTGCGACTTCAATTCAAATAAGCTAAAGAGCAACTGCGAGCAGGGTTGCCTTTTATACATATGTATGTATGTTTGTGAATATGTACATATGTATGGCAAAAATGCAGAAATTGCCTTGAAAAGTGAAAGGCATTTCAACGGAGTGAGCAAGCAAACGAACAGCCGAGCGAGTCTTTGATATTTCGCTTAACCTTTGCTTCTTTTTTTCGTTGTAGTTTTTATTTTGATAGTTTTGTTGTTGCTGCGCCAGTAAATTCTACGTGCACATTTGACATTTTCAACTTACAGAAGAAAAAAAAACAGCCATACAGCAAAATTCCATACCTCATGAGCCAAATTTGCGCCTGCGCGCAAGACTAGCTTTTTCTTTTTATTTTAGAATGAACGTTTTCGCTGTTAGTGACTGTTGGTTGTTGTTGTTAGTGTTGTTGGTTGAGCAATCACAACACGCGCGTCTCTTTCGCAATTTGCAAGTTTTTGGCTCTACACGCTCACGCTCTCACGTTGGTTGTGCTTTGTGCAAGGGGGGAAAAAAACAAATTTCGCCAAGTTTGTGGTTTCGTCTTTTGTGCATTTTCATGTCACGTTTGTTGTTAACTAATGTATTAATGCTGTAATTTCTGCTTGTTTTACAGAGACAGCTACACGAAAAAATTGAAGCAGCTAATAAAATAATTTTCTGACGATCGACTCAAATCTATTGCTATTGAAAATACGCTACTTAACGGCTGTATTTGTTAATTTTAACCTAACCCATCTAACTCCCTCTTTCCGGACTGAACTGTGTGCGCGTTCTTCCAACGCACAACTAAAGCTTCTTCATGATGTCGTCGGATCAACAGTTCTTTCTAAAATGGAACGACTTTCAAACAAATATGGTGACCTCGTTTCGTCACTTACGCGATGAGAAGAGCTTCACAGATGTAAGTACTAAATACAGTCTAGACCAACATAAAGGTGCAATTTGTCCAATTGGTTAACGCAATCCGCAAATAAACAAATGCACGAACACGAACATTCATATTTATATGAAGGCAACAAAGGCGGCTCATGGCCACCAATAATGGCTTACGTGCGTTCTCTACCTGGCCTGTTGCCTTCTGCTCTACCTGTTATTCTTAATTTTCTTTCGGCCACTAATTTATTTGTCTACTTCAGTTCCCATATAGTATGTTGGCCCTTTTTGTATCAGATTCTACTTGACAATTGGTTTGAAAATTTATAGTTTCTGCATTGTTTGATTTTCCATTATAGGTAACGCTCGCCTGTGAGGGTCAAACCTGCAAAGCACATAAAATGGTGCTATCTGCTTGCAGTCCCTACTTTAAGGCGCTTTTGGAGGTAAGCAATTTAACAAAAATGTATTTTATTATGTTACTATTCTATTTATCTTTTGATGCTTTTGCAGGAAAATCCTTCGAAACATCCCATCATCATACTTAAAGATGTGTCCTACATCCACCTGCAGGCTATCCTAGAGTTCATGTATGCCGGTGAAGTGAATGTCTCTCAAGAGCAGCTGCCGGCCTTTCTCAAAACCGCCGATCGTCTCAAAGTGAAAGGCCTAGCAGAGACACCCAGTTCAATAAAACGAGAGGGTTGATGGTATTAAGTAATATCAACAAACAAAAAATTTATAACCGAACTATAAACAAACTATATGCAAACAAAAAAAAATATAATAACAAGATAAACATGAACACAAAGAAGCAAAATAAAACAACATTTTAACACGCAGGAAAACCAGTAAGAAAAGAAAACATGCAAAATATGGAAAATGATTCATTCACATTTAAAAGCAAATTAGATTTCTCACAAGAACAAAAAATGAAAACAATAACGCACAGATCGTCAAGCAAATAAACAACATATTAAATAAACATAAACCAAGGAAACGGCTACGCGGATTCACCTGTAAAGTAACAGTAACGAGTTTATAGTTGTCATAAAAACTACAAAAACACACACATTGGCCTAGAAGAGCAAACTTTTTGCAATTTGCAATATTATGAACCCTGTCACGCATTGAACTCGATTTGAAATCTATTTTTAGTTTCTGCATAAAATAGTTTGTAAAATATTCTTAACCATAACAATAATAAACAAAAACAAAAAACCTGTATAAAAGGCAATTAACTTTAACAATTGACAAACCTTACAAAAAAAAACCACATTTTTGTAAAGTAATTAAAAGAGAATTCATATTAATATACAAATATAAAGATAATTATAAATGTAGTATGAAATGTGCAAGTAGAACGTTAAAAAACTGATATAAAAGCAACATGGGCGCCGAAATTACAACACATTCAGTTAGTTTATAAGCGACTAACTAAAACTTAAATAAGTTTATCAGCAAACCGGTCAACCCGTAGACACAGTTATACATACACTCACCTACACAATTGCAGTTACAGTTATACCAATATGCAAAAAAGAACACGATCATCTAGTATACTTAAAATGAAATTTGTACTTTAATTTTCTCTTATCTCCAAACTTATAAATTCTATCAGTTATTCAATATATTGAAAAACAAAAACAACGTTTGAATAATTGAACGTTTCAATGTGAAGCTATCAATTCTACTTAGTTCATAATTATGTATACATAAACATAAAATGATAAATTTTCAAAACAAAAACAAAAAAATTGAAAAAAATACTGGAATATTATTACATTACATAAAAGTAAAATATTTATATGTATGTATACATGTGAGCATAGATTTAAATAACTACGGTAAATAAACAGAATAATTCCAAAAAACTAACATTTTGAATTCTTCAGTCAGACTCCCGAAAAAATATACTAGTACATACATACCATGTACCATTGCTTTAAAACAACACAAACGTATTTATTAGATTTAGAACAAAATTTCCGTTCTTGCTGATGGTAAATACAAAAATAGTCCTAATAGAGTGGATTTTGTAAACTGGCTCTTGAAACGATCAATCGCACCGCTTTGGAAAGTAGGTATGTAGAAGAATATCCTTTACTTTAGTTGGAATACCTAAAGAAACGCATAATTTCAAAAAAAAAAATTACCGCAAATCAAATAAACATAGCTGAAATGTCAATAGAAACTTTAAATTTACTAAGACTTATGCTGAATGGAATAAGCTATAAAGAGTTAAGAACTTATTTATATTTATGCAAATTGTCGAACAACAAGGCAATTTGCGAAATTCTGGCAGAAGATCATCAAAGATTAAAGAGCTATTCAAGATGATGAAATAAATTACATCTAGGTAATGTACACCCTTTAAAAATTTCATTTCTCAATGACTTTGAAACTAAACTGCTTCGTCATGGGTGAACTTGTATTAACCAGCAAATTCAAAAAACTTTTAATATAGGTACCTAAACACAGCGATAAAGAATTAAAAATACAGATTTTCTATGAATATTGTTTTTATTTATATACGGTTTCTGTCGCAATATCTTATATTCATTGTTTTGATTCATTTATTTTTATATTTTCAACAAAATATGTTTGAGCCTTAAATAAATTACACTAGTATCAATCAATATCGATATATGTATATTGCCCAATTCGATGGTTTTATAAAACAAGCACACAAATTTTTGAATGCGCTGCGTATTACATACATTATTTAATTTTAAAATTGTTGGTGGCCTAGGAGTACAGCGCTATTTGTGAATTTATTAATACACAGACGCTTGAAATTAAATATTTTTTCTATTTCTATGTGTTTATATATGGTATATATGTGGCATATTACGCTATTTAGTCGTGGTCGTTCACTAGTTATTAAAACAATACGTATTACGCGTATTCAAATCAAACGGATCAGTGTGCATCTTCTTTTGATTCTCTTCGACAGAGCGTGCTACATCCGATACAAGATTTGGGCGCTCTGAATCGGAAGATGCACATGGCGACCAGATTTTGATATCATGATCAATGCCACTGGTGGCTAACATACAAATGGATGGATGGGGCTGTACACAATTGACGATGGCACTATCGGCACGATAGACGGCACGGATCTTGGCAGTCTCGCCTTCCCAGATGAAAAAGTTTCCATCGTCAGAGCCAGCTACGATGAATTCGCCGTGTGCTCCCAAATAGTTGGCCTCCTTTATATCTGTTGTGACATTGCAATGGCCGACATACCTCTGTCGATAGTCCCTGGAAGCGCAACGAAGCTCATACTCGACCTCAGAGAAGCGTTGAATCCCGAAACCATTCTCCCCTGCTGCTGGTTGATCGGGCGTCTTATGGCGCACTCCTTCGCGAATATCCTTGTGTAGCATGAGAACGCCATGATTGTTAGCAAAGTTTGGAAAGCGTTGTATTAGTTCCTGTAGACATTTGTCCGCCTCTCGAGGGCGATGCAGTTCAAGAAGCGCACGGGATAGTCTAAAATGAGCCTTTACATATGACGGATCTAATCGCAGTGCCTCGTGACAATCGCGTAGGGCTGCATAGATGTCGCCAAACCAACCTCGACGCATCAGAGCCGTCGCCCGATTCAAATATAGCACCTCACCTTTTGGGTATTTAGCCAGAGCTGCGGAATACTCATCAATGGCAGTCAAAAGCTTGCCATGTTCAAGATATTCGTTACCCAGTTTCTTGTGATGCTCGATGCCTATCGGCAGAGTGTGGCTTTTGGTTGGTGCTTTGCACTCGCACGATGCTGAAGAATCCTCACCGGTTGATGATGGTGGCGCTGGCGGCGGGGTGTAGGCAGGAAGCGAGTAGAATATAGGTTCCACAGCATTGTTGAGATCATACCGATAAACATGCTCACATCCCATGTTGACCAACAACTCAGTGCCGTTCTCGTTGAAGGTCAAGTAGGTAATGGCACGGCCATCATGGTCCACATTCCAGCTGCTTTTTTTCACAATCTGTCCAGGTGCAAAGTAAGTTGCGCAACCCGTCGCCAATGTTTCGCCAGGTCCTACAATGAAAGATGAGGACAAATTGGCGATGTTAAATTGAGTAAACTTCAAACACAATATTTACCGGTGAATTCGTTTGGTACAACTGCCGGCATCAGATGGAGCATACGTCGATCATACACGCGAGCATAGGGATCATTGGCACCCACAGCCAGGTATTCAGTACGTCGTGGATTAATGGCTAAGCACTTCGCCTCAGTAATGGACTCAACAAGCGTGCACAAACTGATAAGACGCACGCGACTATCCTCATTCCGACAGCGATGCGGCTCTCGCATGTCCAGCTGCAATATATTGCCATCCTCTCCAGCCGACCAAAAGACATGCGGCGAATCTGGTGCGGTAGCCAAACGCTTGGCGCGCATCGTATGACAACTGCACGAAAAAATCGTCTCATTTGTGTGATTGATGTCATAGACATAAATAAATTTATCAGCAGCACAAGTTGCTACAATGCTGTTGTTGTGGCGTGGCAGAAACTTAACGGAGAACATGTTGCCCAAGTGTTTTGTGTGCACAACATGGACGCGCCGCTTTCGAAACGGATCCCATATCATAACTTTGTAGTCATCGGAGCCTGAAGCCAGCAGTAGTCCATCATTGCTCCACTCCATGCAATTGACACAGCCATCGTGTCCGGTGAGCACCGCCTCCTGTTCCAAACGGTCAATATAGCAAGGCGAAGCCAACAAACGACGACGCACCATATCTTCCACATCGACTTGTTGACGATGCCACTGCAATGAAGTCACGTTAAGTGGTGCACGCCCATTGCAGCCATAGTGATACCGTGAACTTGAAAATACCGTGCGGCATGGCGGTGGCGTTGATTCCTCATCACCCGACATTATCTTGATATCACTATAATAAATAACAAAATTTGGTATTTTAGTTTGCAGCAGTTTGACATTTCAACTAAAAACAACAAATACTACATAAATACTAAATAATGCCGTCGATGCACCTGCTATATGTGTGGCTTCTTCTGATGTTATTTTATCGTCAAGGCACAGCTGTACAACAGCTGTCTTACCGCGATGAGAGCCTTGCCAGACCGCTCTTTACCCCAAGGAAATCTGGCCAATAAGAACTATTGTTTGCCTTATTTTACCGTTATCTGCGTAGGCAGGCCTCACAAATTGTATTGCAAATTGAGCGGACTCTGAAATCAACGCCATCAAGGTCGACAAAAGGCCATTTCGATTTGAATTTTAGCTACTACCTGTGCAAAAATAGCATAAAATACATAGTTTGCGCTAAGACAAAGCGGAAGATACAAAACTGTGCACAAGCAAATTCACTCGAAAGTGTTCATAGTGGATGCGAAGACGAAGCTGACGCTGAAAGCTTCAAATCGTCCGGTACTGATTTTGTAAACGATTCGCTTGGTGTCATTTTTCTAAGAGATCTGTAGGAATATCGATATTTCGATGTTTTTGAGGGAAGAACATGGATTTATTGATACAATAAGATTTTATTGATGTCTATACATAGGGCACTTCATTTTGATATGTCATCTTATTTTTAAAGCTACGGTTTTTTATTAAATACAAAACATTCAAAGAATATACCAAAAACCAAAAAAAGTATAATATACAAAAAAAAATTCAGTGGGGGACTAGTCGTAAGGAACATCGAACATAGGGAATAAAACATCGATGTTCAAAAAAAATTGCGACTACCGAAAATAAATACGCATCGAAGATAAGGATGATTTTTCGGCGTTGCTTTTGAAAATGTTGGAGCCGACATCAAAATAATAATAGAGTTGAGGCGAGCACAGATTTGAAACGGCTAGACCTTTTGTCTTCATCATATGACAAAGAGCCCTCGTCTAGGCACTCGAGTGCGGTCAAGGCTTAAGGAAACTGTGATCACATTTTTATCAAGATACGCAAAAAAAAAAAAAAAAAAAAAAAACTGGAAAAACACCCCGTGTTGTAGTTGCAGTGCCCAATTAAATAATAAAATCAGCTTCGCCAGAAGTCCAACTTAATGCCACCTACTTAGCTGGGTCTCATCTTCTTAAAATTTAAGGCAATATGCATACTTTATAAATATATGTACACATAAAAAAATTATCACTTACCGCTTTCACTTAATACACTAATCACAATTAAACACGTCAACTTTTGTTGTTCTTATCAAAATAGAATCCAGCTGGCTCAAAATAAGCGATACGTATTCATTTTTGTCTTAACTTCAAAATATAAGTTATTTTAGATTGCTGAGCTCTGTTTATATACGATGAACAACTCACAGCTCATTAAAGCCTCCTTAGTTTGAAATGCTGTTTTGCGCGCCTTTCTTGTGTAAGGGCTCTGCTAACTTATTCACATGAATAGTTGGTATGTGATTTGAGCCGATATAGCAGGTTGGCAGCCCAGCCATATCAGGGTAGTGGGAGAGGCAAAGTCGTCAGCAGTTGTGCTGCGTATGTGTACATTGTGGAAAATTCGATATTCGCGCGAGGGGGGCGAAAAGTGCAAACATGTCCAACGAAAAAGAGGACGACAAAGAGGCAGATGCTAAATCAACATCTAGCGATGATTCAGATGAGTATCAATCAGCTGGAGAGGGTGAGGATTCGGAAACGGAATTGCGCCCGCCTGGGGCATCGACTTCAGCACTACTCCGCACACCAACGGCACCTGAAAGTGCGTGTAGGGCAGTTGATTTATCGGTGGAGGCGGGGAATGAGGCATCCATGTATCCATTGCATCAAAGCGTTTTCGAGGACGACATTAAGGCATTGCAGCGGCTGTTATTGTTACACACTGCTCCCGAGGAGGTAGGACGCAAGGACAAGCACGGTAACACGCCTCTTCATTTGGCTGTTATGCTTGGCCGCAAACAATGCGTACGTTTGCTGCTTGCCCATGGAGCGCCCGTCAAGATAAAAAATAATGACGGCTGGTCCCCGCTTTCGGAAGCCATTAGTTATGGTGATCGGTCAACAATCACGCAGATACTACGGATGTTGAAACTTCAGTCGCGTGAACATATGGAGAGCCGTCGTGAAAAATTAGTGAATGCGCTACGTCAGATGCAAGACTTTTATATGGAGTTTAAGTGGGACTTCCAGTCCTGGCTACCGCTCGTTTCGCGCATACTGCCTTCGGACATATGTCGACTGTACAAGTCAGGCGCCTCGATACGCCTAGACACCACACTGGTTGACTTCAATGACATGCGCTGGGAGCGCGGTGACATATCGTTCCTCTTTCGTGGTGAGGCGCCGCCCCGTGAGTCCCTTGTTCTGTTGGACAATGAACAGCACTGCTATCAGCGACTGCGCTACGAGGAGGCTGACATGGAGGACGAAGTCGATGTTTTAATGTCCACGGACATACTGGCCACTCAGATGTCCACGAAGACCATACAATTCGCACGCGCGCAACGTGGCTGGATATTTCGTGCCAACCGGAAGGAACTTATTGGCGGGCAGTATCAATGCGAGATCTATACCATACAGGGTTTGGTGCTGAAGCAACGCAAGCGAAGAGAGCACTTGTCAAATGAGGATTTACAAAAGAATCGTGCCATTGTCGAGACAATCACCAAGGGAGGCATTACCGATGCAAGGCGTGCCAGCTTGGCTAGTCAACAGCAGCCAACGCCACCAGATAGCGACACGAGCACCACACCCACAACATCCACAAATGGACTGACGTTGCCAGAGTTACCACGTCGGAGTTCCTTGCAAGCGCCGCCACCAACAATGGTTACTTGGGAAAAATACATTGGCGCCCCAATTGGTAAGTGCCCGATATTGGGGCGCCCACCTGTGCACAAGCAATCCAATAAGACGCTGCGAGCCACTGTGGCTATGAGCAAGGACTTTCCACTAAGTGTAGATATGCTGCTTGATGTTCTCGAGGTGGTGGCACCTTTAAAGCACATCAATAAGTTACGACAATTTGTCACGCTCAAGCTGCCCACTGGATTTCCCGTCAAAATTGAAATACCCGTTCTACACACGGTGACGGCCAAAGTGACGTTCCAGAAATTCGAGTTCCGCGATAATATACCCGCCAAGCTATTCGAAATTCCAGCCCATTATTGGGAGGACGTGCGTCGTTTTCAGGACTTATGACCAAGCGATGAGATGACCAATAGCAAGACGACGCCGTCATCTTGTACTGAAAAAGGCTCCAAGTTGATTGACTTAAATCGCAACGCCACAATGCCCCTGGCGGAGTTCGATTAAAAAGTCCATTACCACGCGCCACCCTCCTCCCATTTGCATGCATGACAGTGTGTGTATTCGTATGTTTATAGCTCTATGTGTACATGTGCGTATATAAAGTGGAAACAAAATTGCAATTTTTATAGCAGGTGAAAAATAACAACAACAACAATCATTAAGCTACCAAATTATGAAAAGTGTTACTGTACTTTTTTTTTAAATTTAATTTATTAAGGTTAAATTAAAAATTTACGCTCTGAGAATTGCAATTTTGGCTTTGAAAAACAAATTTAATTTGTTACAATATATGTGTAGACCATTTAATAGAATTAGTCTTTACTGCACGCCAGCCAAATAGAAGGGGGCGCCTCGACTACGTATTATTTATCGCCTTTTCGTTTAGTGTATTTTATGACTAGTACCAACGTTATATTTGCGTTAATATTGTACTATAACATTCTGCATAGGCCCGCAATCATTTTATTTTCCGTTAACGCAGATTAAAAGCTGCAGAAAAACAAAAACAAAACGATTTTGCCTTATCGGTAATTATTGGCGTACCTAATACTTTCGTAACAACCGCTGCAATTTTGTTGAATCAGCAGCGTCTAAAGTTGTTCACTAAAACTCATTTGTAAGCCCCCATTGCCCCACTTACGACTGTGCAGCTCAAAAATTAAAAAAATAAAATAAAATAGGTAGATGAAAATTTTATGTTGCATTAAAGTTATACAAATAATTTTTTTAAATTATCATAGCATGTCTTGTTTAGCTGTGAAAATTCATATATTTGTTTTTACAAATTAATTTATTTACACATGTACTTATTTGTATGTTTTTATTATTTATTAAAAAACATAAATTCAATGTAATTGTAAGTTATACAAATACCCGCACTGAATCAATTAATTTTTGCCTTTAAGCCAATATTCATACATAAATACTATGAAAAAAACAGATGTCACAACAAACGTCCGTAAACAGTTTTATAGACAATTTTTAAGAACCACGCTAGAGAATTTTTTTTAATATTCTCGAAAAATAAAAAGCTTTTGAATAACAATATTAATATGTTTATTTATATATATATTATTTGTTTTAGTAAAAGTACTAAAGATTTCAGGCTCAATTAAATTTTGTTGTTATAATTGACTTCCTCCCTACTAACTTAATGTGCCATCTCCATTGATTTATTAAACATTTCCTCCAGAAAATCAAATGCATTGGAATCAGTACATTTTCGGACATATAACACAAGAATTTGTAATTAAATATGAATAAAAATTGAACTATTTTGGCACGGTTTTTGAAGCAAATAAGATAAAAATTGCTTGCCTATACAGTATTTTCATATTAATTATGGAAATGAAAGCAATGCATATAGTACATACATACAAAGAGACATACATATATTTATATATATTTGTACGTTAATATGTGTAACGATGAAACTTAAGCAAAAATGTAAAAGTTCTTGGGAGCATTTGAAAATGCTTCTCAGACGTTATATACCAAACTTCCCCAATAAAAATAAAGCAATTTATTTCTAACACAATTGACATTTAATTTTAAACTGTTGTTTAACCGCGATAAAATACATTTTATAACACCGAGCCGCCAACTTTAGTTGTTGCCGCTATCTTGAAAGAACTTTGCGTTTTACAGCACTGTTACGATTATCAGCTGGCTTAAATCGAACATTTTCCAGAAATTACGCACAATTTGAGATAAAGGGATTATTTAAAGCAAAAATTAGTTATAATCGACCTTAAAATGATCGTTTCGCGTTTGGCAAATTCTTTGAACGCCGCGAGGCAACAATTTACACGTCATGCAGTGCGCAACAATCAAGCATTAGTACGTCGCCACATGTCGGGCGAATATTACCGAAGTGGGGCCATCAAACCCAAGCCTGAAGAGATGCCCTTCGGTCTGGTGGCCATTTTCTGTGCAGTTATCCCTGGACTCTTTGTGGGCGCTACTATCAGCAAAAATGTGGCAAACTTTTTGGAGGAAAACGATTTGTTTGTGCCCTCAGACGACGACGATGATGAGGACTAAATGTGGAGGACGGGCCTAATCTGTTGACTATGACTCCTTAAGTCAGGAAAACTTTTAAAATCTCTCTGATACTTATTTATTTTGATGCATTGTAAATCACGACACTCTCCTATTTAAAATACTCTTGCATTGCCTCTTTGTTTAACCTCCTTGGTATTGCAGGGAGAGTATTTAAATTTATTATTTTGATGGGAGACTTACGTTATCACGATATCCTTCAGTATCGTGGAATTATTTGGCTGCCCACTTATATTTGCTAATAAAAAGGACTTATTTATTATGTAAGCTTACACAATATTATAAAATATTCTCAAATATAGCTTATTGATTTGTTAATATTTGTGACGACAATTTATTTATATAATTTAGGAGATTTTGTCTATGGGGAAAGCGCTGGTACAAATACATAAACACACATATTAATTACATATGACATATACTTGTATATGTAAGTTATATATGTATGTATCAATATACATGTGCCGTTCTTAATTGTTCGGACAAAAACCGGGATGTTGCAATTAAAAAAAAAAAGGTTTCAAAACATGGACCTCATCCGATATCAGCTAGACTCAAATAAAACACCATCTGTTTGTTTTCGCCGAAGTGGAATTTTATTTCATTTAAATATTTTGGGTTACAAATGTTTTGCTTTATTGTTCTTGACTGCGCCGCGATTATTACAACTTACTCAAATATTTTTAAGAACGCTCACACAACGAGGTGCTTTTCTTGTAATTTTTCAACACTCATGCAATCAATTTTAACAATTCTATTTGAATCATACAAATTATTTGTTATATCAGTATATGTCTGCTATATGTTGTGTTTGTTATTAATATTTGACAAAAGTTAAAGTTTGCTCGGCAAGTTCCCCCAATTCCTTCCAATTCGGTTTTTTATTTTGTTTCGATAATGTTTTGTGGTTTCTTTTCCTTACTCATTCGCATTTTTGCAATTATTTAAAGATTTTTTTGCGTGATTTTCCTTCTTGTTTAATAAAAAAATATGAACGTTTCCACGGCACGATTTAAATGTGCCGTGCGCGGATTTTTCTTTCGCTTTAAATATATATATGTACATATATATATATTGTGTAAAAACATTATTTATTTGCAATATTTATGATTCCTTTTTTAATAACGATAGGCCGAACGCAATTTAAAAAATTCCTGGCGTTCTCTCTTACATGTTTTCTGTTCTTGCAATGTAATATTTAGAAACGGTTTCAATATACATTATAAACATAAAATTGTTTGCTTGCTTCTGCGTTTAGTTAGCTTGCTTTTTCTTCAATTTTCCCCCTCATAAGTTTTCACGCTTTAGCGCTTTTCGTGTATGTATTTTTCATATATGTTTTTAATATATATATATACTTTTTTTTACTTTTTCCTTTTGCAATTTTTTTTTAGTTTTTTACTTTTTCATTTATTTTTTTTTTTAAATTGTATTTTTTCAACATGTGTTTTTCATTTTTCCTGTTCTTGTTGTTAACAAAGTAGCAAAAACGGTTTTAATCAATTTAGCGGTTTCTCTGCTTGGTTGTATTTTTGTTTCGTTTTTTGTTTTAACATTTTGCAATTTTTTTTATGATTTTCTTTTTCCTTTTTTTAAAAGTGTGTATTTGTTTTGTTGTTTTTCGAATTCTCGAAACAAATGATGTGGCTTTAAAAAGAAAAAATCATTTAGCGTTCGTGGTATTAAGTTTGTTGTTAAAAATTAGTGAAGTGTTTTAAAGGTTTTTAGAAACAAGAAGCTTGCTGGCTATATTTGCAATTCATGAACGCTTTCATCTATTTTTAATTATAATCATTGACCATTCATTTATGATTTTTTTTTTATATATACGCATACAATATAAACATATTTCAATTCAAGCAATGACAAAAGGTGTTCATCTATCAAGTTCGATGACATCAAAATATGTAAAAATATATAAAAAACCAGCATTCACTATGCTGGTGGGTGTATGTGTTGACAATTCTTTTTCTGTGTAATGCGTAAATGCGTTCGAAAATAAATGATTGAAATTGTTGTTGTTAAATGATGATGTACAATACTCAGTAAATTGTTTAAGTGTTTCTATAATCCTGTTTGTTGTTGTTGTTCAGTGCGCATCATTCTTGAACGCTGCGTTTTTTCTTTTCTTGAGCATCAGTATGTGAATAGTTGTTGTGTGTAAATTGAAAGCAAATAGGAAAAAACTAGAAGAAAAAAGGTTAAATTATTAATTGTTATCGGACTACTGAGCTTGAGAGAATTGTAACCAACTTTTTTGGGTGTCGAGTGTCTTGATTAAATTTCATCATCCGCTTGTTGCGAGCTTAGTTAGCGGGTTCGGTAACGCGATGCACCTGGAGTACGGCCACGGCCTCCTCCACCTTGGCCTTGAGAGCCTCCTTATCCTCAATCATATGCAATAGCTCAGAATTTTCGATTTCTAACAACATGCCAGTGATCTTGCCAGCCAGAGTAGCATGCATGCGCTCAATCATTGGATAGAGACGCTCGCCAAGAATCTGTTTCTGCTCCTGAGGATTAGCATTGGCCAACAGTGACGCAATAAGCTTCTCCGGATCTGTGAAACAACCTTTAATTAGTATGGGATCACCTGGGAATGGAAATACCATAAACTTACTCTTGCCCTGCAGTTGCTGAGGCATGGGCTGAGCGGTCGGCTGCAACGCCTGTGGCGGATTACGCATGTTGGCGGTGTATTTGTAGTTTGGAGCACGTTGCTGAGCACCAGCCGCAATCTGAGCGCCAGCGATTTGCATATTTGGTGCAGCAACAGTTTGTTGGCCGGTGATGGCACGAGCGCCAGTGTTGCGCATATTGTTGGCTGCGGCAGCAGCAGCGGCGGCATGCGTGCCTTGCACTTGCTGGGGCTGGGCACCACGTGCACCGGCTGCAGCTGGGCGGAACTGAGCCGGCACCGCACCAGTTGCACCCTGGAAGCCACCAGCAGCGGCGGCAGCAGCGCCGGCCTGCACGCTCTGCACTGCACCGGCGGGACGGACCTGTGGAGCCCAGCGTGGAGTATTGCGCATCTGAGTAGCCATCTGTGGTCCAAAGAAGCGCTGACCCGGGGCCATGGTGGGAACAAAGAAACTGCCAGCGGCATTGGGCTGGAATATTTGTCCCAACTGTTGCATGCGCATGCCAGTCATGTGACGCATATACTGCGAGGCCAGATGTGCTTTACGCTCCTCCTTACGTTGTGCTAATGCCACATACAATGGCTTACTGCCTACAACGCGTCCGTTTAGCTCGGTAACGGCGCAGGTGGCTTCATTAGGCGAAATGAAACAGACGAAGCCAAAACCTTTAGAGCGTCCCTCCTCATCGGTCATTACCTTGGCCGACGTGATGGTGCCGTATAGCGAGAACTCCTTGCGCAGACGGTCATCATCGATGGAATCATCAAGGTTCTTTACGTACAAATTAACACCATACACGGAGTCATGACGTTTCTTCTTCAGTTCCTCGAACTTGCGCTTCAGCTCCTGCTGACGTTCCGCCTTCTTTTGGGCACGCGCCACATATAATGATTTTCCATCGCCCATATCTTTGCCATTAAGCGCCTGAACAGCAGCCTCTGCAGCCTCAGTGGTCTCAAAGGCAACGAAGCCAAAGCCCTTACTCTTGCCATCGTCTTTGGACATAACCTAGAACGAATCCAGACAATCAATTAGAACCTTATCTTATAAAAAGATTTGCCATTGTGTCACTTACTTTATAGCTAGTAATCTTTCCATATGGCTCAAAAAATTCCTTGAGCTTTTCGTCATCAAAGTCTTCGGTAAAGTTCTTCACATAGACATTGGTGAAAAGCTTGGCCTTCTCACCAAGCTCCTTCTCGCGCTCCTTGCGTGGTATAAATTTGCCCACATAGACCTTCTTGCCGTTCAACAACATGCTGTTTACCTTTTCAATGGACATGTTGGCAGCCTCCTCGGTCTCAAAGTGCACAAAGCCGTATCCCTTGGAATTTCCCTTATCATCAGTGGCCACTTTGCAGCTCAAGATGTTGCCAAAGGCAGAAAAGGTGTCGTAAATGGCCTTGTTGTCGATAGCCTTATCCAGATTCTTAATGAACACATTGCCAACACCAGAGCGCCGAAGAGAGGGATCGCGTTGGGACCACATAATGCGTATGGGCTTATTGCGAATCAAGTCGAAGTTCATAGTGTCAAGGGCGCGCTCAGCTGCAACGAGATTAGGAAACGGGAATAAGAATAACTATGATATAATTGCATTGGTATGCACTTGTCTACGAGTTCGTAGTTCTTACACTGCCAAAAACAAATTATAGTTCAACTAACCTAACGGTACAATTTGCTGGCCAGGCATGGCGGAAATTTGGTTATTCGAATATTACAATTTGTACTTTTATTTCTGTATGTTTTGTTTGACAATAATTTCACTATAAGTTACACAAGTAAATTTCTAAAATCTAATAACATTTAATAGGGCCATTGCGAAAGGGGTTTTAATTCAGCGCCCATAATAAAAAGGGGATAAAGTATTAACTGTTTCTTTAAATGTTTTTGTGTCCGATCTACTTCTGGCGGGGGTTTTTATAACGCTTCTACTTCTGTAAACAGCAATTCGGAGCCAATTTACATGGTAAGTTACGTACATTTCTGTAGCAACTTTAAATCTTAGTTGATTCAAAATAGATTCATTTTTGACCAACCAATGGGTTGAAGTTGCGACTCAGAATTAACAGTATACAGTATAACCTTAATAGGGATTGCTTTTAATTGATAGGGTATTTACGAAAAAAGTTCATATCGTTGTTCATTCTTGGGTTTCTGTAACGCTTCTACTTCTGTAAATAGCAATTCGGAGCCAATTTACATGGTAAGTTACGTACATTTCTATAGCAACTTTGAATCTTAGTTGATTCAAAACAGATTCATTTTTGACCAACCAATGGGTTGAAGTTGCGACTCAGAGAATTAACAGCAGCCAGTATTAACTTAATAGGATTGTTTTCAATTCATAGGGTATTTACGAAAAAAGTTCATATCGTTGTTCATTCTTGGGTTTCTGTAACGCTTCTACTTCTGTAAATAGCAATTCGGGGCCAATTTACATGGTAAGTTACGTACATTTCTGTAGCAACTTTGAATCTTAGTTGATTCAAAATAGATTCATTTTTGACCAACCAATGGGTTGAAGTTGCGACTCAGAGAATTAATAGCAGCCAGTATTAACTTAATAGGATTGTTTTCAATTGATAGGGTATTTACGAAAAAAGTTCATATCGTTGTTCATTCTTGGGTTTCTGTAACGCTTCTACTTCTGTAAATAGCAATTCGGAGCCAATTTACATGGTAAGTTACGTACATTTCTATAGCAACTTTGAATCTTAGTTGATTCAAAATAGATTCATTTTTGACCAACCAATGGGTTGAAGTTGCGACTCAGAATTAACAGTATACAGTATAACCTTAATAGGGATTGCTTTCAATTGATAGGGTATTTACGAAAAAAGTTCATATCGTTGTTCATTCTTGGGTTTCTGTAACGCTTCTACTTCTGTAAATAGCAATTCGGAGCCAATTTACATGGTAAGTTACGTACATTTCTGTAGCAACTTTGAATCTTAGTTGATTCAAAATAGATTCATTTTTGACCAACCAATGGGTTGAAGTTGCGACTCAGAGAATTAAAGGCAGCCAGTATTAACTTAATAGGATTGTTTTCAATTGATAGGGTATTTACGAAAAAAGTTCATATCGTTGTTCATACTTGGCATTCTGTAACGCTTCTACTTCTGTAAATAGCAATTCGGTGCCAATTTACATGGTAAGTTACGTACATTTCTATAGCAACTTTGAATCTTAGTTGATTCAAAATGGATTTATTTTTTGACCAACCAATGGGTTGAAGTTGCGACTCAGAATTAACAGCAGCCAGTATTAACTTAATAGAATTGTTTTCAATTGATAGGGTATTTACGAAAAAAGTTCATATCGTTGTTCATTCTTGGGTTTCTGTAACGCTTCTACTTCTGTAAAAAGCAATTTGGAGCCAATTTACATGGTAAGTTACGTACATTTCTATAGCAACTTTGAATCTTAGTTGATTCAAAATAGATTCATTTTTGACCAACCAATGGGTTGAAGTTGCGACTCAGAGAATTAACAGCAGCCAGTATTAACTTAATAGGATTGCTTTCAATTGATAGGGTATTTAAGAAAAAAGTTCATATCGTTGTTCATTCTTGGGTTTCTGTAACGCTTCTACTTCTGTAAATAGCAATTCGGAGCCAATTTACATGGTAAGTTACGTACATTTCTGTAGCAACTTTAAATCTTAGTTGATTCAAAATGGATTTCTTTTTTGACCAACCAATGGGTTGAAGTTGCGACTCAGAATTAACTGCAGCCAGTATTAACTTAATAGGATTGCTTTCAATTGATAGGGTATTTACGAAAAAAGTTCATATCGTTGTTCATTCTTGGGTTTCTGTAACGCTTCTACTTCTGTAAACAGCAATTCGGAGCCAATTTACATGGTAAGTTACGTACATTTCTATAGCAACTTTGAATCTTAGTTGATTCAAAATAGATTCATTTTTGACCAACCAATGGGTTGAAGTTGCGACTCAGAGAATTAACAGCAGCCAGTATTAACTTAATAGGATTGCTTTCAATTGATAGGGTATTTACGAAAAAAGTTCATATCGTTGTTCATTCTTGGGTTTCTGTAACGCTTCTACTTCTGTAAATAGCAATTCGGAGCCAATTTACATGGTAAGTTACGTACATTTATATAGCAACTTTGAATCTTAGTTGATTCAAAATGGAATTATTTTTTGATCAACCAATGGGTAGGAAGTTGCGGCTTAAGACTGGTGGTAGAAATAAAAATATATCAATAATAATAACAAACATTGCCAAAAAAACACATATTCATATGCGTTTTAGTTCATAGTTTGGTTCTTATTTACATGGTTATGCATTTCCTGAATGGGTTGCTAATCAATGCCCAAGTAGTAGTAATACATCAAGGTTCATTGCACTTTGTGGTATGCGCGTGCTTCACTTTCACAAGCCATACAGCAACAATAACAACAAAGAGGATGATGGTATTGTACGCTTAATTCAATAAAAAACACAACAACATGTAAACGACCTTTTTCGTAATCTTTCATAAAAGTAAAGAGGCAAATAGTAGCTAGCATTTTGGATCTGTAGGTGCGGTGAAAGTTTGTTTTTGTCGTTGGACGAAACAGGCTTTGGAAATAGAGGGGACTACTATAACTATCAACACATTCCGATTGATTAATTTGGCGGCTACGGTATGCCAAGAATTTACAAGTGTTAATTCAATGAATGAGCAGAGAGTGGACGCATCAATGACCGGCATGGTGAAAAAGTGAAAGCAAACAATATAAAGAAAAAATGAAGGTTTTTTTTATGGAAGACTAGCAAATAAATACATAAATAAACGTATTAAAATTTGGCGAAACGTGCAGACTTTTTCAAATTAAACTTAACCTAAAAAAATTACGCTATAACGAGAGAGAGAGAGAGGACATAAACAATAAAGACTTATTTACAAGTCACACACATTCACACTAATAAATATGTTTCTGGCGTGTATGTGGGTGTGTGTGTGCATGGAAACAACAAAATCTGCAAAACACTGCGGGGCGTGGCGCGGCTACGAGAGCGATAAGCGCGACAATGAAACATTAAACCATTTCAATTGTAATTTATGTGACGACGTAGCAAAAGACAGAAACTTCTAGTCTATACTAGCAAATGTACATACATATGTGTACAATTGTGGGCAGCAGTAAAAGCAGCTGTTTTTATACCCTGTACTCGAAGTAGAGTAGAGTATGCTATGTAAAGTATTTCCGATGCAACAAAATATATATAATTTTTATCAGCAAGAAAAAATCGATTTAGCTATAAATTATATTCGCTATCTCTAGTTTAAAATTTAATTACAAAAAAAAAAAAAATGCTGTTTGGGTACTTTTTGATTTTCTTTCTGCTTCTGATGTGCAGTGAGCAGTGCTGCTTATAACAGTGAGCAAAACAGACTCGCAAGCTTTTTTTTCTTTTTCTGATATAGTGTATTTGAAAATCGAGCTTACTTAGGTAAATATTCTCTCTTGTTTTTATTCATTTTATTTTTTTTTTAGTTTTTGCAATAACTGGAAATTTCACACATGTCAAGAGAGACCGAGAGAGGCACACGAACACAATGGTGCTGCTCTGGCCTTTTTCTTAGTATGAATATCTGTGTGAGTGAATCGAAATTGCACACGTGTTTTTAGCTTACAATTGCAATGATTATTATAAAGATCTTCAAATAAGTTGATTTTCCGCAATAATTAAGTTAACAATTTTCTCTTTAAGCATCTATGTACATGTATGTATGTATGTATAACTATTTACATAGTTCACATGGCAGTACTCACCGTCGGCTGGCTGCTGAAAGTTGACATAGGCATAGCCCAATGAGCGGCGGGTTACCACGTCACGGCAGACACGAATGGAGAGAACTGGGCCAGCAGTTGAAAACTTTTCAAAAAGTCCCGCTTCGTTAATATCCTGGTGTAGATCACCCACGTATAGAGAAGCCATATTTGATAATTAGGTCCTCCTACGTATATATGGATAAATATTACAAATTATTTGCTTTTATGCGAGCGAGTTAAAACGTGTAGATTGGTATGTGTATTCGATAGCCTTTCAATGAATTTGAAAGTAGGGGGTAAGCCCGCAGTTACGAGTATCTTGATTTCTTATTTTTGTACAGTTAGTAATTTTGTGTGTTCAATTCAGTCTTCTGTTTATCTGTGTGCCCTTATGTGCAAACATACTGACGCATGTGACCGACGGACGGTTGGTCGACATGGCAACACTGCCGCATGCATGTGCTTTGTTGTTGCTGATTCCTCTAGGTTTACTTATTTCGCGAATACTAGCATAGGCGAACCACCACCACTAAAAAACACGTTGGAAAATTTCCACATGTGCGGAACACACACAGACTAACCAAATGTACACAGATTGGCGAAGCTCGCAATTAACTTTAATTTCATCACAATTCTTTAGCAGAGCATATGCCATTTTAATGCAAATTACACTTTGTATCGCCTTTGTTCAATTCTCTTTAGCATGTTCGTTTTATTTCAGCAGCGATAGCTTCGTCGCCATCTTGCATCGACGTCATAGTCGAGCCACATTTCACAAGAAAAACGTACGCCTTTCCTTTGTTCTCTACTTGCACGTTTTCTCGTACTTACGTTTTCAACACTTGCTCGAATTTTTTGCTACTTTTTACAATTTTTTTTTATTAATTTTATATTTTTAATTTTTTTTTGGTTTTTTTATGATTTTTTCTTCACAAAAAATATGTGATAAGCCGTGTGCATAAGCGAATCCACGACCGCTCACGAAAACGGACTCTACTCGACTCGGCGTGCAAGTGAACGAGAACGAGTACTTGTGTCAAAAATATTCGCCCAACCTGGCTAGCTCGCCAATATGGTCGGTAAGAGTTGACAGCTCTGCACTTTAATTTCGTGTGTTATCGATATAAATTATCGATGCAACTATAGCGAATGACAAATGCGCGAAAATAATTGTTCACTCAATGCAATGGAATTGTTTATTTTTGGGATAGGATATATTTACCCAATAAGATGCAAATTTCTGGGTTCCCTTTTTTTGTTATAAAAAAAAAACGTGATTTAAAAATGGCGCGCTCAAACTTCCTAAAAATTTGTAAGTTATTTTCACTCACGTTTGATCTATCGTTTATTTTTCTTTTTTTTACGAAATAAAAAACTCAAAGAAATATGCTGGAAAAGTTTCAACTATTTGCCGTATTTTTTTTTAATTTTTTACTGGGTGGTTTTTTGGGTTTCTGTATAGTTTGTTTTTTTTTTTTTTTTGAGGCGGATACACCGGTACCGAAACGTGTGGCGTTTGTGTGCCAAATGATACCTGCAATATTAATTAAAGTCAAACTGAAATGTCATAACCGCTAGTGCTGCTTAGCCTACTAGGAATTTTCAGCGTTTTTATATAGCGTTTATGTTTGTTATTATAACAATTCAGATATTGCAGTTATATGTCTAAATCTTTAAAGTCTAAAGATTCTATTTTAATAACTCTAAACGAGTATAAAAAATATTAGAATATATTATCTATATTTTTATTTCCAGTCTCTAGAAACAGTTTTTAATTTTATACCCGTGTGGTAAGAGGGGTACATTAAGTATGTGCAGAGTAACAAGCCGGAGGAGCCATCTCCGACCCAATAAAGTATACATACGTATATATTTTTAATCAACATGAAGAGTCGAATCGATAAAGCCATGTTCATATTTCCAAAGGTACATAAGCTAAACTTAAATCTACTATTGTTTTAAATTTCACCCAAGTCGATAAATTATAAAAGTTATTGCCGAAACAATTTCAATCCAGTACCGACGCCCACAAACTACAGGAGGGGGTGCATATAACTCAGCGCCGAAAGTTTCTGTCTTGTTTAGTTATGGAAATAAGTTGTTTTTCTAAATGTACTATATACAAGAATATATATTGGAAATAAGTTATGTTTTTCAAATTTATAGACTTAAGACCAATTTTATTTGAAGATTATTAATATATTTTTTATTCATTTAGTTTAAATATTAGCATTTGCTTGTGTGTATTTTGTAATGGATGAGATTTCGCATGTGTGATCAACTCGTTTTTGATTTTTTGTACCGCCTAAAACTATGGCGTATTTAATTTTTTCAATTATGCCTAATCAATGTTTAAATATTAATTACTTTCTAATTTGTGTTCGTGTGTAGTATACCTCAAGCAATTTTTGTATGCATAACATAAATTTTTTCTTCAGAAAAGTACATACATATATTTTTCGAAAATACATATACCGAGTATAGTAATAGAACTGAACTTAATCTAGCGACGAATACGAACTCAGTTTACCCTTTATATAACATAATAATTTGTAATTTTCAGCAGTTCATTAAGCATGAATATAATTTGATTTTAATGGGGGGACATTTTGTATCGAAATTTTTAATACTTTTCAAGTGACAATTTTCCAACTACAATTGGTCTTTATATTAAAATTTACTTTTTTCTTAATAAATTAAACTGCCATTGCACAATTAAAACCTGTAATCAGTTGCGATTTTTTTCTTGCTTCTCAAAGAATTTATAATATTTCTCTATATGTTGGCAGTGTTAATGTGTGTGGTGTCATTTAGCAATTTTTTTAAATAAAAAAAAGTCTAACAAAGAACATATGTCGGCAAGCTCCGCGATCTTTAACCAAACACAAAAATGAACGCGTAAACAAAAATGTCATAAGTGTAAGCAAATATGGAATGAATGTCCATAATTAATTGCCGCTATTGTTGCCATTGCCACATCCAAGACCAGTGGTTGTCGCTGTATCGCCACCCCATTCTACCAGATACTGCACCTGTCCATTGCTCACACGCCTTTTAGCCCTTATGGCAAAGGACTCACCGGCATCTATGCGATTGATGGCACCGCCAAAATATTTGTTAACCGACTGCTTTAGGTCCTGCATGACTGAGTTACCGTTGCTGGCATTGATAGACGTGCCACCAGCACTGCTGCTTCCATTTGTGGCTGTCGACGAAGTTGAGCTGCGTCGGCTATTTCCCTCCGAGCTGTTTGATTTTCTCGGTCGTTGGCGCAATAGACGACCATGAGATGGTTTGTTCTCAATCGGTGGAAGCAGTTTGGCCACATTGTTAATTGGTGGAGTCACAACCGGCTGTTGCAAATCTTTGGCATATACGGGAAAGTAGTGGCTTGGTATAGGGTTAATGGTTGTCGTATTGATGATCTGTCCGAAAAAATATAACAAAATGTTAGTTAAACTTTCTAGCGGTGTAATACGATTGCAATCCTAACTCACCTCCACGGCCGTGGTTAGGCGTCTCGTGCGTCGACGACGCACTTCTTGATTAGGTCCAATTGTAATATCTTTGGCACTCAGTCTTCGCTTTATGGTGCGAACCATGCGCGGCTGTTGTCTGCTCAGCTCTGCGCTCCCCAACTTGGGAAATATGCTGCAGCCTGCTACAGTGGTTGCGGCTCCTAGCCCCGCTCCCGTCGCCGATAATGCGCCATTCAAATTGAAAATGCTATTGATTAGGCCCGCAGTTATACCGTTTGGCGAGTTACCTTGACGCAGTTGCGTTGCAGTTATGTTGGCATTTTTCTTGGGTGTGGTCATCAGAAAGGGATTATTGCGACCTAGGAAATTGACCGGTGGTGGTATGATGTGGTCTAATGAAGAGGTTCCACGACTGCTGCTTGAATTCTCATCGGATGAAAGATCACAGTTTCGGGCGCTGCTGCTGTTGTCGTAGCGTTTGGCAGCAACATCCTTGTAGGACTTTGACAAACGGAATGCTTTACGTTTGCGACTGGTCTGCTGCTGCAGTACCCGGATAGGTGGTTGCGGCGGTGCCACCGGTAACTTTTTATCATTGTTGTTGTTCTGACCATCGTTGGCGTTGTCATCATCGACCAACAATTGGAGTGTAGGTTGCAGTTGCTGTTGCTTTGCTTGCTTCTTCGCCTTCTCCATAATCTCTTTAATGGGTATTTCATCCTCACTGGTGTCTGCTGCAGTCGTGGCCACTAAGCCATGATCCTCCTTCTGTTCGTCGTCCGTTTGGAATTCATAGACATCTTTTGTGGTCCGGGCAACGCAGTCTGTTGACGGCAACAGCAATAACTTGAACTTGTCCACCAGCAACTCATCGGAAAGCACCTCGTTCGGCTGCAGGAGCACTTTAGGTGTGAGTGGTGGGCCATTGTGACGCAGGGCATAGCATGACGGCGCTCGCTTAAACTCGCGCCCGCACACAAAACGCTCAGAGTAATCCTTAAGCGTCTGCTTGATGCGTTCCATCAGCTGAGTCTCCGGCAATGCGCGCCATTCGGCACAGATGGGCAACTGATGGCGCTGCTTTAGTATAAACGGCCAAATATCCTTGAGCAGATGATAGTATTTCTGATGTTGTTGCTTCCGAAGATTGTAGAGTGTTATGTGAAGTACGTCCACCCAATCAATTTGCAATCGGCGTATAAACTCTATGCCATCATTACACACCGTGCAGCAGAAAACAAAGAAACTGCGAATAAAATATGTGAACACTTGTCAGCCTGGAAGTTAACAGTTTGTGTTTGATTTGCTTACGTGTCGCCGCGCAGCAGCTTACGGTTAAAATTCTGCATGCATTGGGTGTGGAACCAGTTGCGGCACTTGCAACACTGCAACATATTGTGATCGAACCTGCCAGCCTTACCGCAATAGCAATAGATTTGCTCCTCATTCACTCGATGTTTCTCATCCCAGCTAAGTTTATCAGCCTGTAATTAATCGAAGTCAATGACAAACAGTGAGTGATGACACATGGGCCCAAAGACTATCATATTATGATATTAAACTGCCTAAGACGTATTATTATCTTAAGATCTTTACAACCACCAAGACTAGCCACGTGCATCGTGATCAGCATTAAGTTTATCAATTTCATTTGACAATGAATAGAATTGTTATATTAGAGTATCTTTGTATTTATAAAAGTTCTTGAAGTTCTTAGATTTGCTCTAAATCATAAATGTTACTTACATGATATGGAAGCTGGCGACAAATTCCTTTTAGTTTGCCTTCATTGCCTGATAGAGGCTGTTGCATCTTCATAGGCTTCGCGCATCGCTTGCAGCACCAGATGCCACTGCCAGTAGTAGTCTCAGTCGTACAGCCACGATGATAGCCACGACCACAACGCTCGCATATCTCGACCACATCGTTGTGTTGGGCCCGTTTACAGGCTACACACATGGGACCATTTGGAGCGGAACTGCTCTCCTGGGCGCTGTTGCCGCCCAGCTTGCGCAGCTTCTCCGGCTCACACCACTGCTCCGACTTGTCATCAAAACGAACCAGATACCGCTGCTCGGCCTGATCGATAATGGTGCCCAGATATAAGCGACCATCGTTACATTTTATGAACACATCCTCTTGCAGCCGGTAACTTATGGTTGTTTTGGGCAGGGTATCAGTCTCCTCTGGCAGCTGCGTTGGCGGGGGTGTTGGTGGAGTTAATGGTGCAGGTACCATTTCTTCCGCCAACCTCTCAATGCTGCTCTGTGCTACACAGGTGAAGCTCTGCTTAACCTGTGGGCTGGATTTGGGCAAAATTGTTGATGTCGACAAGGGCGGTGGCGACGGTGTGCCTGCAATGCTGGGTGTTTTGAGCGGTGAGCTCATTGCCTCCGGTGTGGTAGGCGGAGTTTGTGGTGTTGCTGTAGTTGAGTCTGGCTCATCAATAACAATTACTGCAGCATTTGAGGAGACGCTGCTCCGCCCTAGACTCATGGAGCTACTACTACTACTGCAGCTACTATCGGCTGTGCTGCTGTCAATGAGTGGCATCAGAGCTTTATGCTGTATAGCGGGTATGATGGGTGACGGTTGTTGTTGTGGCTGCAGCGTTGATGTGGAGAGCGTATTACAGAGATTGGACGGCGTTGCCGACTCTGCATAGTGGTTGTTAATGCAAATATTAATGCGATCGAGCAGCACAGTGGGGGCGGCCCCACCATTGGGTGGCACATTATGTGAGCTGCTAACGGGCACCAGTGGCGGTGGTTGAGTTGGCAATACTTTGGCAGTGTTATTATTGTTGTTGTTGTGGTTGCTGTTGGCCATCAGTCTGCTTAAGTTGTCTGCAGTTGTGGCCTCAGCATTGGGCAAGAAGAAAGATTGAAGCGTACTGCTGTTCGCTGGCCCATAGAGATCCGCTGTTGGGGTTACGGTCGTTGTTGGCGTAAAGAGCTGCTCTGCTGTCTTATTTATATTATAGATATTATTGGCCCCTGTGGAAATGATGCGTATGTTGTTGGCCTTAAATGGAGTGGACGTTGTTTGAAGCGGCTGTTGTTTTGCTGCCGGTAGCTGTGTTTGGGTATAGTTGTTAGTTATTTGTATGGTATTGGGATGTGTGGATGCTGTCGGCGTTGATGTCGCATAATAACGCTTCGGTCCGCCGCCATTGGATATTGTCATTGCCTGGCTGGATGGCAAGATCTGATAGGTCATCCATTGTGGTTGCTGTGAATTCAATTGCGTTGGTATTTGCAGTGTGGGCGCCGGCGCCGATGTTGGCTGGGACATGTAGCTGAATGTTGTCGCACCTCCGGATTGTTGAAGGAATTGGGGCGCGACATTTTGTGTCGTGTGTTCATGTTGCAAGTGAAAATGGTTGTTCATTATTTGAAAGGCAGCCTTTTAGCTAAGTATGTATATGTTAATATATTCCTCTATGTTGTGTACAGATTTTGTGCGCAGTCTTTTCTGTAATAATAAAACAAGTAAAATGATTGAATAATATTATTCATTCTTCGCCCAATGTAAGCCGGCATTTTTTGTCTGCTGGCTGCTTTAATTATATACTTAATTTTGCTTGTGTAATTAAGATACCTAATAGAGCAGCAACAATCTGGCGCCTTTTTTCAATAGATTTGTTGTTGGTGCACTCAATACATGCGCAGCACGGCACATGTATAGAGGCCCGACTGTCTGAAGTCGCGGGCCCTTTTGTATTCCACTTTTTTCACGCAGTCGTGCACGACGACGTTGAATTGGCAGTGAAAAAGGCCAATTTTCAGAACAGTTTTAACATACCTTTAGTGTGTTTCAACACATGTACTCAATTAGTATAGTATTAAAATACGTCCATTTGCAATTTTTAAGTAGTTTTGTGCATTGTTCAGCATTATATCAAGCAAAAACACACGAAAAACAGACAAAGTTGATTCGGCAATTAAGTTAAGTCGGCCATTTTTCAACATATGTGTTGGCAAATAACCAAAGCGGTGCATTTCGCGATCAGTGTTCAACAGCGATGGAAGACAGTCGGCACCTGGAAGACACACAAATAAATTGGTATAGAAAACTTAATTTACGATAGTTACATATCATGGTAATTAATTATATTTTCTTAGATTGTTTGTAAACAACGATGGACTAAATTCTCTAAAAATCATTGACCTCAATTCAAAAAAACAGTGTTTCGCGCCAGAAAATACGAGTAATTACTCGCAGTCGTTCAAGCAACGAGTCATTTGTGTATAAATACGCGCAGCGTTGTTACCGATAGGTTTTTTTCGATTCAGACACGAACAGAGTACCATGAAAAGTCAGTGGAAAGCAAAGAAGTGAATTTTGTGATCTTAACAACTGCGCCGTGCATTAAAAAATTTTAAAATAATAAAAGGGAGATTTACAACCTCAAAGTGAATATACAACTACGTAAAAAGTGAATATCAAGTGAACAACAAATTTTAATAAACCTACAACGTTAACTGCGCCACAAATATAACTTGAGAGTTCAGGTGTTGTGGTAGGTAGCTACATTTTTTTAGGCAGCAATAACTGCCAGTGTATGTGTGTGTTAACGTGACGCATTCAAGTTAATTTGGCTAGCTTCATTAAAAAATAGTGCGAGAAAAGTGCAACTTTCATTGCTCTAGCTACACATTTTCTATACACATTTACATACATATATTATGTTCATTGCGCCCACACAAACACACGTATAAAATCTACCCACTACACACACAGACGCAACACTTACACATATATACATAGGTGCCTTGGACTGTGCCCATCGTGAATGTGTTTTGGTGGGTGCCATTTAAATTCATTGATTAAACTTTTCCTTTCAATTCATATTCGTCCGTAGCCAGTAGTGACTTATATGTCCAGCAAAGTGCCGCGTCTAACTGTAAAAGCCGTGCAATTGAAGCACGAAGCTTCTGACGAAGAAGACGAGGATCGACGGGAAGAACCAAGACGTCGCAATATGCCTACACTTGGGGAATCGAGCAGTGGAAGCAGCAGCGGAGTTCCAGCCTTTTTGGCTAAACTCTGGCGCTTGGTTGATGATCCAGATACGAACAATTTGATTTGTTGGAGCAAGGTAAGCGGCAGCCATATTGTTTATTTACTGTTATGGCAACAAATATAACAATGACGTTCGTTGGACAGGTGTTTTACTTTTATTGTAACGCCTATGAGTTGACTTTCTCTACGTCATCAACTACGCTTGCTAAAGTTGTTGCTGCTGCTGTGATGCGCTGCACGTATGTAGTTGTTGTCTTTTGCGTACGTGCGTGGCACTATACGTAGCTGCAAACAATTTCAGAACATCACCAACAATAAACTTATCACATTTAGCATCATGTTGCCCCTTTTTTTTCTTTACTACACATCACCATGACAAGAAATTTTACGTCTGGCTGTGTGTCCCTGCATTTGTAGGAATTAATTTTTAATTTTTATAGTTAACTACTTTGTGTTTTTTAAAGTTATAAATTTATATGCATATTTAGATATGCATTTGGTAAATACTTTAGTTGGGTTTTTGTGCTTCTGCGGTTTACAAGTATTTTCGTGGCTTATTATTGTTGCTTTATCAAGTACATTTGTGGTTTTTATAATAATCATAATGACTTTTTATCTACAACAAAATACCAAATGTTTACTATTTCTTTCTTTTTAGGATGGTCGCAGTTTCATTATACAAAATCAGGCACAATTTGCTCGCGAATTGTTGCCGCTCAATTATAAACACAACAACATGGCCAGCTTCATTCGGCAGTTGAATATGTGTAAGTATCACGCAAGAATGTTCTGCGAGAAACCCGCCATTTTTAATTGAACTTCCCCCTTTCCATATCAGATGGTTTCCACAAGATTACTTCTATTGATAATGGTGGCTTGCGTTTCGATCGGGACGAGATTGAGTTCTCGCATCCCTACTTCAAGCGTAATTATCCCTATTTATTGGATCAAATAAAACGCAAAATATCGAATACTAAGAATGTTGAAGATAAGAACGCAGTTATGAAACAGGAGACGGTTTCCAAAGTGCTGAGTGATGTCAAGGTTATGCGGGGGCGGCAAGACAATTTGGATTCGCGGTTTTCTGTGATGAAACAGGAAAACGAGGCGTTATGGCGTGAAATCGCCTCCTTGCGTCAAAAGCATGCCAAGCAGCAGCAAATTGTCAATAAGCTAATACAGTTTCTAATCTCGATTGTACAACCGTCAAGAAATATGTCTGGTGTTAAGCGTCACATGCAACTAATGATCAATGATACTCCGGATAATGCTCGATCTCGTACGATCAGCGAAACGGAGAGCGAGGGAGGTGGCGGTCCAGTAATTCACGAGCTTAGCGAAGAGCTACTGGATGAAGTAATGAATCCGCACAGTCCCTCGCAATATGACAACGAGAGTGTCTCTCCATTGGCCATGGAGCGTCCGCGCTCAAATGTCAGCATCGGTTCGATTAATTATGATTACTCAAACCAAAGCGGTGAGGATTTGTTGAATATGGCCAGTGGTGGAAATTCCGGAGCGGTTGCAACGGTTGGAAATATGTTAACTGGAGCCAAATCCCCGTTGGCCTCAAATTCAAATAGGTCGCCAAGCCAGCAGGTGCTCTATACAGTAACTGAGGCGCCGGACTCGCATGCAACTGAGTTACCCAATAGCCCCTATGGTAGTGAAGAACTAAACGAGTTGACTACCCCCATGGTGCGTGAACAAGAAGAGCGTAAGCGTCAGCAGCTCAAGGAGAAAAATAAGCAGCGTCGTCGTGCTGCAGATCAAGCTGACGCAACAACCAAGTCCATACGCACTCGTGCTCAATCAAAGGCCAGTGATCCGCAGCTCACGCAGGTGAAACTGGAGTCGGACGTTAGCAATCTCTTTGCGTCTGACAGCAAATACAATAATGAAACAAAGCAACAATCGCAGAATGTCAATGAGATGGTGAACATGCCTTCCCTGATCGAACCCAACAATGCTAATTTATATGATGTTAACTTTATAAGCAACGATATGCCTACGGATATCTTTGAGGTATGTGTGACGTGATCCCAATTTTTTTAAAAGCAATTAACACATAGTTTTTACAGGATGTCCCTTTGTTATCCGATGGCAGTGTCGATGCAGCTTATAAGTTGAACGAGCAGCAACAATTTGGACGCTCCACAGTGAACAGCGGCAGATTTTCAAATACGCCACTAGGCTTTGACATAACTCCAACATCAGTGTCATCTGCTGATGATGGTTCCCCACTACTGAACGATGCCAATTTGCCCTCTACTTCCAAAGCGGCCGCAGCTGCAAAGGGCAATGGTACTTCTACTGAACAGCAGGACATGACAGTGGCCAAATACACAGGCGGTGACAACGGAATCGCCGCCCCTCTACGGTTGAGTTCCGTGTCAGTAACTGAGCAGAAAAAACTCGGTTGCGAAATGGAAGCCATCAATAACATAAATTCGGTTTATCCTTTCTATTGCAGAGATGAAGTAAGCGGACACATAGAGAATATACAGGATGAGCTCGACACGCTAAAGGATATGTTGCGAGGCGAAGGAGTCTCAATTGATCAGAACATGCTTATGGGTGTAAGTATGCGAAGATAATGAATCTGTGCCTAGGCATGGGTTGGTCCGTCTGTCTGTCCGTCTCGGTTTACTATATCTTTCTCAATTCTTTATAAATCTTTATTATGTGCTGGTGTGCAGGCAGTACAAAACGCCGCTGATCGTTCAGCTTCTAGCAAGATGCCCGTAATACAGCTGACCGAAGACGAGCTGTTATTAAAGGTCAGCGCATGGGTCTTAAGCTCAATACTTTAAACATTTTGTAGCCTAGGGCAATCCTTTTTAGTGGAAATTTCTAATTGCAATTAAGAAATTTTTTTTACTCTTTACAGCTCTTTAATGACGCGGAACTATTGGATAATTATGGTCTAACGTTTCCCAGTGACAACATGAGTAACAACGATAAGAAAAGTAAGTTGTGCACTTAGTAGTTTATAATCTGTGTAAATTAAAATTAAAATATTTGAAACACAGGCAGCGGCTCAGAGCTAATGACATATCAGCCAAGCATGTATGACTTGTCTGACATACTGGACACGTCAGATGAGAGCAATAAAAATCAGAGCGTAAACGATTCTTCATCTCGTCAGCTGCAGACGCAAAGTTCAGTGCTGAATACGCCGCGCCATGAAATGTAAAAAAAATCATCTTCGTTCTAACTTGGCGGCGAACAAAATATATAATTATAAATAATTGTTTTTTTAATCTTATGGAAAGCGATTTTGTTTAATGCTATAATTATTTCATAAATTTAATACTAATGTTTTGTTTTGATTTATATGTTTGTTTGAACTTTCTAAGTGAATCATGATTTGACGCGTGTTTTGCGAGTATAAGGATCAACAAAAACAAAGAACTATCGTTCTTTAGAAAAAATACATAGCTAATACGGTTAAATTCAATATGCCTTATGCAATACTATATATGTATCAAATATATATAAAACTTACATATTCTGAAAATGGCAAAATTTTATATATATATATATATATATATATATATATATATATATATATATATATATATATATATATATATATATATATATATATATATCAATAAGACTTGCCAACGACTGTGGACAACTTGAAGGTGTGAAAGATTTTAGATTGTAGATTTAGGCGTTTCTTAGCGTAATTCAGACAAAGACTTGAAAACCCAGTTATTAAAAAACAAAGTTGTCGATCACCTCGAAAAAAATTGTAACAAAATTAAATTACAAGCTAAATTCTTTATATACAGAACATCACTGAAATGTTACCCACAGATGTAACAATGTAGTACTATGATAAAAAATTAATATTATTAAAAACTGACAGGCCTTGGGCCGCAAAATACTCCACAATTTTTTACTGGGTATATGTACTTGTAGATCGGAATGGTGTTTTGAGATGTTTTAGTCTTGCAACTGATGGTATAATAAATATTCTTCAATTCGCTATGTTTATTTTATGAAATTTCTGATTTAATTCTGAAAGGATATCCTTTGGCACTTGCATAAAATTTAAAGTTATCGCTAAAAGATGTAGGAAAGAACTGGGCATGCGCAAATGAGGATTCACAAACATCGGGTTTCAACTGATGAGATTTTTTGCGTGTTAACAAAAGCTTTAAAAATGATAACAATACATATATGTACTACTATGCATTGTATTTTATTATATGTAAGTGTTGATACAACTGAATAGATATGGACTATATATTATTTATATATAAACATTCAGGCATGTTACAAATTCCATAAATAATTTGGAGTTTATCCCAATGAGTTTCAAAAAGAAATCAATAAAAAGTTCGTTCAAAAGTGCAATCGGAATTCGTCACATGACTGATTAATAGTAAACTTAAACTAACAGCGTCTCAGTAAAAATTCTAAGTTAATAGGGAGCGAATTTAAAAAGATTCCAAACTTGTACGGGTGCGTGCATGCGGCAGCTACGAGTCCAACTAAACCTCATCCTTATACTTGGCATCCTTAAGTATATTAGCGAATTCAAATTTGACGCGTTCCCGCTCCGTCCGCGGCATGCTTCGTAACGTATCCACCAGTGAGAGGCAATATAGTTCAATAGGATCGTTAATAGGTGCTAGTGTGGGCAATGGAGCAGCCATTGCTTTGCGCTTGGCTGCATTGGCCATTATGTCGCTTCCGGTAAATCGGCGTGTGGGCGCTGGCTTATAGATCGGCTCTATAGTAACTTCGCCATTCGATAGTGACGTATTGTTGCTGGTATGTTGTTGGATAAGCTTACTATCCTGCTGCAAATGCGGCAGTTCATCGCCATTGCCCATGACAACCATTGGCGTGAGTAGTGGAGACGAGGCTGGTGAGCTGGCATGTGTATTGTTGTGGTTACTGTTGCTGCTGCTGTTGCCATTGACAGTTGCACTTAGGGACTCAGGTTTGGTCTCCATGACAAGCAGTTCGGGCACAATTTCATTGTCGCTATCGCCTCCACCACCACCACGTTGTGAGCCATCCTCACTGTTATCTAGCTCTATGATGTCGTAGTTGTCAGAGGCATCGACGCGTAAGTGTTCGGGATCAGGATATAGAAAGCTGTTGCTATCATTATCATTGTCGCTACTGCCATTTCCAGCTGTACTGTTCTGGTTAATAATGTAAGCCTGTGCCTTTTTCACATTGTACGTTTGGGCTGTGTTCTGCAGAAAGGATAGATCTTCGGTGAAGCGTCGCTTCCGCACATTCGGATTGACTTGTCCCGTCTCTAAAGCTTTGATCTCTTGCAGATAGTTGTAGCGTATGTTTTTCCATTTCGTTTGCAGAAAACGCGCTGATAAGAGGACAGAGTGGAAATTATAACTTTTTAACGAAGGAATTAATTTAATGGATATAGACTTACATGAAGCGCCCAATTCGGTAGCTATGCGATCCCATATATCCACTCTTACAGGATTTCGGAGTGCGGATGACTTACATCGTAAATGGCAGGATTAGCACGTACTAATTGTATCAAACGATCGTCTAAAGGATTGGGAAAAATCGTTAACGTTCAATGCTGCTTGCTTGCTTGCTTTCTACATACATCGCTTTCTTCCCAGCAGCAACAGCAACCCTTAGCGTCCCCGCATACTCGGCGACCGCCTTCTACACTATTAAGGGAAGACTGCAGCTGTGTGTGAGGACTAGGGGTTGCTGTGTACTTTTTTCTCAACCCATATGCCGTAGACTTACCGAACTCGGGTCCTGTCGTTTCTCTTTCTGCGTAATAGCGCTGCATTTTATGTTTTTTTTTGCCTTTACCAATAGCGAGAACACTTAAAACTGTTATCGCAAAATTTGAAGATTTGTAATTGGCGACTCGTGAAACTACAATTGCTCTGTCAGAGTGTAGTGAAACGATGTTTACATTGATTGCACATAAAACCACAAACACTTGAAAGATATTTTTATTGATACGTCTTTTTTTATGACTATTTATTGCGTGCGCGACGTCCCGTCTTCCTTGCTGTGACTCTGTTTTTCCGTTTTGTTTTACGCGCTGCGCAGACTCTAACTGCCGGTGTTGCCAGATTGATTAATCACTGACTACGCACTTCGGTCTTTTTTTGGAAATTTTGGATAGAATGCACACAGCTGTCAGTGTACACACACAACGGCGCTGCTTAAATAACAATCAATGAAAATTTCAAAAAGTTGGCTTTATTTCGTGGAAATATGCATAAAATTTAATTGTACATACAAGGGAAGTGGATCTGGTGGCATTTCATAAGCCACGCTATCTGCTGCAGGGCCGCAGATTTAACAACAACAGGAAGAACTTCGGTTACGCCACTGCGCTTGGCGCGCTTCAAATCCGAATTGCACGTGCTAATTTCGGTCGTTTTATTAGAAAATTATGAACGAGAACCGCTATGGCGCACTTGGAGCACTCATTGGTGTGGCATACGTGAGCAATACGCATTGCCGCTTTATGGTAAGCAATTTCAATCGCTGCCGACGCACTCACACACACACACAACACACACGGACAGTGCTGGCCGAATGACTTAATAATCTATTTCCATTCTATATGCGTATACTTTAAGATTTATTCTACAAAAAATGCCGAAGTATTGACATTCCATGAGCTGAAGTTGCGTCAGATAGTCCATAATGCTGGCTGGCTAGAATATGATCCTGCCGAAATCTGGAAACATATGCAGGAATGTATTGAGGTGCGTATGAAAAGTGTGCCACCGTGTATGTGTGTGTCTGCCGGTTATATCACGATGTACATAATTGCAGAATGCATACAAAAACTTAGTCATACTGGAAATCAATCCACATGACATCATAGCCGTAGCCATTGCCAATCAGCGGGGCACCACAGTACTTTGGAACAAACAGACGGGTCAAGCTCTGCATAACGCTATTGGATGGAACGATTGTCGCTGCACTGGTGTGCTCAAAACGCTGTTGCACAATGTCAAGCATAATGTGAACTACGTGCGCTACAGGAGCGGCCTGCCACTAAGCGGTTGTTTCAGCGCCCTCAAGTTGAAGTGGCTTCAGGATCATGTCCCCGCAGTGGCCAAAGCCATGGAAGAGGAGCAGTGTTTATTTGGTACATTAGACTCTTGGTTGTTATGGGTAAGCATCGATCGATAATTGCTTGGAGATCAATTGATACTAACATTTTACACAATAGAACCTCACTGGTGGCACTGATGTAGGCGCACATTTAACGGACGTAACCAACGCACACTACACATCACTCATGAACATCGCCACCCAGCAGTGGGATGCCAAACTGTGCAGTTTTTTTAAACTTCCCATGCACATACTGCCGGGCATTCGTTCCAATTCGGAGATCTTTGGTAACATTGCTGATGGTCCGTTAATCGGCGTGCCTGTGGCGGGTATTATAGGCGAGCAACCGGCGGCGCTGCTTGGCCAATTATCTATAAAGGCGGGTCAGAATGTGTGCACATTAGATGACAGTTGCTTTGTGCTGCTCAATACGGCACAACAAATGATAGCTTCGGAAAATGGTTTAATTACGGGAATAGCACACAAACTGGGGCCGACGGCTGCGACGCATTTCACACTCGAGGGTGCCATCTCTAACGCGGGTTCCACTGTCAGTTGGTTACGGCAGGGTCTACGCATAAATACCGAAATCAATTCCAATGATAATGTGGTTGAATCGCTTAACACATTTTTGGGCGAGAGCTCCATGATCTCCTCGTCCTGTTCCTCAAGCATGCTCAATGCGGAGTGTGGACTTGCTGCCAAACGTTCGGAGATCACCTTTGTTCCTGCATTTCATGGACTGTATGCGCCATATTGGCGATACGATGCGCGTGGAATATTGCTCGGCCTAACGAGCCAAACCACGGCAGAGAACATCACCCAGGCTGCATATGAGGCGACCGGTTTTCAAATATACGAAGTGTTGAATGCCTTCAAACGTGATACCCCCAATTGGGACCGATCGTGTATCAAGGATACGTTGACATTCGGCGGCGAATATGGGGAGAATACGAACTTGGTGCAGTTCATAGCAGACATTTTGGGGTGCATGCTGGAGCGGCCACAGACAACTTCGCCTGCGGGCTTGGGTGCCATGATAGCCGCTGGCGTAACCATGCGCTTGGTATCACTGCCATATGCGGTGCGCATGTATACGCCACCTGTGGATGCATTTAGTCCGACAACAACACATAACCGTAAGTAGTTATATGCAGTATAAGATAGTTACATAGATGAACGGATAAAAACATATTGTTACACATATTTTTGTATCGATTGGTTACACAATTATTAATTATAATTAATACTCAATTTTTCAGGTCGGGAACTGCTGTATCGTCGCTGGGACTACGCTGTCAGGAAATGTTTACAATGGAACAATTATGAGACGTACGAAGCCGATGTGGAGCTTTTTGCACAGCGTGAACGAGATCCCAATATTAATATACGTCGCTCTATACCTGGCAGCGTTTTTCTAACCACTTCATTTGCATTGCTGCTTATCGCCAGTTTCCTCAAGAACAATTCCTTGACCTAGGCTTTAGGTTCCCGTTCAAGTGTTGCACAAAAAACCGTCTAGTCAAATGTTATGAAAAGTTGGGTCGAGCCGCAGTCAAAATTAATTGTTTAGTTAAGCCGGTAATTCTTTTATTTTTCTTCGGCCAGTTGGGGGTTTCCCGTCGTTTCAAGCCAATTATATGTAGATCAAATGTTTGTGATTTGTTTAGTATATATGTATGTATTTATATATATGCCTAACTTATATACTCATAGTGAATGGTATTGCGAATTGTTTTATATGCTTAGTTTTTCATCTTATTATTAACTACTTTATTTAAGTGAATTAGTCTATTACGGAACGGATTTCCAAATGAAAGACAATTGTTAAAGGTGTTCGAGTAAGCTGAAGCATTGGGCATTGCAAGGAATTAAGGCTTGTGGCACCATGCTTCCTGTTGTTAATTTTTAACCGATGTATATATATATATATACATAAATGAGCTATTTATTACATGTATAAATACAAAAATATTTAAAAATTTTACTTCCAACTGTTGACTTTACACCAAGCAACTGTAAAACACTACACATACACCCGCATATACGCACACAAAATGTTGCTGGGGGGTTTTTGCAAACGTCTGATGATTGCTTGACAAGGACTAAGGGTTTGGGGCTTGTGAGTGCAACTCGTTAGCTATGCGATCCCGTTAAGCTGTTGTGCGTTTGTTTGTTTGTCAACGTCATGAATAACTTAAGATGACAAACTTGCAATGTTTGTTGTTGCTGCTGCTGTTGCTGCCGTTGCTGCTTTGGGCGTTGCGTGCACGCCACTTCATTTAAGTCCCCAAGATACAACAAGAGCTGCAACAACAGTTATAGCATGAATTCAACCCACACAAGTGGCCAGTGGATGCTCCAACATGTTTGCTTGCTTTCTCTTTTTTTTTTTTGACTGCAGCTTGTTGAAATTCATTTGCCAGTTAATTAGCTGGTGCATCTGCAACGTGGCAGGAAGCGTTGATCCCATTCCCACTGCTGTTTGCTTGCCTACCATTGAATGCAACTTAAGTTATTGCGCTTATTGTTGACACGCGAATTGCGGACGAGCTGCAGCGGCGTGAGGATGGAGTAGGTGCAGGAGCGGGAGCCGGAGCCGGAGCAGCTGTGCTCATGCATACTCGTAGAAGCACTTGACGCCTCAACTCCACCCACTAAGGCTTGATGATGCAGCCACAGCCATAGCCACTGTCGCTGCGGCACGTCCAGCCATGGCACTTTTTCAAATGAGTTTTTCTGCTACTGCTGCGCTTCATAACCCTGAATGAAGTTGTTTTGCGTTAAAAACGTATTCTGGGTTGTTTAAGACCCAAGCGAAAATGTTTTTCAGGCAGAAGCGAAACGTCGTGTAAGGTTCCTAAGCTTTTCTGAAACGCAAACTATTTTCGTCCTCCTATATAGATACATTACAGACCTTAGCTTTGTAAATGATTTCTAGAATAAGGGAATATTGTACATATTCTTTATATATTTACTTTATTGAGTAATGAAAAAAAAATGTTGATATCTTACTTTGGACTGGCTAGAGAGCCTCATTGAATGCATTATTCCAGATATAATAGTCTAACATTCATTTAGATAGAAATCATATATCCTGTTTTACTTAAATACAAACAAATGCTGGTTAAAAATCGTTCATACAATGGCATGAAATTCAATAAAATATCTACAGATACATATACATACTTACTATATAGGAAAGCGAATGTCGATAAATGTGAAAAAATCGGAAACTATACTATAGTGCTAAAGTGCTATAACTGCAAAAATATATTATTTACTACTGCATTATCCAACTAGTTTATTGGCTTTCATAATAGACTGATTACTGCCCAGTAGTGTACAGGTATATCGTGCATATCCGTTTGTTAAATCTCGGCATATTTGCGACGTCTACAAATTGGTTTGCATTTGAGGACAAAAACGCGACGACGATGATGAGGATGTCGGCGATAAAGATGACGATGATGGTGAGATGACGAGAACGCGCAATAAAATGCGAAATTTGTGCAAACATTGAGTCTCCATAGCTCCTGCTGACCAGTTTGGTGTGGGAGAGGGCGCCGTTGCCAAGATGCCAAGTCAACTTTGCACGTAGACAATTTAAATAAATTAACACGCTGTTGTGTTTGTGAATTGATGTGAGGGAATATGTACGAGTATAGAATGTGCATGTGTTGGTGTCTGTAGGTGGATTCGTAATGCTGCTTATCGGGCACGAATGGAATGGCCACAAGTGCGTCCCACTGTGCTGCAATATGCGAAGAAAACAAAAAAAAAAAAAAAATAATAACGAAACGAAAGAAAGGGGAAAATTTGACATGGCCACGGAGCAGAGACTTTGGGTGTCGATGTCCTTTACTCCGTTTCGGGTGGGTTTCTGAGTGCGGCTTGTCTCTCGTGCCGCCCCTTGCAATATGCAACGCACTAGGGTGGTGTGTGCCAGCGACTACGCATAAATCTTCAAGTTTATGGCATCAATAAATGTCGGGGCGAAATAATGATTTCGTCAAGTTGCTATTGTGCAACAACCACCCTCACCCATCACCCATCACCCACGACGCTAGCGAGCTAACTTGTTGTGGCTTTTATGGCTTTCTGTATATTCTGCATTCAATTGAAGCCGGCTATAAAATCGGTAGCAAATTGTACGCAAACGCCTATTGCATAAACGCCCACAACTATAGTATAACGAAAGGCTTCACACATTGGGGCGCTCAAACTCATCTGCATATGGATGGTGGAGCATGGAGTGTAGAGCTTTATCAGTTGCCTTCAAATTTTGACGAACTTTTTATTTTACGACATACCGAGCAAAGGAATGGAATTGTTTTTGTTGCCGCTTCGCATGGCAGCCTGTCATAAAAAAGTCGTAAATTCGCTGAGCAAAAGTTTGGCCAAGCAAGAAAGCTTGTTGGCAAAGGGACGACCCAAGTCGGCTCAACTCTGCGCGAAGCGAGCTCGTAAAATGAAAGCAAGCGAGTGCTCCATAAAAACCTTAATTAATTTTCTAATCAACATTTTGCTGCATGTAAATCGGCTGCTTTTCGAGCCGAATCCGCTGCCGAAAGCCAACTACACTTGTATATGCCATACATAGTATTCTCTGTGTGTAGCATAATTTCAGGCGCTCCGCTCCGCTTAGCTGTGCGTGTACTTACTTATGTTTGTTGGCTCCATTAGGCGCAGTTGGTTAAGCTCGCGATATATATATGATATGTCAAAATAACGGCTATAAAGCGTCAGCAGCAACTTACTAAAATGGTGTGTGCTGGAGAGGGGGTAGAGAAGCGTGGCGGCTGGCATTGGCGCCAGCTACCGAAACTTGTTGTTGCGTGCGTGAAATTTGACGATACGGATATGTATATGTAAGGACGTGTGTATGTATGTATGTACTCTGTTTTTCTGCGTGTTTTGATGTGTTTGTTTAGAAGAAAAAGTTGGAGAGAGGGGAAATTAGTTGCCGACGCTTCTATTTCTAAGTCAGCTGAGCTTAGTACGGTGGTTTAAATTATATTAAAAGATATATCGTCGCAAATGAAACCTTTATAGTAATTGAAATGAAACAGAAAAAAAGAAAAAAACAAACATTCAAAATACCTTAAAACAATTCGAAACTAGCGTTGTATTTCTTTAAAATTTTATAAATAATTCAAGGTTTTGAAAATTCCAATTGAGTTTGGACGTCGAGTTTCTTTGTTTTAAAATATTATTTTGTTTGTTGGCTGTGAATTAATATTTCCTTAATTTTGTTATATTCTATTTGGAGTCTTCTATCTTGAAATTCGAATACATGTAGATTTTAACAGGCGTCGACATCATAATCACAAATACAAATGAAAAACAATAAAAGCTATAAAATATATATAGAAGAAATACAACAATGAGTTCATATTTGACATGTTATAGCATAGTTTTTTTTATTTATTTAACAAATCAACAAATGGTGCTGTCGATACATACACAAAACCTATGATTTATATTATAATATATTATAAAATATAGTATGTTATGTTATGCTATCATAAAAAGTAATATGTCTGAAAAGGTGTACAATCGTTGAAAGGAATTATACTTGTAAAGAAATTATTAATATTCCATTTAAGAAAACTATAGTTTTGATTATTCTGTCTACCTATTTACGGATTTTGTTTGCCAAAAGTATTTAAAGTAAGTAAAGTCAAATAATAGATTTCTGATAGCAATCATATTTACTTGACTCTCAAGCTAAAATATTCCTTGTATATATTTTTGTTTGTGATTATAATAATCTTTAATACTTACAGAAATACACATCGACTTTCAGAAGAGCAATTAAAACAATTTTTAAAATAGGAATAAGTGAGCTTTAATGGGATTTTGTTAAGTTGTGTGTGCAACCGATGCATTGGCACACTATTTTGTAAGTCAGGGCAGAAACAAAGCTATCTATTGAAGTTTTTGTCAACAATAATATTTAAGTACATAGTTAACAATTAAAACATTAAAGACTGAAATTTATAATCTCAACAATAAAATATCTTAAGGTGACAATCGTTAATGGAGAAACTTACAAGTGCAACATTTCTTGGCAATTGAGCGCGCATTGAATTGAATAGTCCATACAATATAGGAATTAGATGGCAACATAAAAACTCAAAAACTGGTACTAAGCCATTATAAATTTGGTCTTGAGTTTTTATGTAAAGTATGCCCCTTTTGAAGGAACACAGCAGTTGAAATGTATCAAAAATATTTTTTCTTGCCGTAACTAAATAAATATTTTCTGTAACGCAACATTTAATTCAATTTATTTAAAAAAAATTGGTCTAGTATTGTATATTATCTTCAGGGATTCATAATATATATTTTTTTAAATACAGCTAATCATTTGTAAATCTTAAATTTAATAAATACATTTTGAAATCCTAGAACTTGAAATTAAAATATTGCCACACTCTTTTGAGTTATTGAGGATGGCTTAAATTTGTTGCTGTCCTCTAAGAAAGTGTAATTTGAAAGCTTTAAATCTATAGCCCTTCAATTTAATCACAATCAATCGCAAATGCGCAAAGTCGGCACCGGCTGTTACAACGAAAAGCAGAGGAAACCCAAACTTTAACTACAATTGCAAGTATGAAGCCAAACTAAAAGTAACTGAAAAATTTAGCGCTATGTCAACACATTCCAACAGAAAGCCGATAGACAGACAGGCGGAGAGTTAAACAATGTCCAGATTTTCTTTGTGTTCACGTTTTCAATGGCGACTCCCAAAAAAGTAGAACTAAAGAAACGGGAGCGGACAAATGTGCAACGCTTATTCGTCTGGCTTTGTGTGTGTGTGTGTGTGTGTGTGTGTGTGTGTGTGCCTGCCACTAACGGTAAGCTGACCAGAGTGGAAGGCGAGCAGGGATAACGGACAATTGCACAAAGTCACAAAGGAACAAAGTGTTCAGTTGTAAGCCGCTTCAAAGGTCATGTGTAGTAGCTGCCAAAGGAATTACA